CTCTTCCAATGTTCTCAGCGAGCGCAGAATTTTTTCTTCCATTCAGGCTTGTAGAAATTTTAAGGTGAAAAAATTGTACAATTCTCTATGAAAAAAAAAATAATATTACGTTTTTTTTTCACATTTTCATAAAAAAGGTTTAAGTTTAGGTTCAAAAAAATTTCATAGTTTAAAATGTTAAAAATTGACAAAATTATTGTGAAGAAAATCTATATTTAAGTCGAAAAAATGTCATAGTATAAAAATTTCAAATGTTTTCTAAGAATTTTTTTATCATTTAAGTATGAAAAAAATGTCATAGAATAGTACGCTAAAAATTCAAATTTTAAGGTGAAATAATTAATAAAATTCTGTATGAAAAAAATTAAATATGAAAATTTCTTTTCAATTTTTTGCATTAAAAGGTTAAAGTACAATTTGATAAAATGTCATAATTTAGTTTGTCAAAAATTTTATTGTTAAAATTATCTTTATTTAAGTGTAAAAAATGTCATAGTATAGCATGTTGAAATTTCTAATTTTAAGGTGAAAAAGATAGAATTTTTCTACAAAAAAAATTCATATCAAAAGGTATTTTTAAATTTTCTGCATAAAAAGGTAAAAGTATAATTTGAAAAAATTGCCATCATTTTTTTTCATGAAAAAAATCTATATTTTAGTGCAAAGAAAAGTCATTGTGTAGTATGTTAAACATTTAAAATTTTAAGGTGAAAAAAATGTACATTTCTGTTTGAATTTTATTTTTTTATTTATTTATTTTTTTTTCAAATTTTCGTAAAAAAGGTTAGAATTTAGTTTTATAAAAAATGTATAGTTTAGTATGTCAAAAATCCAAATTTTATTGTAAAAAAACCTTTACTTATGTTTAAATAATGTAAAAAAAAAAAATTCAAATTTTGGGTGGAATTCTTTTTATTTTTTATGTATGAAAAAAATGTCATGGTATAGTAAGCTAAAAATTCAAATTTTAAGGTGAAGAAAATAATAAAATTCTGTATGAAAAAAGTGTAATATGAAATGTTTGTTCAAATTTTTTGCATAAAAAGGTTACAGGATAATTTGATAAAAATGTCATAGTTTAGTTTGTCAAAGATTTTAAATTTTATTTTTATCATTCATGTATGAAAAAAAAATGTCATAGTATAATACACTAAAAATTCAAATTTTATGGTAAAAAAAAATTAAAATTCTGTATGAAAAAATTTTAATACAAAAATTTCTTTTAAATTTTTTGCATAAAAAGGTTACAGGATAATTTGATAAAAATGTCATAATTTAGTTTGTCAAAAATTTAAAATTTTCCTGTAAAATAAATTTGTATTTCAGTGTTAAAGAATGTCATAGTTTAGTATGTTAAAAATGTCAAATTTTAAAGTGAAAAAAAAATTAAAATTCTTTATGAAAAAAAAGTATAGTTAAGTTTGTCAAAGATTTAAATTTTTATCATGAGGAAAATCTTAAAGTGTAAGAAAATGTCCGAGTAAAGTTAAAAAGTTTAAATTTCAAGGTGAAAAAAATTAACTCTGTATCCAAAAAAATTAAATATTAATTTTTTAAAAAATATTTATAAAAAAAGGTTATAGTTTAGTTTGATCAAAATTTCATAGTTTAGTATGTCAAAAAATAAAATTTTATTGTGAAAAAAATCTAGATTTTAGTCTTAAATATGTCATGGTATAGTATGTTAAAAATTTTACATTTTTCTAAGATTTTTTTTATCACTTAGGTATGAAAACAAATGTCATAGTATAGTACGCTAAAAATTCAAATTTTGAGGTGAAGAAAATATTACAATTCTGTATGAAAATTTTTTCCATTTCAAGGTTTCAGAGTAATTTAATAAAAATGTCAAAAAATTACAATTTTTATTGTGAAATAAATTTATATTTTAGTGTTAAAAATGTCATAGCATAGTATGTTAAAAATTCAAAATTTTATGGTGAAAAAAAAAAAAATTCAGACTTATTTGAGCTGTCACGTCACTGTTCTAGCTGTGAATCAAGTTTGTGATCGTCTCATGTAAGGACTCTTGGAAATGGTGAAAAAAGTTGAGTTTTTCATTAGTTGTTTCAGAAGAGTGAACTTCCTGTTGAGATTTCATCAACACTAAGATTTTTTAAAGTGTGCGCACCTTATTTCATTACCATTTCATTTATGCTAGGGGGAAAACTGCCCGAGGGTGTTAAGTATCAGTAACAGCCAAATCCGTGCAAAGGACGCTAAAAAATGAAGAAAATCTGGCTTAAGATCAATAACATCAATAAATCCTGATAATTACAATATGGCTCTAGTCTGGTGACTAGTGCTTGGGTCCTAAAAACCCCTCTGGATTACAACAGGGTCCTTGCACTGTGTCAGTGCTCGGACCATAAAGATGAATCAAAAACAACTGGAGCCGTGGAAGACTTGTAATGTTTCAACTATATTTTTCACATTTGTACAAAAAAATAAGATCCTGTCAGTTTCTTTTGTAACATCTGAAACCCAATAAGCATAAAAAGAGCTGCAGAGTGCCTTGCAACTGGCATCAAGTGCTTCATTATCACTTCACTCTCCCCAGAGCCACAGAGACAGGAGGAGTTGTGTCTGTGAAATGAATTCCCGAAGAGATTTAAAAGTTTTCATCTTTTCAAAATTCCGAACCCACAAATTTTGACTCTTTCCTGCTGTAAGCTGCAGACATTGGAGAGTTTTCAGCAGCTGTAGAGACCAATTTTGTGCTTTGTGCATTGAAAATGTGACACCAGGACTCCCTTAAATCGACAGAACTCCCTCTCTGCGTGGCTCTGGACCATTTAGTAGTTTACAGTCAAGGACAGGCACTGGGGAAATGTTGAGGGCTACATTAGCAAGTGGGCTGTACTCCAATACTGATATTAAAATCAAGACACACATGACAAAAACACAAAGTTCAACAGTTGAGGGGCGAAAACTGAAACAAAATGGTACTCCTCATAATCATGTTAGGAAGTTAGAGGGCCCTTCAGTCTCTGGCTGATAAATAAAACATTGACACTGTAAAAAGTCAACCTCCCTGGTAAGTTCATAAATAGTGACAGTGTATCTTCTGTCTGTCGGGAGCATACAGAGTAAATTCATCAGAGATGTCATAAAAGCCTGAAAACTTACAGGCAATAATGTTGGAAGAACCTGAAAATTCCCTGTCGGTGATCTGGGATTCATTTACTAAGTTTTCTAATTGATCTGAAGTGTATTAAAACAGATGTTAATAAGATGTTAAAAGTGCTTCACTGAGTCACATTTTGGAGGTCTGGAGCAGCTGCATCAGTCTGATATTGCTCTTATTCTTCTCCAGATACTACAAGAGCTGAAGTAAAGTCAAGGTGAGCTTTCTGGCCAAGTTACAGGTTTTAAAAATGTTCATTACCCTGATCAGATTTACCCTACAGTTCACTCAAATCAGTGGATCAGGTCTTGAAATAAAAAAATTACACTAAGAGCTCACTCACTGTTTTTGCTGGACTGTTCCCAGACAGTAAATGAACCAATGATTAGTTTCGCACAGTAACTTTTAAAGGGCTGTGCTGCAGTTTTACCTGAACTGAGTCATGGGATTTCTTGGCTAACAGCAGAGACTCCATGTGAGTGCCCGTGTGACCGCTCACAATGATAACAATTAACTCTTGTGTTTGTAGTCTTCATGCTGACTTATGCGAACCAGGCACTGATACCAACCTCAGATTTACCTACAGTATGGACCTTCTAACATCTTTCTAGTCAATACAGCAAATCACAGAGCCCCCAAAGTTTCCAAAAGTGAAGAAACCCAAAACAATCTAATTGTGCGCACAAGATAACTTCAATAAAAATTATATTTCGTAAACAAGTTAATTTTTGTGCACAAAATGATTTCTTTCCACAGGATAATTTTACTGTGAATAAGCAAGTCATAATCTTGGGCACATGGGATCATAACTCATACACGTTAAAAATTATGTCGTGTGTAAAAGTTATCATCCTGTGTGCACAAGATAATAACTTGTTAGACGTGCACAAATAATTTTCTTGTGCAGTATAAGAATTTTTTGACTTTTTGGGACTTTAGAGGCTCTGCTGCACGATTGCTACCTGTCCTGTGTTAGGGTGGTTCTGTGTTACTGCGCTAAAATTTGCCTTTGTTGTTGTTGTTGCTGTTTTGTTTTTTGGCACAAAAAGTGTTCCTTATATTCTTCTTGGAGGATAAAACACTGTAATAAGTTAAATTCTTCTGACCTGTTGATTTAAAAACCCTTCTTCATTTGACATGATTGGGTTTCATTCAATAGCTTTACAAATAAATTAAGAGTAAAAATATGAATACCTGCCTTCAACAGATCAACAGTTAGAAAATTATGCATTTATATCCAACAGATTATTGCCGAGCAGTACTGCTCAAATACAATATCACGGAAAAGTTCTACCATATATTGTATTGATAAAAATGTCTTGATACAACAAAGTGAAGGAAATGTAGCAATACTTATACAAGAATGTATAATATTGCAATTCCACCCATCGTTATTCCAGAAACAGTCTTGGGCACAAGTTAAAAAACACAATAAAAGTGGAAGCATTAGCTGCAAGTATCACAACAACAGAAAACGGTTGTCACCATGACCTGTTTCCAATAGTTATTGGAGATAAACGGATAAGAAATGTACTGTTTTTGCCTTCCTTCCTATGATGGATCGAGGATATTTCACTCGCGTACAAACAGAACCAGACAGCAGTTTTCTGTAAATCCTGCACTTTGAGGCTGAAAATGTCTTCTTTACAGTCGTACGATAACACGGGCCAAAACTACCAATAAACGCAGTCAATACTCAAAAATGTTGAAACCCAAGCACTACTGGGATAAATAGAGTCCAAATCTGCTTGAAAAATTACATTATTGTGTTCAAGTCCTCGTCCTTATTTCCTTTTTACAACAACACGACCAAAATAAAACCTCGTCGTACATATACAGTTATTTAAAACAGCTTCATTATGTACAAAAACTACTAAAAAATCTGCTCTTCATGCTTTGGGGGAGGGGACATGAGGGAGGGGGAGGGCTGAGGGGGAGGAGGAGGTGGTAGAGAAGGAGGAAGGGGAGGCTGCGTGGAGGACGGAGGAGGAGGTGGTAGAGGAAAAGGCTGAGAGTGCTGAACCTGCGAGGGTGGTGGGCTTTGGTATGGCGGTTGTAGTGGGTAAGAAGAGGGCGGCTGGGGGAGGAACGACTGTGGGGGGAGGAAGGGGTGGGAGGGAAAGTGGGGATGCTGAGGTGGGTAGAAGGGTTTGGCGTGTGGAGGGTACTGGTGATGGTGAGGGAGGGGAGGAGGAGGGAGCGGTTGGGAGGTGGGGAGGGGAGGGTGGTAGTAGGCTTGGGACTGTGTGGTGAGGTTGGGTTGGGGAGGCGGGGGCAGATGGAGCTGGTTCATGTGGGCAGAGTGGGGAGGCGGGGTCTGCGGGAGGTAAGAGTTCATCGTTTGGGGCTGTGCGGGGTTGGGTAGAGGATTCGGGGGGAGCATTGGAGGTCTAGGAGGGAGGTGGGAGGGAGGGAGAAGAGGGGGGTAGGATGGAGGGAGCATGTGGGGGACAGGAGGTGGGAGGTGTTTGGGGGTGTATTGCTGCAAGTAGCTCCCTGGCCTCTGTGGATCCATGGATGAGGTCCTGGAGTCCGCACTGTGAGTCCACTTTGAGTCCGTCAGTGTTCGCACTAACGTGTGTGTCCGTGTGTCCGCCTGTGAACTCGTGTGTGTTTGTGTTTGTGGTGCGTCCACAGCAGGTTTGTGTGTCCGTGCGTCTGCTGAGTCGTCCGTTTTCAGGCGGGGGGAGTCTTTGCCCTTCGGTTTTTCAGACCCAGAGGAGGAAGAAACGGAAGAAGCAGCAGCTGTAGGTTTCAGACTAGTTTGGGAGGATGTGGTGGAGGTCGGCGTGGAGGACGATGCAGCGGGAAGAGAAGATGAAGAGGAGGAGGCCGAGGATGGAGACGCTGAAGAAGAGGAGGAGGAAGACTTGGAGATGGGAGATTTGGAAACCACTGATGAGGTGCTTTTACTGGAAGACGTGGTCCTGCTTTCTGAGTGATGGTGATGGTGGTGGTGGTGGTGGAGTAAGTGCTTTGATGAAGCTGCTTTGGGTTTAGTGTTCTGATGAGGAGACAGAGGAGGAGGAGGAGGAGGAGCTGTTGGTGATTTGTGTTTCAGAGGAGAGGGAGGCTCTGCTTTCACCTTCGCAGGAGGTGAATCCTGCTGTTTGGGTTTAACTCTCTCTTTCTCTTTCTCCTTTTTGTCCCTCCCGCTGCTCAGGCTGGAGTCTGTGGAGGGAGCAGCAGGAGACGAGAGAGATGGATGCTGAGGAGGAACATGCTCCTCCTCTTCCTTTTTCACAGTCGGCAACGTCCTTCTTTCTGCCACGTCAGCCTCCACTTTGATACTCGTTTCATCCTTTTTCTCCCTCCTCTCCTCCTCTTCCTCTTCCCTGTCCACCGTCTCCCTCTTCTCTTCTTTCAACTCAACCTCCTCCTCCTCCTCTTCCTCTTTCACCTCCTCCTTCTCTCCGCCCTCTTCTTGGTGATACTGTTGTAGTCGGACGTGCCACGCTAGGCTGCAGACAGACGACACGGTCTTGAATTGGTGGACCACGTTGCGAGGGATGAAGTAGACGTCGTTGTGGCACAAGCGGATGCGGGCGTAATGGACTCCCTCACGCCGGAGCTGGTTCAGCTTTGCGTCATCCACCCACTGCACACACTGTGAAGACACAAAGGAGGGAATAAAGAGAATAAAGGTATTTAAAAATAACCCTCTGTATACCTTTAAACACTGACATCAGTGACGGTTTCAGATGGAGGTATAATAGGCCTGTAATCTGAAGCTTCATTCCCTTTTGAAGCCTTAGTGCAGATCTCGGGTCAGCGCAGTGAGGACATATTTGTACAGATTCATTTTTTTTGGTGGCGCCTTTAACACATAACACCTATAATGAGACCCTCCAGGAATCTGCAGAGAAAAAGTTTCGATTCCGTGGAGAACAATCCTGATTCTGCGGAAATCCGCGGCTTGAAAGTTGAGATTCAGCAGACATTAAAAAACAACCTAGAATTTCCAGTTCTGAAGCAAACATATTTTTTCATGTCATATTAAAGAAAAAAATATCTTATGAAATGAATTGCAAAACCAAAACACTGTAAAACGCTCTTATAAATAATTGATCAACATCAATATTCTCTTTGTCCCCCTTGGGCAGATTTATTTGCAGCAACTTCAGGAATAATATAGTGCGAATTATACTGTCACAAAAACAGTCAGATAATAAATGTAAACAAATACAAGTGCAGAATATTTCACCAAACTATCATGGGTGATGGCTTAGGAACACAAAAGCCTGGAGTTGTGATTCTCACATAAAAAAATATACAGCTTTGCTCCTGGCGTCGGAGGATTTTGTCGGAGAAAGCGCTTCATTTCGAGTGTCGCTGGAGCTGCTCGCTGTCGCTCATCATACGCTGTGTTTTTTACTCCATTAAAAATGTGCCATCCGCTCGACAGCCCGCCTTTCCATCTGGGATCCTCCTCACACACACGCACCAGATCGCACAAGCAACCAGGCGACGCCAAACCTTTCCGCATTCGGCTATGAGTTCCCTTTCCCATCCATCTGACCACGTCATCGAGCGGCCAGGATGAAAACCACATGTAAAATATAATATTCTGCACCTCGCCTTGTATTCTGCAGACTATTTTAATTTCCACAGAGGACTCTGAAATCTACGATAATTTCCACGATCATGGATCACATGTACAAACTTAAGGTTTGACTTATTTAAAGTCACACAATGTCGAAAAAACAATCTGAAATTGAATCTTTTCTCAGTTTTCTTAGTTTCACTTATCTCACATTTCTTTGAGGGTTGTCCTTTTTTCTGTCAGAAACTTGTTTCATGAGAGATAACAGTAATTTCAAGGTCTGCAGAAATTACATTTGACCTTTACTGTAAAGGCAGCTCTGCTCTCGCTTTTATCTTACACTGTCTCGCTCCAGTGAAAAAGAACGAGCTTTAAAAAAAAAAGTTGATGTAAGATTGAAGGAACTCTTCAAGTGTCTGACAGGGTTTCTGCAGGTTTGAACAAGATCAGTTTAAGACTTTTTAAGACCTTTTTAAGACCATTACAGGTTGAATTTAAGAAAATAAGGAAAATCGGGAGATCCAGAATGACTTTAAAAAAGTCATTTATTATCATTCACTAATGAACTCATTACATCACAAGAGAGGTCTCTTGCACTAATGAGGCCTTAAATGAGGATGATCACATTTTAGACTTTTTAAGACTCTGCGGAAACTCTGGTACAAACATGTCAGGATGTGCACTGTCCCATTTCTGCATTTTCTTTACTTTACCACCAGTAAACATCCAGAGTCAATATTAAAAACATGCTGGTGAAAGGAGACGAGTGAGTGCACTGAAAAACAGATTTTGTTGACACTCCCTGCATTTACAAGAACACAGTATCCCAGTTTGGATGGTATCTGGGATATGTCATTAACATGGACACAGAGAAACCTGTGAGCCTGTCACTGCCAACCTGCAAGGTAAGGTGGTCGTGGGTGAAGATATGCAGCCATGATGATTCAGTTTCTCTGCTGCTAATCAACATACTGTCACTACAGTGTTTCAACCATAATATGTCTCAATTATCCCTCTGCATTTGCTAAGTCAAATAATCAAAGCAACTCTGGAGAGTTAAACTGCTGCAGGTTTGAATAATCATCAAACAAAATCAAAATCCTCATTAAAAAAAATCAACAAATAACTATTGACTCAAAACTTTTTAGCTCTAAGCAGTTTCACTTACTGCAGTTTGACTTTAATCCACCAGGTGGCAGCAAACAACATATCTGCACTGAGAGTATAGTCATGGGCCTGATATCAAGGCAACACCAAGGACTAACTTTGTGTGTATTTTGAGAGCAGTTAGCAGTGAGCTGGAACAATGTGCGAGTGCTGTAAGTCTCACCTGAGACAGCGGAGGCTCATGTAGATCCAGCTGCAGCCTCTGAACCACTTGAGGGAAATCACCAGCGTGGAAACACACAACGTCTTTGGTTACACGAGGAGGGTCTGAGCTGAAAAACGAGGGATAGAGAAAAAGAGATTACACACATGCTGCTTTTGGACATTTTCATGTGGAGGTGACGTCACCGCTCACCTTTCGAGGGCCCGCACAGCCTTCAGCACCCCAACGGCAGCTGTTGTTTGACGCTCAAAGCCCTGCCCGATGTGGTCAGCGTGAGCCCGAGTCCGATCCTCGAACAGCATCTCTCTAGGCTCGCTGGTCCTGGGCAGTGACTGCAGCAGGTTCTTCACCTCATTGGTGGAGCTACAGGAGAAATAAACACAGCGTCAGAGAAACAGCGTGAACACAAAAAGTATCCAAAAAGAGATTTCTCTGCCTCACTGCTGTGTAAATAAAACCCAAAATGACAAAAGGCAAGTGGGCTTTGTTTGTGTCTTTGTGTTTCCTGTCTGCTGCGGCAAAATAAAGCACCAGACGGGCGCTATCTGCTGCTGCTGCTGCTGTTATATTGTTTGACTGAGTCATTGATGAAATCCAGACACCACAGTGTAACACAAGCAGCAGAGGAGACGTTTGAGAACACAAAACCAGCATCAGTCTCAATACAATAAAGCTTTGTTGTTGAGCATTCAGGTAGCGGTGAGGCACTTTCAGCTCTTAAAATACTTTTCTGGGACAAACACTGTCATGACCGGTATGAAATACTAAGAGAGGGATTTTATGACATTAAACTAAGTGAATACAAGAAAAGGGTGGATTGCTGTTTAGTAAATACATTTCATAGGGCGCTGGTTGATTAAAAAGATCCCCCAATTTGAGATGACAAATGACCAACAGGGACACAACTCTTTGGTCACAGGCAGTGGGTCCGTCCCTCAGCTAATGCTCACACAAGCTTAAGCAAATGCACTGGAGGGATCTGTCTGTATTTTACAACTGAGTTAAACTACCGGAAGTTATTAAGAAAGTGAAGACAGATGGTACAAGAAAGAGCCTCACAGTTGTACAGACACTGCATGTCGTGGACTTTGTTGAACGCAGTGGAAGCCTTCACATGGGGCGACAGCTTAAACCTTTTTTCCCTCTTGCAAAAACAGACTGCAGTGTGCAGACCAGTGTGACCTATATGCTGGATTTCACAGTAATTAATAGCTGGGTATTGAAATCTCCAGTCCGTTTTCTGTGCCAGTCTTCTCATGAGAAAAAAAAGGACACACAGCACCCCCGCCCAACAGATTCAAGCAGCTGCTGAGTGACACTGATATATCAGAAAACTGTTGCACCACTGAAAACGAGCGACCTGCAACCTCCAAAACCAGACAAAGACTGAAAATGAATCAGCTGAGAAAGAGCTACAACGCTGGAGCACCACTTGGGCATCCCAGACTTGTTGGTATGAAGTAGCCCACATTCAGTATAGTTTTACAACACGAAGTAAGAGTAATAAAAAAAGGAGAACATTTAAAAGCTACGGATTGTTAAAAAAAAAAAAAGGAAATACATCAAGACTTTGCAATTTAAGTTTCTGAAACTTAAAGTATCTGTTGCATGTAGTTGTCTTTCATATAAAGTAGGACCCGACCGATTTATCCGCAAGCTGATTAAATCGGCCAATAATGCGATATTTTCAGAAATAAAATGCGGAGAATGCGACTCGGTTTCACTTTGAAAATGTTCCGCCCTTTGAAAAGATCCTCCGACTTATCCTGTAGATGGCGCAGCAACCTCGTGACAATCTTCGTCCACTAACTACCTCACAGTACAGCAGAGTGACGGATCTAAAGCAGGCAGCTCAGGGACGCACGGAGGAGAGTGGTCCACCTCAACAGTGAATAAACCAGCTTGTGAAATTAAAAATAAGTCAACAAGTTTCAGTTCAACCCACTTCATGATGTTCCCCGCTGTGCTGGTCTTGGTCACGCCGAGTTAACAGTGAAGCACCATGTAATATGCAAGCTAAAGTTAGAGTTAGCCATCTGCTATTAGCCTTGCTACACTGTTAGCCGTGCCGGTAACGGTAGAATAAACAACAGTACACATTACGCGATCGAGCTACTTCTCTTACTGAGGCAGTTAAGACGCGGCGACACCGATCGACGGGGGGGTTGAAAACGCTTTTCTGGTCCGAGTTTGATCAGTAACCTACAGTATATAGTATACATATACATATTTTTTATAACTTCATAAGAAATGTAAAAAATCGGACAATAAATCGGTATTTTTTTCCCCCTAATAATCGGTTTCAGCCCCCAAAAAATCCATATCGGGCCCTAATTTAAAGGACTAAGACTGTGAGTTTAGAGTGATACAATGAAGATTATCTTACATTGCAGCCTCAGAAACTTTGTGCTTTGACGGATGAAAACAGTATCAGAAAATCACTCAGTTTGTAATCAAGTGTTTTAGCGACCCTTACTATTTAATAGAACACCTAAAATCACATTGTCTTCAGGTACCCTGTCAGTCTAGTTTTGTCACAGGGTGGTTTGAATATCCAATGCAACACAAAATATTAGAGGAAATGTGAGCCACAGAAATGTGCAACCAGTTAATGTTTTTTGTAAAAAAGGTTTCATAGTACATTTATTCAACATGATTTGTTTATGTTCAAACTGAAAATGCGAATAAACAGATTAAAAAAAAAAAAGGTTTCATTTAGATGAAGTAAAAATGGAGGAAACTCTTACATGCGTACGTACTGGTGTCATGCATACAGACAGACTGACAGACAAGCAGAGCGGTAAAGGCATAAAAATGAGCCGTGTTGCCGAACAATAGAAGTACTGCAGTCAGCTCACCACTGGTTCAGTGACTCACACTGGAGCTGCAGTCTGATTCAAAGAGGAAGAGTACACACACACACACACGCACGAGTCGGAGGGAGACTCCTTGGAGAGCGTCACGCACACACACACACACGTTTACACTTGCACTAGAGGCTACGCAAGCTGAACACTTAATTGTGCATTCATTCATAGGGAGATAAGAGGAGGGGAGCAGGAGACAGAGGAAGGGGAAGAAAGAAGAAGCAGAGGAAAACAGAACAGTGAGTAGGGGGATATGAGAAACACACACACACACACACATACACACACGCACACACACTGACACACAGCTCAGTGTTCCTGAGCTGACTGCAGGCTGACAGTAATGAATGTAAAACCAGGAAAGCTGGTAAGTGAAAAACTGAAAAGAAGAGAGTGTAAAGAGCAGGAGTGCTGAACAGGCACATCCAGAGCGATGTCTGAAGTCAACCACAACTCTTAAACTCTGCTCGATAGAAAAGGTCCTGTTAGTGTGTCAGCCTGCAGTGTGGAAGTGTGTGTTACACCGTGTCCTCAAGCCAGGTCCCTGTGTATTTATGGGTAAATAAAGTTAGGTGGGAAGGAAGAGAGCAGAGGGGGAGAGTGAGGAGATAATGGAGGGAAATAGGAGATAAAGAAGAGGCGAGGTGGGGACCTGACGGGTAAATCTATTAAAAAAGGAGGAGGAGAAAACGAAGATAACAAGAGCCAGGATCTGATGACAAACACTATCAATGTTCGGGCTAAAGCTGCAGCACACACTCCAAATACGATTGTACATCAACGTGTCTCACACACAGCTCTCTGTCTGATAGAGGCTGAAACCTGCTCTTTAATATCAACTTCTATGCTGGCCACATCTATGACTTTAAGTTAGAAAAAATGATCCATCGATTGTTACATCGTGCTTGAATTTATGCTGAATAAACTGCTTTTATAATGTTTCATTAGTGTGACAAACTTTGACTCAATGACATGTAAAACGTGTTAAAGGAAGGAGGCTTTAAATCCTAAAATAATCCAACAACACAAAAAATAACAATACTCAGTGTAGAACAATACAAATTCAAGAGGCGCTAAAAACTCTTCCAGTTAGAGAAGATAATTTCTGAGTCATGAAACGATCATGAAATCATTCTCTGATTGATAAACTGTCTCTGTGATTGAACAGACGTTATTTTGACATCCAGCCCACAGCCATGCAGCTCTCATCGGACTCCAAAGGCTTTCTGTGTCAGGCCTCGGTCCTGTTTCTATCTGGTGCTGGTCAGGGTAACTCTTTTTACTCTGCAATTATTGTAAATCTCAGCATAACATGGCAATCTTTCACTAAAAGCTGAAATATTTTGGTTTGCTTGCATCGACCAACAACTATAATCAAGCTGAATTCTCAGACTGAGAGTCTCAGTGCTGTCAGAAATGCTTAACAGCTTGACCTTTTCTCTGAAACCACTGAGAAAAAGAAGAGGATGCTCTCCATACAAACACAACAGCAGCTCATTTCCTCGATATTACACAGGTCTCTCTTAGTTGCTCTACAAAACATTTCTTTTTAATGTATTGTTGGATGTATTTCTCTTTACAAAAGCAGACAAAAACAATAATACTTGGTCCTTACTTAAATGACTTTAAGAGATCCCGAAATAGAAGCCTGGTAACTGTGATAAATGCACTTGAAGCAGCAAAGCGGGGTCAAGAGGAGGAAACACAAGATGGATTGTAAAAGAAATTGAGAAAGAAAGACGCAGCAAATATTAAGAGGTTGCAAGAGGACAAGGACAAAGAAATGAGGAAGCAGAGGGAGGGGAGGAGAGAACACAAGAAATAAGGAGTCTAAAAGGAGGAGGGTGAAAAAGACTCCCAGAAGTAATCTGTAAACTAAAGGGGGACATGAAAAGAAAAAATGTGTGGGTTTGTTTTTGTTGTTTTGTATTCTGGTGGTGAGTTATAATAAAGTGATGAGATGAGACACAAAGAGAAGGAAACCGCTCAAACACCTGACTCTTTCTCTTCCTTTAAGTCAGTTCATTCATCTGTGTCTCTATAAAAACAGACTCTTTCAGCCCCAGCTGTTACACAAGTGTTTCTGACAGCACACTCGGTCACATTCACACTGATGCAGCCTCTTTCTTTACAGCCGCGCTTAGAAACAACCTCCACCAACCAATTAAGAGTGTTTCAAGGTGACTCATGTCCGAGTTGTTGAAGAGAAATTTAAATTCTGACCAACCAAACAGTCGACAGCAAACAGAAAGAACAACTTACAATGTCTGTGCAGGTTACTCCACGAGGTGGTTACAGGCCAGTTCAAGCAGACAACGGATTATGTTATTAACAGAGCGCTATCGCAGGTCATTCCTCTCTTCTGCAATAAGACTTTACAACAAACTGTAATAAAACTGGACTCACACCACCACTTTTTTCTGGCATTTAAATTGTGTATATTGTATATAGTTTTATTTTCTTCTTCCTTTTTCTAAAATTTTCCTTAATTATTACATTTATTTAAGTTCTTAATATAACAATCTTTATTTTTATAACTGCATTTTTGCACTCTTTGTCCATGATGCTGCTGTGACAAAAAAAATTCCCCCATAGGAGATCAATAAAGGAATATTCTATTCTATTATGCTTTCTGTCATTTTTCCTTGTTTACATCCTGGTTGTGAATTAAAACATTGTGGCCATTTTTAACCAAAGCTAGAGCCCCAGCTAGTGGTGGGTGGTTGCACTACAGCTTGCACACGACACGCAGTATGACCAGCATTTTGGGCCTGTTAAAAAAATATGAGTTATTCTTTTGACAACACCTGATCACGTAGTTTACTAAACACACACATCTAATACACAATCTTCACATCCAGCAAGAGAAAGTTTCAGGTTTCTGTCTTTTTTATATACATGTGTTAGATTTCTTATTTTTGGTCTTATTTAATATTCAAAATGTAAATGTGCTTGTCACAAAGTTTATATTTGTTTTTTACAGTGTGTATGAGTGTGTCATCTGAGCACCTTACTCTGCAAAACAATGTTGTATAACAACAGGGTGTGTATTTCAGGAGGAGCACTAATGATACAGAGACCAAAATCTCTCTGTGAATGTCTGTTTCATCCCACCTGACAGGAAGATAAGATATAAACTCATTTTGAGTAAAATTTTTACTGGGGTGAAATCCACTTAGATTGCAACTAAATATAATTTGAATCATCATTTAGTAGGTTGCCTTACTGAATATAAAATTAAGGCTTTCTATCTTGTGGTCCAAACCCAGAGTAGTGAGAATATTATTTTTTGTGTGAGCCAAACAGAACAAAGAGAAGCAGCAAAATGATCTCACTTGAAAGACAAAAATAGCTGAAACACAAACAAATGAACAGTATATATTCACTGATGCAACCACCAATCAGCAGGGAAATAACGACCGCATTAAAGGACAGTGAGCGTCTCTCCCATGTTTGGAAGGCTGCCAACATGAAGTAGCGTCTGATCTCAATTCTATTAGCATATTAGGAATGATCTCATGGGAGTGCTGAGCCACATCAAGCACAGATCCCACACATACGAACTCACACGCACTCTCCCTTGTGGTCCCACAAATCATGTGTGTGTCTGTGTGAGGCCAATAATGACACTGTGACTGAGACGAACAGAGAGGGTGTAATTGCCTCGTCGGGTAGTGCTCGGCTATAACAAAGCCTCATGCTGCTAACACGGCTGCTATTTCAAACGTGTGAGTGTGTTTATGTTCTGCTTTTCATAATCACATCCTCGTGGGCCGTGTGGAGTCTAGAGGCACACTGAACACACACTGCCGAGACTTGTAGCCAGTACAAACAATGTTCATACACATAGAAATCCATGCTAATTCTGTCCCACTTTGGTGCTTAAGCAGGATAAAAATATTGGCTGGCTTCATATGCCGGCGCATGTTTATATACTCCTCATTTACGGACTCACCGTTTTCTTTTAAAAGGCGACTTTGGTATATCAGCTACAGGTATCATCTGCTCTCCTGGTCTGACCCACATTATTGGCCCATCATCGCTCTCTGTGGGACTCATCTGCCTCAGACTGGAGAGGGTTCCCCATGGAAGAGTCCGCTGCAGACAAAGAGAGAAAAATGAATGAGGGAGAATAATCAAACATGTTAGCTGCACATTCTTTACTTTTCAATCCAATTCACAGAGAGAGAGAGTGAGAGATCTGCGCGTAGAAACTGCCCTGGTGGCATATCTTGTCACTGGCACCCAAGATGTTTGAGAAGGTGCTGAATCAGTGCCAGCGCTCCTTGACAGATAGGAAAAGCCAGAAGATGAGCGTCTTTTTGATATTCAGCATACGACGCCACTCCTCCAAACTGCGTGCAGCAGAGATTTGAGGTGTCAACACAGAATAGCAAACAGAAGAAAAGCATGTCACTCCTGCGTTTAGTGACAGCAGTAAACACGGTGTTTTGGTGGTCTGTACCCGCACAGGCTTTTTAAAATTAGAGAATAACATCCTGAACTGGAGCTAATCAGTCAGACACACCACTTAACGCCTCCTCTTTGCCAGCCACCACTGAGAATATTAGGTGTTATTGATGTTTGTCTCTCACACAGTCTATCCATCTGCTCCCTCGCAGTATGTCGCATTTCCACATTAACAGCAGAGTGAATGCATCAAAATGTTTTGGGGGACTCTTATTTATAGCTGCGATGAAGAACATTTATAATAAATTGACTTTTATTGGGTACAAGTGAGAAAATATGACGAGGGTAAATGACAAGCCTGTGATATTTCAGTGAAATGGTGTTCTGTGAAAAACTGTCAGCCAGCTGAGTATTGTCGAAAGGTTGAAGTTATAGCCGAAGAGTGGGTCCAGCTCAGTTTTGTTTGGATTTGCTCGGTTGAAAAATTTGCACACAAGAGTTTTAGAGCAAGAGGAAACTTGTGTTTGACAGAAACAAAAACAAAAGAGTTTTTTCAGTGGGATGCATGGGTGCAAGGGGAGTGAGTTAATCCATAATCCATGCAGATCTCGCCCACAGTTCGGGATGGGATAAGAACAGCTGATTCAGTGCACAGGGGTAGGAAAATTAAATGTCAGGTTGTGAGTTGGTGATGTGAAAGTAGAAACAGAAGTTCTATTTTCTCCCTTTGGTCAAGTATACTGACCAAAAAAGGTAATTTTCTAAACTTAGTGAATCAGTCAAATGTAAACGTTAGTCACAGCTGCAAGTACTGATAGTTTTAGGTATCAACTAGTCAGCATTTATTTAAACAATTAATGGACCTATGAGACAATGAGATACATGTTCTTAACGTGTTTTATCAAGACTGAACCTCTCTCTTTTAAACTCAAAACATAAGAAGATGAAATGATGATGAAGAGGGGACTGGTCTAAAGATGCAAACCTCCATCAGTGTGGCTCTAGTGTCGCACTGTTAGGTTGAATGTCACAGTTAGTATTAAGGAGAGTCAGTCAATCTTGTTTTCAAACCCTCCTGCTTCACTGACACACGACTGTGATGAGCAGGTTTGCAGAGCTTGCAGACTGCTCCTCTTCTATGAAGCATTAAGGGTGAGATGCTCCTGGACTGTAGAAATTCTAGAATAGAGCTACATTAGCCACCACTATCTTGCTTTATTTTGTTTATTTTTTGCATCCTGGTTGCTGTTTAGTATGTGCCACACAGAGATAGTAGATGACTGATAAATGGACAGGATAGATAGTTATGATGTAAGATGTCTCCTTCAGTTATTCAACTTTGGAAAATAATGTTATGTCCATAAAAAACCCAAACTTACAGATGTGATTGATATTTTATTTTGTAGTTCTGGTTTCTCCAGATTTGTGTGAATCTTCTGTTAAAACAAGTGAAAGTATCCACAGTCCACAAGTGAAAGTAGAGTTTTTTCACTGACTTTTTTGTGGTTCCTCTTTGAGCTTTGAGGAAACCCCCCTCTCATCACAGGGGACAGGAACAACTTCCACCTTTTTACTCCAAATGTGTCATTAAGTTCTGATACTTGTATTTCCTAAAAGTTACAACCTTATCTGGGAGAATTTTAAAAAACTCTGATACCCTGTTACACTTTACAGCCATTATTTGACTTACCTTCAGGAAGGGCGACTTCTCCAGCATGCCAAGAAACTCTGGGAAATAATCCCCGACCTCCTCGTCCACAGCTCCCACTAGGCTGATCTGTCTCATTGCACCAGCTCTGTACGTGCCGTTACTGTACGTTTTCTTCACCTGGAGAGATCACAAGAGAAAATGCAATGTTACATTTTTTCATATTATATTGACAATTGCAGCAGGTGGGTGCACAACAACAGCTGTTTGAATAAAGAAGCAGCTCTGATAACTATTACTCTACAGCTGAGAGGTAAACAATGACCTCTTATCCAGCAACCAATGTAGATATGCATAAGTTACAAAATGAATGAAATTATAATCAAATCACTGGATTTTGGCACTTCGAGCAGAATTATTTTGAGAATAATGTCCCTGTTCTGGTTTTATATCCTCTTTCTGGTCCTGATATCCTCTAACCTGGTTTACATTTGAGGCATTAGCTCACTGAGGCAACTTTCTGCAACCATGTCAGCTTCAAGAAAGCATTACAACCAATGATTACAGCCTGAACAAGACTGCTCTCTTTAGGTTTTATACAGTTGTCAATGTAGAGCACTGCTGAGCTGGAAATTTAATAAGTTATTACCTCAGTATTGAACCAGTAATTGAACTATTACCTGGTCTGGATCAACTCAATTATCCAAAACATACTTGGTGTAAAAAATTCTAAAACAAACAGGAACACAGCAAAACCCATTTTATTAGTCAGGCTCTACCAGAGAGAGGATTTCAACACTTGTGTCCTTAGCAGAATGTAATTCCCTTCACTCTACTCTTCACTCAAGTCTCTCTTCAGCTTTCTTATCTGATAAAGATGAAATGTTCCAAAAATGAACAGAAACAAACTATTTGGGGGGGAGGGGTAACAGTTATCTGTCTTGAGTGTGTCTTGTGACACCTGGTTGAAAACCGTTCAACATTGAGGGGTTTTTTTAACCCTTAAGTCAACTTGGTGTTAGATTTTGTGAGAAAATGTTGATGGCTTGAACAAATTGTGCAAAAAAGTTTCTCCAATTACAATCATGTTTTGTCATTTTTAGTCTGTATTTACCAATTCTGCATTTATATGCACCACATTTTGGTGTTGAAGTGTTCTGCTTCTGTTTGTACAACAGGTAGTATTTTGATCTGGCTAAGTGCAGGTTGTTTCAGATCAACCATAATGCAATTCTAGGACCTCAGCAGTTATTCAACAATGATGATCAGGCTTTGATGTAGGTCAGCATGTAAGAGTAGCTGACATTTCAGTTTTTCAACAAACACAACTTTGTGCTCACTGTTTGTGTTTGTGGTTAGGGTATAAATAAATGAAACCCCAACAGCTGGCAACACCGGAAGCCCTGAGAAGTTGGCCATCGCACCATGAGCCTCATCGTTGTTTAACAATAGCTGATGGGAGACAAGGCGGGTATGTCCCCTCACAGCATGGACAAACAGGGTAAAAACGATAGTGTGTGGAATAAGGTTTATATTTATTGAATGATGTTTGTTCGCCTGGAGTACAAGTGAGGGGAACACAAAACTAGAGTCTGACGTCTGACATGGAAGCTGAGGATCATCACTGAGTGTCAAAAAAGACACTGTGTGTGTGTGTGTGTATGTGTGTGTTTATTGGAGGTTTAATTTGATGGTTCTGCTTCACCGGTGTGACTTAACAGACTGTTTGCTGCTCTTCACTTGGCTGACAGAGCATGGCTTGTGTGCCTGTGTGTGAGAGAGTGTGTCTACCCTGTCTTCCATACCCTTGGCCCTCAACAGCGCCTTTGTGTGTGTCAGAGTGTGTGCAGTACGTGCAGCATGTGGCCCGCATGCTGTACTCTTGGCTGATCAGGATGTGTGTGCATCTGAGTGTTAAAGTGTGTGTGTGTTTGTGTGTTAGCTAGATCCTTGGCTGCTTGCCTCTAGTGAGTCACCACTTGACAACTAGGCAGAGATAAAGAGGGAGAGAGGGGAGAGAGAGACCAGAGAGGGGGAGAACGAGAGCGAGGATTCATGAAGAAAAAATATGAGGGGGAGGGAGACAGATGGAGAGAGAGAAAGAGAGACCGTAAAAAAAAAAAGTGCAGAAAAGGAGAGTAAACCAAAGAAAGGTAAGATTAGGTAAAAGCAAAGATGTTAAGGAGACAAGAAAGGCTGTAAAGGAGGGAGGAGGAGACAGAAGGCAGGTTGGAGACGGTGGGAAGATGGGAGGTGGAGATGGAAAGAGGGACTTGAAATACAGACGAGGAAGGTGCTCAGCTCACAAGCATGTCTTGGAGCAAGTCACTGGATCCTAAAACAGCTGCTGGGTGACAGGACTGTAGGTCAGGGTAGCTCTCAAGATGCGTGTATCGATGTGCAAGTGCGTGTGCGTATGTGCTGAGTTGTTCACCCAGTAGCTCGGTTATTTATAGAGGCTGGATTATTAGTACAGACTGCCAATAAAACCTCGATTCTATCCGCACACGCCACATGACATGACGCAGCCCAGCCTTGTGTAGGAGTCAAAATATCTTACCTGAAAAATAACACTAACACTGAAAAACATCATTACTAACAGGTTTATGTGAGAAAGCTAATTATGGATGCCCAGCAGCAGCATTAGTCATAGTATTAAATGGCAGATATATCTACAAATGTGATGACCTCATTCAAGCCTGACAAACACAACACAGAAGGTTTGGATGGTGAATTTTACAAAAATGGTCTTTAAAAAAAATCTGAATTTTGGAAAGTCGACACTGAAATCGACAAAATGAATTCATGCACTTTTTTAACGAATCGCGGTACACTTTTCAAACAGCAGAGGGCACTATTTATCCTTGACTTTCCTTGATTGTCGTTATTATGTCTGGTACCTCCATCGCTATGATAGAGACATACAGGTAACAGCAACAGTTTCCACACATAAACACAGCCTGCACGAGTAAATTTGCTAACAGTTTTAATATTTCACTGTTTGTACCTCTATGTGGACGGACACCCTCTCTTTCTTTCTCTTTAACTCCTGAAACTTTCCAATCTTGCATAAGAACTTTTTTTGTCATTTCAAAATAAAAGTACATTTCTCGACTCAACATCAGACATGACAAAAGGCGAACAAAAGCACAACAAACAACCTTTTAAGAGATTGTCTGATCTTTAAAGGATTAATATAAACTATAAACAATTTAATTGACCAAAAGATTGAATGTCATCATCCTCATTTGTCTGCAGCTGAGATATGACCTGATTGGATCTATTTATATTTTGTTACTACAAGCCAAAAATTCTGTTTGTGTTTGTGTTAAAGCTGTAGTGCAGCAAACTGCCACTAGTTGGGGCTGTTGCTCTGCTACGGCTGTAATGATCTACTATCCGGATGTAAACGCGATGACAGTAGTAGAGACAGTGGTAGAGTTTTAATTAAAAAAAACAGATAAAATGTGTCTGTGTCTGATTATACTGGCATATAACAACTCTACCTGAGCAATGCATGAACACAACAGGCCTGTGGACGTTAACCTGCAAGGACAACCAAAACCTAGTTGTGCTTCGATAAATCGAGATTGATTTTTTTCTGTTCCCTTTTATTAGTCTGCTCATTACAATTTAAATTTCCACTTTGTCATCCAGGGAGTTAGTCTTCTTGGAGCATCCCTGATAACACCCTCAGAGGAATCATGAAAAATCCCATGTGAACTTGGCGTATGAACTGTTGAGTGTATAATTACATCCTGAGGAACAAGTAGCTGCAAATATTGGATTTTTCTGTTTGAAAAATGTCTGCAATTATCATTAAACTTTCAAAACTTTACTTTGCTAAAGTCCCTCACCTCTACACCTTGTTGATTAGCTAACCATTTCCAGTGGCTCTAGTATGTCCAAAAGCTGTAATTACAGTCCAAGCATCTAAGCTGCAGGTTTGGGACTGAGTAATTCACCTTAAAAGTCAATGTACTGCCAGCAATAATATGAATAATACCCTTGTGTAAACCGGTCTAATTTCATGCTCCAAACAACTGCCTATTGGTGTTAATTTAATCTCTGATAAATTAACAAAATAAATTCTCATGCATGGACAGACCGGACCACGTGGTCCTGCTTGTTTGTTCGCTTCATTTCACTGCATCAGTTCCCCTGACACCGTGTAATATCCTCCTAAGAAGATGATGACTAAAAGCCTGAAATACGCACTCCGCACACGTAAACACATCACAACTTTAAATAGTCGCACTGAGTCAATGACCTAGATACTGAGGAGGCTGTGTTTGTGTGCACACATGGACTCGAATGCATCACAAGCATGTGTCTGCCGCCAGTCTTTCTCAGCCGCTGTGTGTATTTGTGATAGTATTCATGCATTCATCTTCCAGCTTGCTTTTCAATTGTGCGTGCTTTTGTGAGCATCTATGTCCTCTGTGAGTGTGTTAACATGATACCTAATTAACAGCAGAATAACCCCCACACACACCCAAACACATACACACAACAACACGCTGTTGACAAAGAGAGAAGCCTCTTACTTTCACATAAGTACTCAGAAACACTGCCTCAAATAAACGGATAAATTTAACAGCCGCTGATTCACTCTCAGAAACGCACTTAGCTTGTCTATTATAAGAGAAACAGGAAATGTGACAGACTTCCTGAGTGCTACTATTTAAGTTGCTACCCTCTCTCCTTGTAGTTGAGTGTACTGATGTATAAATGTGTTATGACAAATCACAGTTTCTTGGTTTTAGCTGCTATAATTATTAATTACCTTCATTCAAATGATACTGCTGCCAACAAATACAAGTTTAAAGATCAGAAGTAACACCTCACTTTGAGGAATAATACTGCATCTCACACTCACAAGAATAAAAAGCCATCTTCATTGCATATTATCATCACTGTTGTCTCCCCCCCCGGTCACTTTTCTTATTTTTCCATCTCTAAGACCACTGAACTCTCTTCTTTCTTATCTTAAATCATCTATTTTCTCATGTCTCCTCATGTCCTGCATCCTCTCCATCTCTGGTTCACCTATTCCAACTACTTGTTAACGCCATAACAACGTCTCTCCTCCAGCACATCCTTCACTCTTTACTTGAGCAGAGTTCATGTCATGGGGTCATGTCGTCGCCAATCTGTCCGACCTCTCCTCGACCTCGCTCCTCTTCGTCTCCCTGACTCATTATGTCCAGTCAGCCTCTGGAGCGCTAAGTCTATTACAGCGCCTGCGTCATGACAAAGCTGCTGACTGGTGCCAAAAACAAAACTGCACAAACGATTCTTACATAATCTGTCCCTCGGCCCAGCAACAAACACAGACACACTTTGAAAGAGTTTCGTGTAATCTTTGCTTTAAAACTTCATCTGAGTCCAAGTTCACAGCTAAACTGTGCCAAAGCTTAAGTTCTAAGATTGACGCATATGCTCACTTTGGAGCTGTGGTAGACTGTCAGACAAATGAAGTTGGCAAACTGCTGTCCCACCTGACGACTTGAAACAGTGAGACACAGTACATCCCTTCAAATTATGTAAACATTATGTGTTTACGCCAACAGGACAGCCCCAATATTCCAAAAGCAATTTCTGACTGATAAAAAGGCGCCTTCTAATATTGATTTGCTTCTTTTATTTGAAATCATAACATGCTTTAATAACATGCTATAGATGTTAAGTTTAACTATGAGCTGGTATTCTGCTGGACCCAGGAGAAGAGGTTCATTTAGTGGTTAACTTTTAAGAATCAATGGTGATTATTGCGATTACTCTGCCAAAAAAAGTGATTAAACTCCAAAAGGAGTTATTTTAAAACTGTAAAAAGTAAGATTTAAATGTTCTTGCTTCTTGATCATAATACAAACATGTAATTCAATTCATTCAGTGGTAAACTCAGAGAACTAACTAACTATCTTCAAGTTGTTTACCAATTAGAGTGTTGCTTTAATTAAGTCCAGGGCCAAGACTCATGTCAAACTTAAGTCCCAATCTTAGGACTTGTGTTTCGACTTACAAGTGAGCATTAAGTACATCAAGACTCAGAAAATGGAGAGAAGGACTCAGACTTATTTACTGATACAGGTTATTTTAGAGCTTGTTTCAGGGTTTTTTAGTATAAGGTCCTAATAATCGTTTAGTTTCCAGCAAGGACTGGCACGTGTCCATATGCTTGTGTATGTGCTTGTGTAACAGCTCTTGCAAGGATGCCTGAAAACATGCCATGAATTGTGTTAATGTGAGCAGTACAACATGTACACATCATGAAGAAAAAGGGACAAGCTCAAACTTTAACAGACATGTGTCCAGTGTAAAGAGACATGCTAAAGTTGCTTAAACTGTTGTTCATGTTACCATTAGCGAGGCAGCTTACGTGACTTGGTGCAACTCCCCATAAAGAGAGGCATAGTGTGCATTTACACACCAAGTGTAGCCCTTTAATTTCACATATATTTCTTGCAGGATCAGACAGAATCTAATAATAATGTCATCTATTAATAAATGTACATGTGTTTTCTACACCCACAGTCAGTCAAGGTTCTCTCTCACACACACAGCACCCCAACTTATCACAAATGACAAAAATCAATAATAAGGACTTAACTCAGACTTGAACACTGCAGACTCAAGACCCGACCGCAACACTGACCTACTCAATATTTCCTGCTGGATGAATATTCCAGCTTTGACAGGCGATACTTTTTCACTGAATAAAAACATAGTGGACAGTCTTACCATATCATCTGATCAATAATGGTTATATTAGCATGAATTGGAGGACACATCAAATTTCAATATTCACCCCAAACGCCATTTTCTTTCCTATATTATCAACTGTACTTCCAGCTCGAAGCTTCCAACTTGAAGAGGAGTTTTTATAGATAGATTGGAGTTTTACCCAAGATCAATTTCTTGGCTATAGGAAAATTTGTTTTATACTTTTTTTTTAAACTTTTGAATAAAACAAACAAAAACTCTTCAAACCTTGTCAAGAATAAATGAATTTTTATCTTGTTTTTTTTTTTTCTGTCATGCTCCTAAACGTGCTGGCTTTCAGCATCATTCACATGAGTACACAGTAATAAATATAATCTGCGTAATATTCCTTTGTTTTGTATTCATTTGTTGCTGTAACAACATTGGTAGTCTCAGTGACAAAACAGGAAAGACCAAATTTACCTCACTGTTGAGGCACATCATGTATCGACTGTCGGGGCTGTGCTTGCCCTGAGAAAATAGAGTGCTGTAATCTTCTATAATCCTTAGCACCGCTGAAAATGCCTTCAGTCAGGTACTGAATACAAAATACTCCAGCAGAGCCTGAGCGGCAGCAAACCAAGTCTGATACCTGCAGTCAAATCCTCAACATCAAACACATGGCTTGGTTTTTTAAATTCTCGTACAATATTCAAAGAGCACATGGAGAAGTATGTGGGGAAAAAAATCGAAGTGAACATGCTAAACACACAACAAAAAGACGTGCAGAAAGAGACAGGGGTTAAGAAGAGAGGGACCTACACTGAGGGAGACACACATTAAAGGGGAAGTGAGAGGAAAAATGTGTGGGTTAAGTCATTAATCTGCTTGTGCGTGTACACCTGTGCTGTGTTGTGTGTATATCAATGTGCCTGCTCTGTGTTTGTGTGTGTGTGTGTGTGTGTGTGGACTGTATGTCTACTTCCCAAGGTCACTGCTGAGAGCTGGGAGAGAGGGAAAAAAAAATTAACAAGACCAGTGGACAATGACGTTAGCCCAGCAAAAGACACTACTCTTAAAGGGACAGTGCAGGTTTTCAGGGCAAACTCTCAATTAAGACGATGACCTGATTAGGAGTTTAATTCACTAATAATTAGGTGGAATTAATTCATTCAGAAACACGCTGAAATCAAGGGTGTGTTTGTTGTGGAAAGGCCGGCCAAAGTCGAGACGAACACATGGAATCAGTCTATGAATATTTCATAACAAGGAGAAACAGCCAGAAGGAGAGCAATAGATAGAGAGCGTAAACTGCTGTACCTCCTGTAAAACCACACACACATACACACACACTCAAACACACATTTTAGACGGCGTGGTAGTCGGTTCTGCCTGCACTCACACTGAAAAAGAGCAGGCGGTAAGTATCCTGACACAAAGCCACTCATGAGGTTTGAGGCAACAAAAGGCTTTTCATTAGTGAACTATGGATGAAATGGGACGACTGTAAATGAAGAGGTCTGTCTGAGCCGCTGTGCTCGGAAGAGACAATCCTGAAACACACCATCAGCACACACACATTTCTTGTTTTTCAAGTGTACTCAAAAGGTTGTGTAGTACTTTGAGGAGGAGACGACAAACCCCCCACAGCTATTCTGACAGTCTATAAATTCACTTCTTGCTTTCCTATCTTCTGGCTGTCTTTTTTTTTGCCACTTCTCTTTCACCTTTTGTTGTCACCCCTGTATCCCCTCTTTTCTCCCTTTTAAAATGTCTTCTTGTCAGTATTTTTTTTCTTCATTTTTTGCCCTTGCTCTATCTTTGCTCTGTAACATTAAGTAGCATGACAATAAGTGCAGCAACCACCTGCCCTCAGCAACTTCTCTGCTGTCTATATTTTCGTGGGAGACATCAGACATCTGTACAAACGCCAAAAGCTGTGTAATACTGGACAGATGGAGGCAGATGCTTCATCCAGATGGTTAAAGCCTCAATAAAGTAACTTTTTCATCAGCATGAAGCAGTTATTCAGTCTTTTTCTGAGACAGATCTTTCTTTCCCAGTCCTCTTCTGACTTGGACCACACATTAGATTTAATTTCCCCTTATCCTCTATTAACCATCTTACAATTTGTCTCCTGAGTTTACTATCTTTTTCTCTCTCCTTACATACTAAATGTGAAAATGGGCAATGATGGGCCTGGATTTACGTTTGTATTTCAGCATATAAAGTGAATTTTACATAACTGTTTCCAAAATGCTCTTCGCCACACAATAACGCCACAAGGAATACAACTGGGGGACTAATATTCACTGTAGACGCTCACTGTACAGTTTAGTTTCACAGCTTCAACACACATAGGACAGGTTATTCATAAAGTTATCAAAGATTACACAGCCTCAAGCCTGCAAGCCAGCCTAACGTAATCACTGTTCACAATACTTCAGCTAAAAGCACTACAGATTCTGAATTGAAGTTAAGGCACGTGTGTGGAAGCAGCTGTCCTTGTATTTTGCCACAGAAAAAAAAACAACCCTGTATCTAATTTGAGGTTCCTGGTAGCTCTCCAGCTCTTCCTGTGTGTGTCTGCATGTGTGAGAAAGTTTGAAAAGAAAGACTGCTGAGTTGTGCCATCATCCACTACTGTTGTACTTTACCACAGTGAGAACTCTTTGATCATAAGACTTCAAAAGACACTCCTGGGTCAAGTGACCAGAGTGAAAAAAAGCCTAATCTTTTACACAAATGTTCAATGTTAACCATCCTAATGGTTGCAGAAATAGTTTGTTTCCTGTTCAAGGACGGTTACAATGTTCAATCTAATAGATTTTACACAGGCGACAGAATAAAAGGTGTGGAAGAAACCCATGATTGAGTTACACAGTGTTGGGGATCACATTGATTACATTAGCTTCTTTTACTTTGCCTGCTAACAACAGGGCTGCTATGCCTATTACACCTCAATGTCACAATTAATGCCACAGAAGCAGAAGGGTGTGGTAAAGCTGTTTTGCCCCTGAGCTGGCAGTGGATGTTGTTACACAGGTGCACACAAGCAAAACAGCATCAGCAGGATGTAACATAAACATCACAAGAGCAGAGCAGAGCTGTGTGTGTATGTGGCTCAGTAATAACAAGACTGAGCATCACCTTATACTTTAGATTTACACCAACATCACACCACATGTGGTAAAACTACAAAGGCACAATCTCTGTCATCCTTTTACATTTGTACTTGGATGCCGCTCTGCAACTGAATAATACCAGTTAAGTGGAGTTCTGGCTCCATTGAGCGATTTCACTAGATTACTTCTCCCAGTATCCAAGCACCAAGCAAAAACCAATTCACTGAGAAATGTACCACATTTTCTAAAAGTTACGATGGCACCCTCTTCCAATTGGCCTATTGCATTATATCAAAAACAATTAACAAACAAGTTAGCAAGAGGCTAAGTGGCTGTTTGTTGAACAATGAATGCTTGTTTACCGCCCAGCCTGCTTCAATTGTATGAAATACAGTTTGACATCTGCGTAAAAGCCTGGCATGTGAACTGTGGAGCATGAGCAGAATAATTACACCAGTTTTTGTCCAGCTGCTGTATAAACATACATGAGAAAATCCCCTCTGCATTATCTATGTACAATTTGACTCAATTGCATTCATGTCATGTTTATATTTACTCTAAAAGACCAGTTTCAATCAAACTCATGCAATAGATCAAATGTTTTAACGTTATGTAAGCCTAGTGATTGAAACAAAGCCTTGCAAAAACAGTGGCATAACATGTAAACAAACAGCTGGAGCGTCATATACACTCCCACATGCACACATGGTGCGTCTCCATCCTGCCAGGTCTACAATTTTACTGTGATTCTGTCTAGCCCCTATAATGCTTACCCGCCTACACCAGTATTTGACTGACTGCCTCACCTTATTTTACTTTCCTGCTCTGATCCAGTGAAAGGACATCTTATCTGCCATCATTAAAATCCATGGGAATGCAGCAGCAACCGATTAATGTCGAATGTCATCAGCAACCCTGAAAAACTCTGCTGCAATTAGCGTTATTAACCAATGTAAGCATTTCCTCGGTAGTGTCTCTATTTGGAAGCACTTCGCCTGTTATTTTGGTCCTCAAACTTTTTTTTCCTTCCACTGTCTGAAAGCTCACCATCTGCTCTGTGCTCTTCGCATTTCCCAGCTGAACAACCAAAAGACAAAAACTGTGTAATCTTTTTTTTTTTTTGCAAAGAGCGATGGTTGCAGCATTTTGCACAACTCTCTTATCAACGCTTTGAGCACATGTCCTCCTAAAATGTCATATTTCAGTGTGTTTATGCGCATGTCTGCATTCTGACTGACCTGAGAGTAGAAATTAGCCATAGTCGTGGTTTCAATATCCTTCTTCCCCAGTATTTCCATTTTGACTGGAGCTGATGGAAACTTTGTCGAGAAGTAGTCCAAAAAGTCTGGTAGGTATCCTGCTTCTCCATGGATGATCCCCATGACGTAATGAGCTGCCTGGAAAACAAGGTTGATTTAAGTGATATTTTCAACCCAACAAGAGAATGCTGATTCTGATGAGTGTATCCTGATCCTTACCTGGGATGAGTCCTCACTAAAAGACAAGGTGACAAACTCCTGGGCGAATCTCTGCTTCTCTCCTTCAGAGAGACTAGACAACTGCGACGTATAGGCATGGGCCACCAGGGCTCCACCGTTAGGCTGGTTTTCTATGTGGATGTAGGAGGCGAACTCCAGCCCTGCCAAGCCAGGATAGGAGCACTGTGGCTGGTGTTTTGTTGGGGAAGGCAGCAGTGTCTTGGCAGACGGTGGAGAGTTTTGAGTAGAGGAAGTGAAAAGAGATTTGCAGGCAAGAGAAGGGGAGGAAGGCAAGAGGTGAGTTTTGTTGTTAGGTGGAGGGTAGACAGGGAGAGGGGACTTGAATGGAGACAGGGGGGAGTTGGTGGCGGTTGGAGAGGATGGAGAGCGAAGGAGAAGGCCGGCACAAATTGTCTGGCAGGAGCGGTGGTACATCTTCACTCGTTTATGCTTCTCGCCCTCTTTGTGTTTCTTTTTCTTTTTTTTCTTCACTTTTTTGATTTGTAGCTCCTCGGTGTTGATCTTGGCTTTCTCTTTTTCATCTGGACAGAAAACAAAGACAGTTGGTAGAATGTTATTTCTTATTTTTATAGGAGAGGAAATCTTTGAGAGATCATCACACAAATATAAGGAAAAACACTGTTTGTGCAGGCGGCATAAAGAAGACCTATTAAACTGAGCTGTCTGATGTGTTATGGATCAACAAAACTATCTCAGTTCTACTATTCCTGTACTGTGAGAAGAAATCCTTTACTTTGTGGTGAATCATTTTGTATTGATGAAAGCTCAGAATTGCTTCCAGTAAAATACGAGACAGGAGAAAAATATAAATGAGGCAAGTGTGATCAATACTGTCATAAATACAACAAGAGATTCAGCAGACGGCTGCATTTTTATTTGTAGTTTTTGTATAATCAGGACATGGGGGTCCCTGATAAATTCCCTGTTTAAAAAGCAATACAAGAGAAAATAATGAGTCTTAACCATTTCAAGTAGTTGTAGACAGATGACTCATTGCTTTACCCAGATGGTGCACATCTCCTGAGGTGCATACATAAAATAAATTCAAGAGCCCTAAACTGAAATCCCTTGAGAGCAGCGGAGATGACTAAAACAGGAAACAAGCTTTCAAGGTTGCATTTTATTCAAACGGAGATGATACTGTAGACGATGGTAGACTGTCTCTTTAGCGCCTGAGGCTGCACAAAGCGGAACATGCAAATTTATGCACAGAGCAACCGTATGTGTTTGTGTGTGCGAGAGAGCGCTCTTCACATCTATTTGCTAATGTGTTGCTGGCTGTTTCCTGTCCAGCGGTTGTGTAAATAAGTGGACATTTATACATGGACTGTATGTGAGTGTATGCATGTGCGTGTGTGTACATGTGAGTCACTTTGATAGAGGTGCTGCTGCCTCAGCGTAATTCAAATATCAGCTATCATCTCATTCACACACACACACACACACACACACACACACACACGCACTTGCACAGACATCCTTTAGATGAGTTTGTACCCTGCACACGTTCACCGTCAGATAAGGCAGGAATGAAAAACTGCAAAAAAGAGAGAGAGAGAGGAAGGAGATAGTGACATTATGTGTGTATGTGTGTGTGTAGAAAGAGGGAGAGAATTGGGGGAGGGGTTAAAGAGCTTTTGGATTAGTAGCTCGGGTATTGTGCAGCAAATACTGTCTTGCTGTTGCTCTCTTACACACGCACACACACTCACACACAATCTATAACAGAACAATATAAAGAAACTGTGTTAGGTGTGATGAATATGTTTGATACTGTGATGTTGAGGTGAAAGAAATAGACGGATAAGCTTGTTGTTGTACTGTGTCACACTTGTTCAAACTTAAGGGACAGTAAATTGTTTTATTTGTAGTCACAAGATAACTTCCTCGAAGTGTACTTTTGATAACAATGAAGACATTGTGTTTCTTTAAATAAGGTTTACTAGCATGCAGCTCATATTAGCAGACCAAAAAAAAAACACAAGCTGGTTCAGATACAAACCCAAACAAACTTGTAAAATAATAAACTTCTTATCCACCATGTCAAACAATGGTGAGTGTGTTGTGTTCCTGCAGCATGTTGTAGTGAGGTTGCATCACTTCTGTCATGTGAAACTCACACTCTTCGACTTGCATGTTGTGTAAACAGAGTTAGATAACTGCAAATCATCTTAAGTCTATAAAAATCTGAAAACAGGGCAAAGACAGAAAAAAAGATTATGAAAAACATAAACTTATTTTAAATTTGACACAAGACATAGTTGGAACAGGGACAACAAAACACTGAAAAATTCATGTAATGCTAAAAAAGACACCCAGAGAAACATCCCTAAACTAATTATACTGATTTTTTACAGGTTAATAACGTGACAGTGTGAAAAGGGCAATCCAGAGAGGTTGAGTCTTTTACAATTTAAGATTATCATGGAAATGCATTAGTGACAATGGCATGGATAGTTTTCATGTGTGGGAAGGCACCATCATTGCTAAACAATAAACACAGGTTTTAGACCAACATATACTACTTTTTGGACGGTATCTTCCGCAGGGAAGACCTTGTTGCAGCAAGAAGATGCCAAACTAAACTTTGCTCATGTTACAACAGCATAATTTCGTTGAGGAAAAATGTGGGTGCCGAATCGACCTTTCTGTAGTCCTAACTTGTCACCTTTCACAAACATTTCCTCTATCATAACACAAAAATACCACTTTTGAAATTTGAAATGCCAAGCAGCTGAAATCATATCAAGCATTTATGGGACAGCATTTAGCTGTCACAGTTTCAGATGCTGGTCTCCTCAGCGTCCAAACACTGACAAAGTGTTGCAAGAGGTGATGCATTACAAAAGTAAACATGCCCTTCTTCCAACCGTTTTGAAACATGTTTCACAGCTTTTTTTTTATTATTGAACAACATAATTATGTGGCTTTAACATTCAATTTGATTTCCTTGTACTACAGGTATTGTCAGTTAAATACAGACTTCAGATGATTTGCAAAACATCAAATTTTGTTTCAATCAACATTTGATAAAGTAACCCTACTTGAAATGGGCTGTAACGTTGTCTTGTATGAGCTGATGTGAAGAGATCTGACAACTTTTCTGTATTTGTGTACAGGTGTGTGTGTGTTTGCTTTTTCCAACTGTCTTTCAGAAACATTGCTTCTTGAGGGGAACACTGTTGAGAGTCAAAGTTGAACATACTTGGATATTTTTAAAAGACACCTGAATTATTAGACCGCCCTGAATGAAAGATGATCTAAACTTAAGACAGAATTTTATGATCAACCTTAAAGACTTCAGGAGAGCTCAAGGAGGAGGGCACTGATTTTTTTAGCTCTCAATCCAATTTGGAAGGATTTTCCTACTCAAAACTTGATGAAGTTAGTATGAAAAGAAAAGAAGAATGAATGTGATTTCAATGTGGGGGAAAAAAGGTCTAATGGGTAGAGCTGCAGCTGACTTTGATTTCCTTTGAGAATTAATCTGCAGATGTATTTTTATCTTATAAAACCAGTGTAAAAAATATGAGACATATTCAACGGTTAGTTTTACATATAACCAAAAATCAAACCCTTTTATAGTCTGTTACATTAGACCGCAAAAAGCATCTGAACTTAAAAACCCCTACGTTGAAAAGTTTTGATAGTTGTAAGGAAGAATATGTCTTTAATAGATTGTTGATATTTTATTTTTCATTCAAGAGTTGATTGACAGTCATTCCTGCTGCTTTAAAGACCTTCAATAACCTGTTAAAGGAACATGTCTGATAGTACATCATGTCTCTCCCTTGACCCTCTGTCAGCTGCTTAAACAATCATGTCAGTAACTTAGGACATCACATGAATAAAGTGAAGACGTTGCATATTTATGCATTGGAAAAATATTTCCAATAATGGATGTGCGGTCAAACTGGGGTCTTCCTCTCTGCTATACACACATGTATAAAAAGTGGGCCACTTGGCTTGACAGCTAGAGTATATTTAAGGTTAGATTAGTACAAACACATACACACACAGGCTCAGTGGTAGTAAAGCAGCCTTACTGTCAGTGTAGCTGTTTGCAGCTTATTGATTTCCTATACATGTTTCCTCAGGGTGCCTCTCGCTTTTCAATAGTAAACATAAACGCTCTCCAGCTGATTACAGCTCTAACTTTCGCTCCTTTACTCTGTCACTACACCAAACTTAAACCCAGATTAAACACAGTCACAAAACTGTGGCAGGGGGAACTCCTTCTTTTCACAATGACTCTTTTCATCAGTCACTTCTTGGTTTATTCACCATCTCAGAATCTACAAAGATTAAAGGGTTGGGATTTATTCTCGCTGTCATATTTTATTTTAATCTGCAGCCACTGGCTACAATGTGTTGTCAGATTTTCGCCCAGTTCTCCAAATGTCACAGTCTGGTCCGTGGAGTACCAGCACAGAGACGGACAAATCAGAGAAAAAACAGGCAGCCTAGAAAACATGTCAGTGTGTATCTGTGTTTGTATGTGTGTCTGTCTAAAAAAGGTCAAGTGCACAGAGGCAGACAGACATTACGTAACAGAGCACGGCAAATAATTCACTCATTCATAAAGAGAACACTGTCTAGTATACACAGAGCCCAGCTTACTGATTCACCTGCAGGCCTGGAGTTTCTTTTTACATCTCTTTATGTCAAACTGTTGTAGATTTCAGTTTAATTGGCGTCATTTTTGGAGTTTTTAGACCCTTAAAAAAACATACCATGACTTAAAAAAGCCTCTACTTTGGAGTTATTTATGATTTTATCTTTCATTGGGCTGACAGTTAGTTGTTGGATGCAAATAATACTTAACAAAGCTGTTGAACAGTAATGTTTAAGACAGTAGGACACAAAGTCTTCGGTAATATTCTTAAATGTAAGATTAGAATTTTGTTTTTCCATCGTTTATGAAAGCAAATGATAAAAAGTTATATTTCTGGTTGGTGTTGGTTAAAGAAATAGCTCAGTAGCGGGAACGATTGAGCCAGAGAGACTGTCAGGGATAGACATGGGCACATGGACACATGGGTAGGCTGCCTCGCTCTGACTCGTCTCTCAGCTCCTCCGGTTACAATCTGAGATACCAGATGCACCGCACTGTGCCCACACAAACACTCAGTGTGTCAGACTGAATAAAAACGAACCGTAAATCCTGCCTGAGAAGAAGTAGCACCATGCAAAGGTCAACCTAATACCTGGGATCAAATTCACAAAGAGAAAATAAAAACTAAACGCTTACAAACACTGTAAGGCCTTGATGTATTTCCTCTTTTACGACCCTTGGTATTAGCATTTTGAGCACCCACTGGGGGGCTTAGTAGCTGTGTGTGCAGCTTGTATGTTCAAACGTTATGGTGATTTACTGAAGAGCAGCCAGTGAAAGTGGGTCACTGCCAAATGATGAGGTATAACCGGGTAAACAAGTGGGAGAATATCATTAAAATCGTGTGTTTTATCATCATTGTACGGCTACACATCTCATATAAGACGGTTGTTGCGTGAAGTAAACACTAAATGAGTTACAAACTAGGATACAACAGTGTTTAAAGACGGATAAAGAAAATGTCACAGACTGACAGTTAAGAAGCATTAAGCAGTGGCTGTGCTGATTCATTCGGACCTCCTCACCTCGATTTACTTCATTATCAGTAAAAATATTCAGTTTGATGTGAGTCATAACAGCTAAGTTTGCTCATTTTAAGAGGGCTGCAGTCAGTGTTAATCTCTCTAATTTGTATCTTAATTATCATGAAAGGATGGATTACTTCCTTTCTTTAAACTGTTGTTTGGACATCAAGAGAAATTTAAACACATTATTGTAATCCTTGGACAGCTGATATTAGCATTCAGAGACAGCCACCTCTGCATTTCATTGAAGAAAAGCTTACAACCTTGCAGAAATCCTATACTCTGTACATATGTGTGTTTTTTTCACTGACCTTTAATGGGTTGTTTGACTTCTCCATTCTCCCTCTTGATCTCGTTGATCACTTTGTGCTTCTTTTTCTCCTTTTCCCGCTCTCTGTCTTTGACCTTCTTCTTCTCCCTCTCTTTCGCCTTGTCCTTGTTGGAGTGCTCTGTTGGAAGCGGAGAAGAGGGTATTCAGATCTCGATTGCAGATAAACATTAACATGAGCGCCCGCATTTACTCGCTCGCAAACACACTCCATCTGCTCTCTTGGATTTTTTTTGTCTAGCCCTTTAACAAAACTCTTGCCAAGCGCCTCACCGTAGCCATCATCTTTGACACATTTCTGCCTTTTTCTTTTCTGCTACAACAAATCTGTCCCTTCACTAAGCCTGTACTCTTATCTTTCATGTTTTTGCACGACTGTAATTACCTTCAATTCTCTTTGAGACTGAAGAAGTCCCTCTCTAACTTCACCAATAATCTTAAAGCTGCATCCTACAAAGATATTTTTCACTTTTCTGCCCTTGAACTCATCTCTGTGCTGCTCAGTTCTGCTCCTACTTGTTTTAATATTCCCTATATTTTAAAATCTTAAAATCCTCTCTTTGCTGTCTGACTCATTTTATTTCCTCTCCTTGCGCTCTGCTGCCCTGACAGGATCGTTTGAGTGTTGAGGGAATATTACAAGTCAAGGAATTGGAGTGTACTTGAATGCTACACTCATCGCAAATCACTCTGAATGAGCTGAAAATGTAAATATCATACCATCAAACACTTCAGTTGTTAGAGTGCTTTCTGGAGGAGAAAGTATGTCTGTATGAGCGGGTGAGAATAAACACTTCTCACATCCGGCACAGCTGCAAAAATCTCACCTTTCTAAGAAAAACCTATTCTATCAAATATTTTTACATCTTCTCCTTTGATTCTATATTTTCTTACAATCTTTCACAAGCAAGTGCAAAAAGACCTTTTTGTGCTAAATTAACTTTTCTGCTTATTCTTTTTTTCCCTTTCTAAAGAAGTTCCTTCTTTGAACTCAGTCAGATCTATCTGCAAAAGGAAGCTGTGTTTTCAGACTGTTCGCTCTCCTGTGGACATGTGGAGTGGGAAAGTGGGCGCAGTGGGGTTGGACTTGCTGTTTGCAGGATCAAAGAGAAAATACTTTGAAAGTTTAAAAAAAGCTTAAAGCAACAGCAGGAGAGGCTGCATCAATATACACTATTTTTAATGACTATATCTAAATAAACTCTGTAGCAATCTGAGGTTATGTCTTTGCTTCTTAACATGCAGGTAGTCGTGCCTCTCATACCCTGTGGTTAAATGGAGGAATGCCAAGAATGCAAACAAACCATGTTAAGAATGACACAAAATAAATGCTATAAAATTACCAGACAGTTGTAAAGCTGCCTGCAGGAGAAAAAACAGCACGTTTCAAAACATCAATTTAGCTCCACAGGAAGCTGCCGATAAAGGAGTGCTCACTCAGATCTGCTGCCAGATTTATGAAAACATGTCGGGCCATGCCGGAGCGTAACAATCATAAACTTTGAATTCAGTGGCAACAGGAGATAAATTAGCCCAGTAGGCTGTTATGCTTTTTAATCACAGCTTGAGAGAGCAGATCTCTCTTTTGAGCGGCGAGGAGACACCACTGGGCTGAAGGGTCGCAAGTTCACTGACTGGTATCTGCTTGTCAAAACGACAAAGTCTTCAAGTTGAATTGTGAATGAAGCAAAAGTAGATAACATACAAATAACTGAACTTTCTTGCTGTTGTTTTCTGTTTTGTTTTCTGACTTTCAGGCAGCAGCCAGTTTGAAGCGGTAACGCAGCAGGTGGTTTTCAGTGTGAGGATGATCACAGGAGAGAAATCACTTTGAAAGATGGAGGGCCAGAGGCAGCCAGTGTGTAAACCTGAACTTCTAATACACCCTTACAAACTTCGCTCAAATATTGAGGAATAGAATCATAAATTCAGACTAGGGTCAAAGTAAGAGCTGTACCAGCACTCACGGCAAAGATTTGACTGTCTTCTTATTCGGATAATGAACAAAAACACAATACAGGCATAGTTGACAATTGGCAGTGCATGTAAACACAATATTCTGATTTGATGTCACAAATTAGGCCTTTAACTTGTGCCAGACTTGGAAAGATTGAGATTTGGGGGTTAAAGTAATATTATGTGGTTTTTGGGAGCATTCTTTGGACAAGTTTACAATACATTTTGCGGACTGTAGAAAAAGATAGACAACATCACGACCCCCCACAAGTGTGAAAAAAAAAAACTACAGATAAACCTTCCATTCAGGAAAATCTGCCGCTGCTGTTGAGGCAAACTCCTGCTTCACTCTTCAAGCTTTTCCCAAAATAATTTGGTGAAAACTGAGAAGATCTGTACAAACTCTGTCATTTCCACTGCACACCACAGAGTTTAAGATTTCCATTCATACTTGGGAAATGGCACAAACAATGGTAGCTTCAATGAGCGCTATCTGTGGTGTTTTGTCTCATGGACAGAAATGAGGAGTCCCAGAAAGTTGGAGATTCTACAAAAAAGGTCCATCTAGTCACATGAGATACAAATCATTAGATTACACTTCAAAACAAGCCAGTCTCGTCTTTAAAACTCTGTTTAATTACCTGTTAAATAGTTACTATGATTTCCAGTACAATGCACAATAAACCACAGGCTGATATGAAACTGCCACTAGCAGCAGTTTTGCACCAGACTCGATCTTCAACTCTAAATCAGAACAAATTATTTGAGTCCCACTACACAGGGTGAGCAGGATCAACTTTCAAAGAGCTGCATTAGATTTTAAGTATTAGATTAAAATAAAGTGGGTGTCATGAGGATGTCACTCAGCAAAATTCTTGCTTTCCTCTCAAGTAACAACAATTTCTTTCACTCTGAATTAGTGTGCATAATGCTGCCGTGACTTGACCTCTTCTCTTCAGTATCGTGTTTCTCATTTCAAAACCAAATTCAACCTGCAGTCACGACCTCCAACCCTCCCCCCAACAGAAAGCCCACCACTAATAATATTACTGTGATGATGTGACAGTGTTTGATCCCAGCAGGAAAAGTGTCCGTGAAGGTCAGAAAGCACAATCAGATTTAGCACAGGGTTTCTGAAACTGGCAGGGCTTGCTCTCTCTGGCCCAAGGACACTTCTCAAAAGAGGGCCCAAAACTCACATCTGTGTACAAACAGGGACCAGGCTGCAAGTAACTCATGTTACAAAAATGTGGTGAAAGTTGTTTTTCTTTTCAGTCTCAAACTGAGATTGAATTTAAGAGGAAGACTCAGACATGATCATTAGCTTTTACAGGCTGTGCCAATGAGATTGGAGCCTTAAAGTGTGTTTTCTACAGATATCTGCTAGAAAAATTGTCTCTTTCACATATTCAAACTACTTAAAATCATTATCATGTCCCACTGCGAGCCATACAGCAGCCAATTACAACTACTCAGAGGTTTAGTGTACTATTTGAAGCATCTCAGTAGGACTCCTGACAGGAGGGATATTGTTCAATGTGTCTAATGACTGCAGTTCAGTTCTTAGATGGAGACGTGAACCTAAAACAGGTTTTTAAAATCATTTTTAAAAACATCAAATCAACCACTCACACAAACACTCATGACTCTAAGCATGTGCTCAGTCTCAGTGACGTCACACATTAGTTAGAAAGATGATAAATGAGCCATGCCCTTAGTGTGCCACCTTGTGCTTGGTGAGAATTCAGTCCATAGCTGTTAAAACTAGAAGAGTGGAGAATAAAAAACAGTATTGTGTTGAACCAGCTATGCATAGGTTCAAAAACAGCTTTGTTTAAACACTGTTTCTAATTTAGCGTGGAGTTAACACTCTTTTAGGGGTTGCATCTTCAATCTAACACCTGGCTCTGGGTTGGGAAGCAGAGCTCTGTATAACACTGGTTGTCTGAACGCGTGCTTATAAATATGAGATACCTTGGGGAAGGAGAAAAAGATTTTATCAGCCGTTCAGTGTCAGATCCTTGTTCTCTGTGATACATTACATCAATTCAAAATGTATGAAGACTTTAATCTGCACTCCTGCTTCTTTTTTCCATGCATGAAGATGATATCCACACAACAACAGAGTACTGCTACATCAAGCATGTTGTGGGTGTTGATTTCATCACTCAGTGTCACTTGTGTCATTTTATATTTAAGCAGTAGTTAACAGCAGTTACTTTCTGTACTGTAACACCCTTTTCAAAAAAAGTTACCTTTTCACTGATTAGCCACAGGAAGATTGTGCAACAATGGTTATTTTGGATGTTATGTTCTGCTAGTTAAGCTAAAGTTGTGTGGTGCAACCAAAAAATGATTCGACCCAAGTCTGGATCAGCTGGTTGCAGGTGTTATAGTGTGGACTTTGTGGTCTGGCATGAAACTTAAAAAGAGAGTCTCTTAAATCTGTGGGGAGAAAAAAGTTAAAAATAAATATTCAAATATTCACTTTTAAGTTTTTACATCAGTTAGTACATCGCCAACAGCACCCCCAATATTCACTTTGTTTTGAAATCCCAGCCTTGTGCTCTGTTCCTCCCTCTTCATAGTCCTTTTGTGTTCCTGCATCTCTGTTGAGCACACTGTCCCATCTAACCCTGCCGGTTTACCAGACTGTGTGTGTTTCTGATAAGTGTTTGGGCTACAGGCCAACACCACGTCTCATCCTCATGTTCTCCTGGGCTGTTTGGAGCGTGTCATGACCTCTTAAACTATCCGATTGGAAAAGGGTGACATCATGCACACACTTGGATATATCCACTCAGTATTCCTGCTTGTCTCAAAACACACATATACACACACACACGCACACAACATTTATACACCACTTGCATGGGTGGTGTTAGTGTACTTGAGTGCTTTATACTGACATGTGTGCCTAATATTTTGCTCCTCTCATGTTTGTTGATAAAGGGGACATAATATAAGCAACACCCTCAAATGTAACACAGCACACCACCACCCACTACATCTTCACCTAATGAAATAAGGTAGGCTACAATAATTATTGCCTAATCAGGTTAATGACATTTTAAACTGTGGTAAAAGTGGAATCTATTTTCATGCTCCTGCATTGGGTTGCATTAGATTGCCAGGTGTACCTAATGTTGTGGCAAGAGAGAGTATAAAAAAATGCTCCTAATAGGTTAAATGCGAAATTGATGTCATTAGCACTATCATGAAGAGCCATAAAGTACTGATTGAGTAAGTAAAAACAGATCCATTCAGAGTGCCTTGTTATTCTATTACACACTATTTACACATTTTATGAATCAAAGTTTATCATGGTGCCAGCAATACAATGATTAACCTCTCAAGTAAGGATTACAAAATATTAGTAGAGCTGATGCGGATACCAATAATGAGGAGGCATGACTGCCCAAGGCCTACAAAAAATATCAATATCATGTTGTTGCTGTATTTTTTTGTTGTTGTTGTTGTTTTGTTTTTGACTAAACACAACAATTTAATAATACTTACAAATAAGAAACAAAGTTTCAGAATTTTAGTCAACATACTTAATAAAGACAAAAATATATTAAATTATATCTACAAAATACACTAAATATTTGGGTCAAAATACACAAATAAAAAAAAAGTGTAAATATTTGGATCAAAATAAAAAATAAGGTCATGATGTCATAAACCCATTATTTTAAATATAATATTTTTATATATATATTTTAGCCAGTAACATGTTTAGGTGGGTTTTTAATCGATTGATGAAAAAGGCAAATACATTGAGTTATGCTTCACATTTTAGAGCATTAGCCAGTGACTGTTTTAGTCTTGATAAGCTGTCATCAGACGTGGGAAAATGTGTTTTTTTGAAGAAATGATGATGGTGATACTAGCCTTGTGGGGGCTGATCCAGATAAAAAAAAGGCCATTGATGATTGGTAACAAATCGATTAATCAGTCCATCCCTAGAAATTGTTTCTGCCTCTTATTTTGAACTTGTAATTTGTAAAGTTTTGGTCTTAGGGGCAATTAGCACTTTTCTTCTCATTTCAAACAATCAGGGTAAATATTGACGTTAACATCCTTACTGCCAACCATTCACAAAAAAGGCGGAAAATGGTCATTTTCCTTTTTAAATATTCAATTCTTTCATTTAGGTGAAAAAGCAATATAGGAAGCTTTGCAACAATGTGCTACGAACGCTTTAGGATATGGAAAAAGTGTGTTGAGGGATTGGGGGATGAAAACATCATGTTCTGCGTGTACAACTGAAGAACATGGAGTAACAACAAGCTGCGAAGCTTCGTGTCTGCTTCCCATACAGCCGGAGGTTACAGAGGGGGGCGTGGTGCTCTACCAAAACAACACTTACCCTGTAATGGCGGGCGGCTGTCATATAGTTGTGACAGCAGCGTGTAGTTTATCAAACACTATCCGTAGAAATGTCCTTTAAAAATACAAGTAACGGTGTTACACAAGGACTGACAAGAGTCCGCGGCCGTTACGCTGACACGACAGCGATTATTCATCTTTCATAACGTTAAAAACATGGTTTACAGTCGCGTTCAACGAATAAACAGCTGATATTTTTGTCACCAGGATGTAAGTGTACTACAATTCCGCAGCAGCAGCACGAGAGCAGCTGGTAACAATCTAACAGGCAGGTCGCGCGACTACTGCCCCTGGACCGTTGTTGAAAAGCTCGAGGGTTCACGAGCGGGTGAACAAGCGACTAAAGCTGGCAGCCATAACCCCTAGAAACATCGATTTAACTGGCCTTTAGAGTCGTTTAACTCGATGTTAACCTGTTTTAAAACGTTCAATTGTGAACAAAAGTTACACTGTAGTAGTGAACACATCATATAACAGGATTTATTAAAGGTTTTAAGCAGTGGCTGCGCCGAAAACGGGACTGTCCAGACAAATTAGGAGGCAGTCAACTGCACAGTCCGGGCCACATGTTCATATCCCGAGAGGCTGAATCCACGCTGAGCCAAGTAACTATAAATGGGCACAACACTAGAACACACGCAACCTAAACTTTATCAATATCCTGTAATTGAAATTTCACTGAATAATAAAAACCATAACGGCCTACCTTTGGATGTCAAAATGACCTCCCCGTTTTCTCTCTTCACTGCAGGAGTACTGTTAAATCTGCTGATATCGTTGTTGTTGTTAGTAATATTGCTCCCGTGTCCGGAGGTCACCAACAGTTTATGTTTCTTTTTCTCCTCTCCGCCTCCTTTCTCCTTCTCCCTCTCTTTCTCCCGCTGTTTATCTTTACTGGGTTTCTTGGGTTTGGAGGAGGAAGGCGCTTTGTGGAGGAAGAAATCGCTCTGTTTGAAGACTTTATGGGTGTTAGTCGGTGGTTGGGATCCACCGGTAGCAGGCACCGGAGGGTTGTTGCTGCTCGTCTTAACCGGGCTGAAGCTCCACAAACCCGGGCTGCTGCCATGACTATTCTGCTTCGTGGGCTGCTGGAGTTTCTCTTTGCCGCTACCGTTGCCTCCCACTCCTCCGTCCCTGCCGAGTTTCTTGGGCTTCACGCTTCGCTCCTCCACTCGGACCTTCTTGGGCGGCGGCGGGTTGGTATCCCGGGAAGACTGCGAGCGGTTGTCGGGGGCTCCTTTCGCCTCGGTCGGCTTGACGACCGGGCTTTTCACGGGGGCGGCCGCCGGAGCTACCGCAGTAGCAGTAGCAGAGGCTCCAGAGAGGTGGACGGAGCCCAGCGAGTCAGCCATCTTGAGGCTTCTCTCTCTATTTACTCTCTTTCCCCAACGGCCGCCGCTGCTGTATTTTGCGCGACGTGCAGGAAGGCAGGGGGCGGGGCTAAGGCTTGACTGACAGGCAGAGAGGGAAAAACTGGAGGCGGGATTTAGCAGGTGCAAATTTACAGTAAAATGTTAAAACACTAATGAGCCACCACTTTGTGGTTGTTTTCTGTTCTGACACTTTATTTTTTTTAAAAGAAAGAATATGAAAAAACTAGAAAAAAAAATATTGATACAAACAGAATAATAAAACACAACATTTTTTCTTAGACAGAAAAATGACTGTCTGAAACTCAAACACCCAAATTTCCATCATACTTATAGCTCCTGTGGGGAGTGATTAGACAAATGAAAAAAGCTAAAATTCCTATTGATGCCTTATGTATGATACCCAAAAGCAACTAAGACCGTAAGTGATGTGATGGGTGGCTTTTATATCACATTTTTTATCAGCCAAAACCAATGCCAGAGGGTTGGTGTCAGAAAAAAATGAAGAAAAAGGCCAGTTTTTGCAATGACTTCATTAAATATTTACAATTAGCAAACAGTTGATGGTCAAATGTCAGCAGGTTTAGACTTTTTTTCAGTCGGAGGAAACTTCTCGGCCTACAAGCGGAGCCAAAATTGACACAAACCAAAAATTGCATTTTTTTTTGTGAGGTTTGCATGTGTTTGTCACCTTAATTTTATCTTACATAAGTGTTGAACAGTGTGACTGTTGATGACTTTTTATTCAAGAAAGAAATAAATTTTTAAAAAGATTCCTGGTTCCTTCTGCTGCTCCAGATTTTTAGTATTAGCTGTCTTTTATAATCTTCAATAAAACAAAATGTTCTATCTCAAGATTTTGGGCTGTTTGTAAAAAAAAAATCATACCTTTATTTTGAGTATCATTCTCACCCTGTCAAGATTCCAATTTACATAACCACCAGTCACAGCTTTTGCATATTTTGACACATATTTTCTTTTTTTTTTTCCACAAAAATCTCAAAATTCAGTTTGTTAGTACAGTTTTGATTTCACACTTTCACACCTGCTCCCTGCTGTATAAAAAGGCCAAACAACTTGAGGCAAGGCTGAAAATAATCTTGCTGGGAAGAGACATAAAGAGTTGATTTCTATAAACTTTTCATGGCTCCTACTGCATTTTCCTCCACAGTGTTGAGCTAAAAAGGACACCGACTCTCTCCTGTTTTTGTTTAACCTTCTTTTGCATTTCCTCCCCTGCCTTGCAAAGCATGTAGGAATAAATGTGTGTCGTTCATGAGATTGAAATGTTCTCACCAGGGAGATAAACTTGCTCTCTCTTTCATCCAATCTTCATAACGTCTTTATGGCACTCACAGACCAGATCATTACGGTGTTGTGAATCCTCGGGCGTCTTTCTCCACTTTAATTTATTGAGATGAAAACTGTCTGATCGGCAGAGCTCACAGTAAGCAGCCTGTCAGCGTGTGACTGCAGAGCGCGAATACCAAACATGATCAGTGAGCTGTAACATTACAACGTACCGTAAACTGTGTGACAGGATTATTATGTGTTACAGGCCTGAAGTGGTAATCTGATGTCTCTGTGTGCTAGGAACCAAGAGGTAACTGTGTGAGGTTAAAAGTCTATTACACCTAAAAGTAATCCTGTGAGATATGTGACACAGTTTGAATGTCTTCAGATGGCAGCCTGCTGCTTCTGCTCACATAGGCTCCACACTGATTGGCTATATTTATAAGCCATTGCATAACATGTTAAACTGCTCCATGGGAAAACTGAGGTGACCCAGTTAAGACAGCAACCTAGCTTAATTTATACAATACAGAAAGAGAGAGTATGTGTGTGAGAGGAACAAAGTGTGTATTCACATGGTGGTACAGTGAGTGTGAGCGGAGTACGCTGTGGGAAACGCTGTATTGATTATCAGGTGTGCACGTCAGATAAAAGAAAGCTAGAAACTGTGCAGAAGGAGAAGCCTGAATGTATTTAATCCTGCCAGAGTACACTGAATGTACCATCAGTAATTGTACAGTGTGTTGGTAGTGTTTAATATATTAGTATTATAAAGCAATTTGAGTCTGCTGAGTCTTTTACTCACCCTGTCAGGATCTTCGGTCACCACCACTCCGATATTACCTCTTGTTGCAACTCCAAGAAGACCTGCTATGATGATAAGCGTTTAGCCTAATACTTGAATATTTAAAGCTCCTATAAGAATTTTTTTGACAGCCATAAAGAAGAATTAAATTCATGTTGATTTTCCTGATATCCCAAAGTGAACAAAATCATCACAGACAAGACCTACGATTTTTGTATCCTGCGTTTTAATGCTTAAAACAGGTGCGAGGGGGTAGGTGTCAGCCAAGCTGCTAAAGAAGCAGCCCTGTTTTTACAATGTCCACAAAAATATTCATGATAAATGATGCATTTAACTAAAAATAAATAAACAAACAAACAAATAAATAAAAGAGCAGGGTGAGATTTTGACTCAAACTAAAAAGAGTTCCTCATTGGAGCTTTAAGGCGTAAGTAAAATTTAGACAACATTATCATGCGCAATTGATTGATGTAAAATCCTGGTTAAAAATGGTAATTAAAAAAAAAAAAAAAGGAAAAGGTCTGAAGGTTCAAAAGAGTTAAAATGATTTAAATAGGATTTTGATGAGTTTTCTCTAAAATTATGTAATTAATAATTCCCACCAGGAGGGGCTATGGGGGTTTAAAAGAAGCTGCCTGGGCCTTTTAGTCAGTCTGGATTTTGTTACACTGTAGGTACCACGCTGACTTCTGTACTGCTGCTGTGTTTCCTGTCTTGAGTGTGAATTTATGAGTTATTGCAGAACTCTTGCCTTATTGGAATTTTTTTTGTGTGTGTTTTACATTTTTAGTAGATAGTATTTTTGATCATTTCGCACCTTTTATAAATATTTCTGCACTGCACCTTGGGAGGCCGGCTGTGAATAAATACCATCACTGCATTTTTCAACCTGTGTTTCTCCACTGTACTGATTGTTTTGAGCGAGAACCCCACAACAGTAACAGTGTTTGAGTTTCCTCCTGAGAGTGACAGTTTGTTTTCTAGTCTTATTAAAATTAGCTACTTTGGCTGATAAAACTCACTGAGCTGATTAACTGGACTTCTTATGTCAGATCAATGAGCAACAGTGTGCCACTGTAAAATAACAGACTGTTGCTATGTGCTGACCTATCAGAATTAAATATTTTACACGAACACAAATTAGGCTACACTTGAACTTTTAATTAAATGCCTATTGTCTGACAGATTTTTTTCATTGTTTGTATTTTGTTTAATTGATACGGAGAGAAGTAGTTTGTTTCATGATTTTGGCTTTAATAAAAGAGGTAATGTGAATTTAAGAAGTGTTTTGTTTCTTTAGAAATATGTTTGACTTGTAAAGCCCTACATTTGGAAAATTGTATACATGCAATAGGGTAATTTCAGACAGAGGAACTTTTTGTTACATATTTTCCAAACTGCTCAGCAAAAAGTAAAAGCAGAGAAAGTTTTGTACATTCACTTCACATTGATTTTTTTTTGTTTTGTTCAGGCTGATATCCATCAAACTGTGTGACAGATTTAAGTACAGGCGATCACAATATGCAGTGCCTCTATAATGTCACAGTAAAACAGGTAGAAAGATCTTTAAAGCTGCAACAGGTGTGCTTATAACCAATGATAAACTGACTCAAAGCAGGCTGAACCACCTCTGCTGTCACGGTAAACAAAAAATAATGCTGTGCAATGTGCTGTTTAATTTATCTTGAATGAGCTTTGGCTACATGTGAGCAGAAGCAAGTAATCACAGTATGTCCTCCCACCCGCTGTGACTCTCGATGTGTGGAAAGGGAATACAAATGTGCAACCCTCAAGGTCTCTGTGTAAGACGCTGTTTATACCACCTGCTGTGATTAATTAATCACAGTATTAGTCTGTGTGTGTGCCTACATTCATCTTGGCTGATCTTCCAGGTGTGAATGAGGATCTCCTGCTGTGACTCTACCCTATACACACGCACACACACATAAACAATGACTGACATGATTACTGTATATATGCAGTTATTAACCCACAGAAGTCTCAATCTGGCTGTAGATACAATTCAGAGCATAATGTTACCCACTTTCTGCTCTCTAGCGTGAGTACAAGTTGCTCTCAGGTGCACACACAATATCACACAACTTTCCATAAGATGTCTCCAATAAAGGCAAAGAGGCATGTTTCACTTAATGCTCATTTTTACTGATTGATTTCTGCAACATACAAACATTTGGGTGTGTGTCTGTGTATGTTTATGTGTGTGTGTGTGTGTGTGTGTGCGAAGATAGGGCAAAGGATTGGTGGTGGTAAATGTGTGTGTGGCAGGGATAAAAGAGAGTCCCACAGGAGGCAATGAGCAAGCAGCAGCGAATCACATCGCTCACGCTCAAGCCGTTAATTACGATTGGACAAGAAGAGGAGGAAAAGAATAAGGGGAGGAGGGCGGGCTCTCACTTAAAGGCACAGGTGGGCTCTTGTCTGAGATCGAGGCTAGCGTGCATGGCTAACGTGCTAAATGAAGAGAAAGTCAAGGGTGTGGGGTTAAAAGGCTGTGTTTGAGTCAAGTTTTTTTGGTGTGTTTTTTCTAATTCGATCCAACACTGAGTCAGAGATGTTTGACTGAAGTGAGCTGACGTGTTGAAAATGACAGCCTTTTAAAAATTAAAAAGGCAGGAATGAGGGCGGGAGGAAGAGGGATGAAGAAGAGAAAATAGCATGGGAGGTACTAAAGAGGGAACAGAGAGAGAAATAATGAAATGCTCCTAGTCTAGAGTAGGAAATCCATCTCTGCTGTGTGTTTCACGATAAAGGAGCAAAAAAGAAAGCTGGAAAGTAAAACGTGAGAAGTGGAAGGAGGGATCTTGGTGGGTGGCAGTGGACTTGTGACGCAACAAACAACCGCATATACAAAAATAACTTTTAAAATACCATTTACAAAAAACAAACATTATTATTATTATTATCATCATTAATATTATTATTACAATCTTATTCGAAAGCCCGTTGTAGCTATCTGGAAGGGGCCACGCTTTTCCTCTGCCAACCAATCTCAACAAAAAGAAAAGGATTCTTTATCATATAATTCAAACATAAACATAAAAAATAACCCTGAAATATTTGCCAGGAGCAAAAACAAGAGGGCAGAATAATTTACAGTTTGAAGGGGAACATGGTGTAAGGGAGGAATCATCATCATCATCATTATCATCATCATCATCATGCACTGACTTTCTTACATCTTCTGTTAATAAGAATATTTAAGAGATAACAAAAAATCTGAAATATTATATACCTAAACTGCCCTGTACAGTTCTTTATCTTATAAAACAATGCATATACTGTATAGTTATGGTAGCAAATGAAAGAGGAGTTAGCAGAGAGCGCTAAAATCAGGAGAAAACAGTAGTCCTGGGTCCCTGGCTGCTGTTGTCTTATTCAGTCTTTGTTTCACAAACATAGGAGCAGCTACAGTATCAGTTTGAATTCAGCCATCAGGTGAGAAACCGTACAAGGCGTATTTGCTAAAACAGGGTTTTTCTTTTTTTTTTTTGTATTTTTCCGTCTTGTAGGAGTTTCTGAGGTTTATGTTGAGTAACTGACTGCAAAAACAATAATAAGACTTGTACGGCTGTTCATCTGAAGGTCTCGCCAGCAGGAGAATGTGAATGGAAAGGCAACACAGAACAACACAAAACAAAGATAATACAGTGCAGAGGAAAAAAAAAAAAAAGAGTCCCGAGTTCAGACAAATATCCAGACACACACACAAAGAAGTGAAGCCAAATAAAGGAGGACTGTCATTGGCTGTCTAAGGCAGGCTCATGGTCCCAGCAGTGAGGGCCAGAGTCACAGAGAGGATGAGTTTGGTCATTACTGAGGTGTTCTTTCACTTCATTTTCACTCTGTTAAGACTGGAATTAGAGGAGTAATTGGACACACTGTGGGGAATTTTCATTTGAATCTCATCAGTCACACTTGTGCTTATTCTCTTTCAATCTGAGCTATTAGAGCTAAGCGGTCTCTTTTCTGCAAGTCATGATTACATCAACCTTGTAAAGTTTAAAAAAATGGCATAAATAAATCCAAGTATTAGAGAATAAATCAAGCCCCTTATTCCAATCTTTTTATGTCCTTATTGGATCAAATAAAAGTTGGAAAACACAAGACCGATTTTTAAATTAAAGCTCCTGTGAGAACTTTTAATGTGTGTGAATATGGCGCCCCCTGTTATCGTTTGTTGTAAACAGGGCTGGATATAAAATCTAAAATGCTGCCGCAGATGGTCTTGTTTGCTTTTAGATATGATACAAAAAGTCTATTTCATAAATGTCAAAAACTCACCACAGGAGCTTTAAGTCCACCAATAATAACCTATCCTATATTCATATAACTGAACTGAACTTCTTGCTTTTAATGCTCTGGTTTCATTACATTTAACTTGGCCTTATCCCACCTAACAAAGACGTCAACAATGTTTTTAACATCCACTGCCACAGAATTAGCCAGAACGCTTTGCTTTGACATTTCTGAAACCTAACCTTTGTGCTCTCTTGCCCAGATTGAGCTGAAAGGATTGATACCACTCTCATGTCTGCGTGTTAAAACAAAGCTGTAGGTTTGTTAACATAGTTTCGTCATTGTGTCTAAAAAAGGAGAATGGCTTGGGAAAACTGTTGTGGAGCTTCAGTGAGGAGCCTTGTGTCCGTACTGTCGCCCCCTGTGGTCAAAGTGGTACACGCTCATTTAACAGTGAAATGTATTCGTGACCAAGAGTCTTTGCTGTGAAAAGAACGTAAACAGTGTTTTGGCAGTGTGCAGCTAACACATTTGTCTGCCACCTCCCTGTGACAGCAGTTTCAGTTTCTGTAAAAAACTGATCTGTCTTGTCACTGATGGCCTTCTCTGCTTTAGCAGGTCATAAAAAGGTGTCAGTATTAATTTTAGTCTGTTTCATAACCACTCAAAAACTCCTTATGGGAGCTTTAAAGGTATAGGCTGCAGGTTTGGTGTAAACACAAGACAGGGGGCAACAGCCAGCGGAGGATGAAGCACGCCCTGTATTTAGAAGCTGTAAGTTTGAAGGGCTCTTTGGACAGGGATACGCGTGATCATAGCTAAACAAGACAAATTCCATGGTCATTTCTTTTCAACAGTTTAAAATATTTCTATGGCATGGTCATTTAGACCTTGCCAAAATACATCAAAGTTTAACTGAAGTTGTAAAATAATGGGATTTTAACTGTTCAAAAGAAAGTGCCTGGAATTTTAAGCTGGCACAGCCTTCTTTAGAAAATCACTATGTCCCATTCCTTTAGATAACACAAATAACTGTAGTTAAAACAATTTCCTGATGGGTTATGAGAACAACTGCATTAAGTTAAGTTACTGCTCCCAACCAGAGATTGGTCCAGCATATAAACAATTGTGCTTCAAATGAGTGAGATACAACAAGTTTATTAATGAGCTTTCAAGTTCTGGTAGGTGGATTTTCAGCATTAAGACTCCTTCAAGCCTTAATGCTAAGCTAGTCTAAGCTGCTTCTGGCTCCAGCCCCTTATTTACTGCACAGACATGAGACAGGAATGACTCCCACCAGGAAAGTGAGTCAGCTAGCTTTCCAAAAATGTCAAATAATTCCTTGAATTTCCACAGATCGGCACACTAACTGACCATTGCAATGACCAAACTGCGTAAATCCATGACTCTGGTAAACAGGGAGGTCAGCACGGTAATATAGAACACTCGAGCTAACATTACTGCAGCAAATATGGGAATAAAACAAAAAGACGTGTCGAAAACAAGTAAAGGTGAATAACAGTCAGCTCGAGTGCTCCTGTTTCTATGCTAATCCTTTGTAATGTAGCACCAGCACACAGAAAGAGGGAGAGAGAGAAACAGAGAGAGAAAGTGAGAGAGAGAGAGCACCCTGGCAACCTGTACATACTCAACAGAAAAGGTTGCATCATGGGTAACAGATTATCTAGGTTCGCTTTGAAGATTGTTGTTCATTCAGTAGGAGGAAAGGAGACAGCTTCAGGGAGTTCAGTTAAACCTAAGGAATCTGCTTCCTGCGGTAGCTGAGCGATCAAAGATCACTGCTGATTGAAAAAAGAAACTAGTTCTCATTTGGTATGACGGAAAATTGACTCCCTGTTTAGCTAGAGTGGAAAATCTCTAAGCTTACTCCTTTATCTCTCTTCTTTTCGCCTCACAACGATCAAATTTTTATGATGTGTCAAGAGCTGGGAGAGAAAATCAAGATTATTCTACTTGCAAGCCACCAAAAACAGCAAAAAACAGGAATTATCATTTAACCTCTGACAGGACTGATCCCAGGTCACTTTCTAGAAGATCAAAACCTCTAACATCAGCAAGCTTGAGCAAGAAAACATGGGCTTTGTTCTTAAATGGACAAGCCACTTGACTGGTAAGTGTTCATCTGCTTTGCACAGTGGCACTTTAAAGGAACGACAGAGGAGGAGGAAGAGGAAGAGGAGGAGGAGAAGAAGGTGTGAGCACAGAGTTACACAGAAGGTGCTTCAGTGTAAAATTGTGCTTTCTGCCTTTCTAGCATCTATGAACTTTTTTTTGGACCAGCCAGGTGAGATTGGTAAAGTCCATCTCCTAATGAAGGAGGATGCTTGTTGGTGGACGGTGCAGATGGACCGTTCCATCATGTCCACTCCAGGGGGGGTTCTCTGGGTCCTTTGGGCTGAATGCAGCGGTTACCGAACCCTGAGGGGAAAAGACACAAGAAGTTCTTAGCTGTGTTTGTTTTGCACCGTAACAAATAAAAACAGATCTTCCTCTAAGGAGAAAAAAACACCCCGGCCTCAGATGCATCAAACTTTTTCTGCACATGCAGCTCCAGAGCAGCAGAAACACATCAAAAATATGATGACAGAAATAGAAAGCATGTTAGTCAGCAAAGTTTTCTGCACTGAAGCTAAAAAATCATTACACGTGCAAATAATTTTTGTAAGGTTGACTAGTGAAACTCAAATCAATGACACTGCAGCTAAACTCTCTAAAGAAGACTTCTAAAGGTTGCAGACTTACCCACCCAGGTCTGCCTTGCTGTCTGTTGCTGTGGAACCAGCTGATTCAGAGTCTGCAGGAGACGTCTTCTTGACACAATCTGACACATCTGCACAAAAGCAAACGCACACATACACAAATAAATACATGAGCATGGACGTCCATGTGCAAGAGATCATATTGCAACATCATTGTCATTTAGAGATTATAATGAAATATTAATCTAATCTGTAGCTGGTCTGGTTTACTACATTTTTGTTGACTAATGCTGGGCTTCCACCAAACGATTTTCACAGTCCCAGACTACAAACTGAAAGTCTTAAGTATATCTAGGCGTTTTACTGGAGTCACAGCGGAGTCACAGTACGTTCCTGTCGTCTTGATCGTTGAGTTTAAGATGGTAATCTGCGCTGTTTTATATCAGTCTTTTCCTAGTCTTGGATTTGCGATGATATCAAACGTGTATGATATTATCGCAAGTTGCAATGGTGTAACAAAACCAACAACCAATAGATGAGCTCTAACAAAAGTTGAAAAGGAAACCTGACAGTCAAAACAAGGAGAACAAGAATGTATGAAGAATAACTGGTGAAAAAAAAGGAGCGGATAGTGGAGCTGTGGGCAGATCAGCTTTGCCTATTCAACATCAACTGCAGGGTTTCCCCTCCATGTAATGGCACACCGCCACGGCTAAATAAAAGCTGCCACACCTCAACAATAATTTTTTTACGTGCTACCTTGGACTCAGTATGTATCAGTGTGGTGCACACGGGCTGCAACTTGCTATGACCATTAGCAAGTTACAAGTTGTCATTTGCAAACACACAGCTGATTAATAAGCTGCCCTCCCTTCGAATCACACACTACCACAGATAGATTCCCCACCAACTGGAAACACTGAACTGTCAAATAATGCTAAAATAATCTGGTTGTAGTCTTGTAAATAGTGACCCTGCAAGATTCACAGTCTTTGTAAAATCTCAGTCCAAGACTAGGCTGTAACAAAAAACTCTAAACACTTGTCTTTAGATGTGAGCAGGTGTAAGTCTTTTCAAAATCTTCTCAAAGTCCTCTGCTGTGATAGCTGGCTGTGGTCTACATTTAGGGCGTAGATTTTCAGTATAAGAAGCATTCAGCTTTCCTGTTATAGGACATTTGTGGTTCACGTAGTAATAACCAATCATATCAGCAGGTAGTGTAGTATGTAGAAATAAACAATCCATACTGAGAGAAACCCTGCGCTTATTTGATGACATTTTACCATCTCTATCAAGCGATAACTGCATGAGTGCAGCGGACAATATGTTCAAGATCAAGCACCTCCTGTCTCTACAACCTGAAAGTCAATCAGCGTTTAGAAGTCCCAACTTCCTGAAATGCATCAGAAAGGTTCGATCCAACTTCTGCCCAAAAAACAAACATTTAGAAGTATTTCTCCTCCCCTAAAGGACAGACTGGATAGAGCTTCATTTCTGTTCACACTTACAGCTGAACCTGGTAAATTCAGGGCATTTTCAGGGACTTGGTGCTAACTTTGGCTTTGCTCCTCAGGTTGCAAATTGGGTTGCAAATGATGCAACACAAGGAAAAGGAAGTTATCTTCACTCAAGAGGTTCCTAGTCACTCTCAGAAGCTGTATCACAATGACAGATGGATTACAAGTTGAAGTTTGATTTGGTTTCTCTGCACAATTTCAAGATATTTCTAAAACTGCCAGTTTTGAGTTCGAGCCTCACCTTTAGCCTTATTGCAGAGAATAAATATCACTGCAACTCGGACCAGTGAGCAAACATAAATATGTGTGAGATTTCCCAGCAGCACAGAGCCTGCACAGACTCCACACAGTGCCTGACATTTAACGTTCAGATATCAGCCCGACTCTAATGAAACAGAGTCCTTCTGTTCTTTCTAAATGCTTCTGTGGATAATGTTTATAGTTATTAAAGTACTGTAAAAGAATTCATGTCCAACAGTTTTTTCCTTTCGATTGTTCCCTCCCTGTCACATGCACTGGAACTATTGGAGCAATAAATTGGCAGTAACCGTCATCATTCATTCCTCAGAGCACTGATAAGCATACACACATTTTTCATTTCGCTTCTCTATAGACAGGTTTTATCTCCTCCCCTTTTCTCTCTGTTTCTGTATCTCTTTCTTTCTCGTTATTACTCACTCTCTCTCTCTCTCTCTCCTACAGCTGCCCTTTTGACAAACGCTGTCAGTCTTATCATGCGCAGGCTAATTTGTAAAACACTGAAGGTCTGTTTCCCGCCCTGCTCTGCTGTCTTGCTCCGGCGAAGAAACATAAACATGGGCAGACACTCTGCACAGATAAACAGGTAGGAGGAGGCGAGTGGCGTTGTGTGTGTTCATACTTTTGTGTGAGCCGCTCCATTCGGCTGAGGCTGACGTTTTCACCTCCAGAGGGTCTGATGGAGAGAGCGGCAGAAAGAGAGGAAATAAGTGATGACAAATGACAGGTCCTTTCACACTCACATACATTCACCCACTTTCTAGGGATGGGAATCACTAGTGGCCCCACGATACAATACTATCACGATATTTGGGCCACGATTCAATATTATTGCGATTTAAACATTTTGGAATACAGTGATTATTGCAATACCATATACTGCAATTTGTGCAATTTTTTTCAACTGCTTAGCTGATTTAGGATTTGTCTTTCCCTAATGTTTGTCTTTTTGACGCAATATTTTATTTTCATGTAGCACTTCTTGCAAACCTCATACGTCATATCCATCTAATTTGTGCCCTGCTTGTATTCCTAATATCCCTCCCCAGGTGCTGCCATGTTTGTTGTGCTTATTTTTTTCTGCTGTATGATGTCACCTCTGCCAACCTCACTTGACAAACAATTGATTTTATTTTTCCATTATCACAGAATTCATTTCATATTAGTAATTAGTTTGAAAAAAAATCAAAATTTAGTGGATGAGATGATACGATATGTCACTAAACAAAATATTGCGATACTATGCTGTAACGATCCTTTCTCCCATCCCTACTCCTTTCCCTGCTGTTCCACACATCCACTCACTCACACACACACACACACACACACACACACACACACACACACACACACACACACACACACACACACACACACACACACACACACACAATCACGAAACCTCCTTGGGAGCATAAACAACTGTTAATTGAGACTAATAATCGGCAGTTATAATACATCTCCCATCTAAGTCGAAATTAATTGGCAATGAGCTACAGCTGGTTCACAATTCCACACATGCAAACTGCACACAGCATATGTTACACCAGGGGTTACCAAAATGTGTGGTGCACCTCCCCTGGGGTGAGCGGAGACACATCAAGGGTGTGCCTTAAAGAGGAACTGTTTTCCATGTGGTTGTGTGTGCCTCACTGAAACTGGTTTCTGAAACTTGTCCAGTAATGAGGGAAAGCTGAGCAGCTGGCAGCTGCAAAACCAGCTAAACTGCAGTTTGACCAGGCAGCTGCGTATTGTCAAACTGCGTCCACTACAAGTGTTTTATTCGACCACATTTAGCAAAATGATGTGACATACTGTTAAAGATTGATCTTATTCTAAAACTGCAAAAACACTGATAAACGGCTCAGTGGAGGGGTGCGAGTGTCACAAATGTCACAAAAAAAGCTGTTTGTTAAAGCTGAAATGGAGGTTGCTTTTTTCTTACATTGTAATTGCAGATGTGATATATTTCACAATGTCACCACTGTCTCGCACCAACAATTTCAGTGCACTCATTTGTCGATAAAGTAGCCACAACTTTCCACATGAATTGCTTTGTTTCCTGTGAAACTGTATGAACTGGGACACAGCTGGTCACTGCCCCTACTGTAGTCTGCTTCAATGATGTAATCCTGCCACAATGATGCCCCCTAGTGTTGTCATCTGATAAAGAGGGAACAAAGCACTGTTCAAACTCCTTTTCATCTCATGTGTTCCTATGTGGTGGGGCTTATATCTGCTTCTATCAGAGCATATTAGGGCATTACATTAAAAAAACCCAGCAGGCTGCAGTGTTGGCCCGGTTATTAGAGAGAGAGAGGCCTGGAACCTGCAGCCTGTGAGTCCATATGTGTGTTTGAAGTGAGGATGAGAGAGACTGAGGCCCTACCTGCTCACACACTGTCAGGTAGCAGATAATAGAAGTAGATGAAATAGAACAAGAAGAAAAGAAAATCAGATTCCTTCTGTCTTTTGCAATTAGAGGCGACGGACTGCCGCACACAACCATCGCTGATGATTTTGATCCCACAGCATCAAGCGCAAAGTCTCTCATTCATTCATTCATTCATTCACCCACCTTGGTCTCCAGCCGTTCAAAAGAAACAACAAAGAGGTAACCCAGTAATTCTCCACAGCACCACAAGCACAGCTGGGAGTCTTGACCTGTTCAAACGCACCTGTAGCCAGTATGAAGGACTCAGGGGTTCTCGCGGGGAGAGGGGGAGGGGAGTCGTCGCTGTCCCAGCAGTCTGGGTTGAAAGGTCAGAGGTCAAATAAGAAGCAACATAGACAAGCAAATAATTGGTAGTCAAACCTCGATCATGTCTGAGATCAAATGCTGACAATCATAACTCTAAAGTATTTCCCCATATGAGAAACAAAACCACTTTATTACGAGAAGAAACTCTTAAAAAGTCACTTGAATGGTTCATGTTAACATCAGAGGCGAGAGAAGACTTGGCTGCATCAACAATCTTTATGTAAAAGCATGTTGCTGTCAGAACAATGCAATAGGACTTATTTGTAACAAGACAAATCTGAGGACCCATTTGAGTACAAACAGGAACACAGCTGTCAGGTGAAGATGAAAAAATGGCTGTTGATTGATTAATTCATTAAACTGTAATCAATCACTGAAATTCAATAGTTAAGTGGGACTAATCAGATTCCATTATTTTGCATATTAGAGTAGTTTTTAAGTCCATGATAACAATACAAATAAATTCTTAGCAGTGTCTTGAATTTGGAATTAAATTAACATAATCAAACCTGCTTTATGGTCTTGACTTCTATGATTATCATTCAGGAAAATGCTGTGCTGCTTCACTTGTGTGGTCCAAACCACAACTTAGAGGCAAAAAGCAACTTCAAAATGCTTATTTGCCAGTATTTATTTTGAAGGCAGTTTGCCTATTTAGCAAACGCTTTAGTATACGTCTTCAATCTGGTTTCATCGACAGGTTGATTCGTGCTTTCTAAAATAACTGCGCTGGCTTTGGTGATGCGGTTGCCTGCTGACATCACTCACAATGGCTGATTGCTTAGTTTAGAGCAGTGGTTCTCAAGTCCAGTCCTTGAGGCCCGCTGTCCTGCATGTTTTGGATGTTTCCCTGCTCCAACACACGTGATTCAAATGATCAGCTCGTTATTAAGCCATTACAGAGCTTGATAACGAGCTGATCATTTGAATCAGGTGTGTTGGAGCAGGGAAACATCCAAAACATGCAGGACAGGGGGCCTCAAGTACTGGACTTGAGAACCACTGATTTAGAGCAAAGTACTTCAGATATATATTGTCTATAGCGCACACTACCTTTGACTCATCAACTGAGCTGACTATGATTTTTTTCTTTTAAATAAATGTGGGATTGTGTTTAAAAAAAAAAAAAGAGTTAACTGTGATAAACTCTGACATTTACAATTTATTTATCAGTCACATTTATGTGTATACACATGAAGATAATTTCAGTAATCTTCCTCTGAGAAATGCTTCGCCTGTATATATAACCGAGCTATAAATAACCCTGTGGGTCATGAAGGAATCTGTTACAGTCATCATCCTGTTATTGATTATAAGGGTTAGCCACACCACAAGTCTTTACAGGAACAGGTTTTTATAGTCTGTTTGTGATGGAAAGTGTCACTCATAGTTTTTATACGCTGGTTACTGAGGAGTGTATCAATACTCCTTATTGTGTGTGTGTGTGTGTGTGTGTGTGTGTGTGTGTGTGTGTGTGTGTGTGTGTGTGTGTGTGTGTGTGTTTGTATATATATATATATACATATATATATATATACATATACACACACATACACAAATACATATAATAGTGGTTGACATCTGTTAGTTTCAGGTCTCCATTTGCTAAGTGACACAGGAAGCCTCTATGTAAAGATGATTACTGGTTCTCTGAAGGTGGTGTGTGTGGGGGGCGTCTTTATACACTCTTTATTGGGCCTTTTCTGCTAGGTTGAAAACCAACTGCAGAGCAAATCTAAATCTATACCAGGGCAATAAATCTAAGTTTGACTGCTAATAAGAGGAAAACCTGTTTTTATTTAATTTTTTTTCACAATGAGTCAACTTTGATGTAATTTGTGGTGCTACACTGTTTAAATCCTGAAATATATTCCATCTACACACAAATTAATCAGCTTATACACCATCTTGAAAATCCCCAAAGGTTTGTACGATTCATTGGCAATGCACCCAGGCAACAAGCAGCCACCAGCTTCCTTTCGACCAACCAAAGCAGCAGTTTGCACAATGCCATTCGGTTCTTGCAACCCAAACAAACAGCAGCCATCAGCGTTTCAGAACTGATTACAAAGCGCTACCACACAGCCAAAAGAAGTAATAATGTGCCAGAAAGCCAAGCAGACCAAACTGCAAAACAGTCAATGTTGGACTGTGAGGCCAAGATTTCTGCATTCGGTTTCAAATATTGGAAATAACTCGAGTGCATAAGGTGTGATGTCAGACATGTAATTAGTAAACCTAAGATAAATTATTTTTTAAGACTTCCATCTGAGTGAGTGAGTGAGTGAGTGTGGTCTTAAAGACAGTTTTAAGAATGAAGAGTTTTCATGCAGTACACCTACAGATAGCACCTTCTTTTGTGTTCTAAGTGTGACTGAAGTAGAGTAAGCTGCACGAAATTGAGGAACTTTGTGCAGCGACTATCTTTTATTTTTCATTTTTTAAATGATGTTTTATGGCTGGATGGAAAACCAATCATATCTTATTTTTGAATCATAAGATATATCTACAGAAACATACATTTTTAAGCATTAAACAGCCCTTTCACACTACAGACATAAATTAATGCATATTTGAGATGGTGCATTTTCTTTTATTTTTCTGGTGCTATTTTTAAAGTCATGTAAAGCATTGTTCAATCATCAGATAATACTCTAAGCTTTATTTTTAACTCCCAATCAAAGGCTACATATTCTATTATATCCTGTATTAATCTGCCTTATTACCAGCTGCTCAACTTACACTAACTCTTCTAAAAATTCCTCCTCTTCTGTATTGTTAATTTTCATGTCCACAACACTGTTTCTTATCAGAATGTGGAGTAGTTGTTATTTGAGGTAGTTAACTGCCAGCAGAAGGAGTCCCATCATGCACTCTCATAGTTAAATCCAAATATTTAAAAATGCAGTAAAGTCTCAAGTCAACAAGCTTTCAAAAGGCTCTAAGTCAAAGTCCTGCACAAAACCAAACCAGGTCCAAATCCATCACAGCAGAAATCAGATTTCAGAATCAGGTGATTTTGAAATCAACAAAGGAGAAGGAGCAAACTTCATCTCCAGAGCATTAAACAAAAACAACTCAACACACTGCGATCATGACAGTGAGGCTGCACCAACGCACTATAACAGCGTGACACTGCTCCGTTCAACCCAACGTGCATGGAGTCATGTATGTATCAGCGCCATGCAGTGTTGATCCTTCACCATCCAACATGCATGTACAGTTCTCTGCACAAGGAAACAAAAACACACAAAACAGAGTTTCTCTCTCTCATCCATAAATTCATTCACTCAGACAAACACACACAGGCTGGAAAAGACAGAGTGGAGTTGTTTTGACAGATGTGTTGGCTTGTTAACATCTGCAGCATTCCTGGCAACCCGACCAATTAGTCATAGAGCCATGCTTCGTATGGACCTCTGTGAGTCTGTTTGTTGTTTCTCACGTTAACCCTCTCTTCCTGCTTCTGTCTTTTCCCCGCACTGACGATGCCATAATGCGGTGTGTGGTGGCAGATATAGTACAACCTGTTATTAGCATGTGGTGTGTGAGAGACCTGCTTCCTGACTGACCCGGAAAATGACATAAATGTGAGGTTTCTGTGAGTGTGTGTGATTTCACTGCTGTTTAGTCAAAAGAGCGCGCTCTACACTCTAAAAAATGAAACATGGTTGAACAGGAGTTAAACACCAGAAGCAAAAAGTTTCAGTCTGTTTATCCAATTTTTAATTTCTGCTAACCACATTTTAAATGAGATTTAATTTCTGGAAGCACAACCAAATTTAATAAAACTACTATAAATTCTGTGATAACACAAACTTAAAATCCTGTTCTGAATCCAACAACATTTAACTTTTATCAACAAACAGTTAAGTGGTTTCCTAGACTTAAAGCTTTTGGTTTGAATTGAATTGATTACTATAGGTTATCTGCAGTTTTGAATAGACATTAAAATAAAGACTTTTCCATTAATTAATGTTCAATATTAACCAATTTGTGATCGATTCGTGATCAGTGTTTTTATTTCCCTTAGTGCAGGGTTTTAGAGGATGTCTAGTTCACGTTCCTGTGTGGGAATCTAGATTTTTGTAGGTTTTGGTGCCCCTTGTGGACAAAATGGTAACTTTAATCTGTTCTCTGATCCTCCTTTCCTGCATGTCAATGTATATTTCTGTCAAAACCTTGACCCGTTTACCGGTCAAAGACAAACAAAGAATTTGCTGTTTATTTTTGTAGTAGAATATATATTTTCAGCTGCAGTTAATGACCGTATGTAACCTGTTAACCTTTATGGCCACCAAAAATAACTGAAAACAAACTAACTTTTTGCTAATGCTCTCCTGTGTTGAGGTTTCATTAACACGTCTACGCCTTAGTTACGCCTGTTTCTCTGTTCTCTTGGGTTTCTGAGTATCTGATAGCTTTGTTGCTGTTAATAGACTCAATCAGAGAAGCAGCTGGTTAGTTCAATGAATTAGTTCATTCATTCAATAAAAGCAGCTGATTGACATACTTGCTGTGTTTGCAGAGGATGACGGAGAGCTCTGCCCAGCGATCGACATGGGCGACACTTTCCGCATCGGCTGCTGCTCTCCATGGTGAAGGGACGTGGTCACTATGGTCGCCGTGGATACGTTAGTACGATAACCGTCCTTCCCTCCGGAAAGCTCCCCATCCCCCTCCTCGTCTGAGTTATCTGAATGAAGGGGGTTAGTGAAGCTCAGGGCAGTCCTAACAGGGGTGGAGGAGGATGAGGAAGAGGAGGAGGACAGGTGGGAAGAAGAAGAGGAGGACGGGGCCACGCGTTCTGAGGAGGAGGAAGAGGAGGACGTGGTTTTGAGAAACTGTTTTTCGGGGCTGTTGCAAGGCTGACTCCACGCTGCATGGCCAGCCTTCACCTCTGTTTTCTCCCCTCCCGGGGTCTCCCCCTTCTCGCTCTTCACAGGGAGGTGGTTCGGTCGAGCAAGGACGCCGCCATCTGTGTTGCTCTCCCCACATCCGCCTCCTCCTCCTTCTGTGCCCGAGTCCTCTGACAGCGAGGAGCTGGACGTCAGCAGTGATTGGCCAGGTCGGGCTTTGAAAGCGTGGCTTCTTTGCAGCATTCCTGTGCTGTTGGTGGAGCTGCTGCTTATTCCTCCTGCTACACCCATTGAGGCCGAGGTGTCAAAACTACGAGGTCCTTCCTGTAACGGCACCTTTTTAATCTCAATGCTCAGCTTTCTCTCAATCCGAGGAGCACCAGAACTTTCAATAGAAGGGGAGAGGGGCGAGGAGGGCGTCTGGCTTTGGCCCGACTCTGTTTTTGTTGATGTCGACGACGTCTTGTTGTTGTAGTTGTCATTCAGATCTAGATTTGAGACTTGGGTCTGTTGTTTTAGACTTTGTAGATCCGGGTCCTTCTGCTCTGAGGGGCTTGTCTGCTTGTTTGGACAGAGTTCTGACTGGTTCTGCTGCGTGTCTGTTTCTTTATTCTGAAAGGAGAAGAACATATAAGATGAAACACCTGAAAGCATCCCTTAAAAATGACAAATCTTTTGTCAGGACTTAATCGTGAGGGAGCCAGAGTCAGTATTTAGGGAGTGTTAATTTAGCAATTTTTTACTTCAACAAAACTTCAAATTCCAACAAAATGTTATGACAGGAAATAAAATGTAGTCAATAACATTTTGCCATTTTTAAAGTCCAAATGTACTACATAAAGCAACACCTGCCATCCTGAGGACATCACCTAGACCCAAGAATTTTTTAATGTTAACTGGTCTGCAGATAGTTTCCCATCATTTCGATCTGAACTCTCCAAAATAGTGCCAAGCTTTAGTGATGTGGTGACCATAAAACATGAGTCTGATCTGCTGCACCTGCATCCAAGTTCTTTGGAAATACTTTATAACTCTATTTCACATGAAGTGCATTTTACTTTTGACTCGTCAACAGAGCTGCAACTTTGTGCAGCTTTACTATAAAAGGAACAATAACTTAGAAACGGGATGTTGGATGTTAATTTTTAATTTTCAACCTTTCTTACGTCCTGATAAACACCTTGTTTCCACTTTAATAAAAGGTCAGTGTCCTTACATAAGTACATAAATAGATCACACCTCTAATTACATTCCAATATTCAACTAATTCTCTTTCTTAACAATGTCAGGGTGCTGGACAGAGATCCAGAAGTCCTTGGTGGTAAAATTTTACTGATCCAAATATTTTTCCATCTTGATTTGATTAAACATCCACTGTGATTCAGCAATTTTTTTATTTGGAAATATTAATAAATTCTTGGTTTATCAGCAGGATATATCAGGCAGAGGCTGACCAGCTCTCTCATGATTTATCAGCATTAGCCGTTGGAAAACTGTAATCAGTCGGTCATAAATAATAAAACTCTACCAGAGATTCTAGCTAATAGCAACAAGACAGTTGATTTTGAGGCTAAACACACTACTTTGGATTATATACCAACTATATCAGCTTTTTTGCTACAAATTCTTGACTTTTAATTCCTTATTCAGTAAGACTTGATTTTGTGTGTCTTCTTCTCACAGGAAACTAAGAAACTCAAAAGTATCTGAAGTCCTTCTCTGTGTGGTTTCTGCTTTTGTTGTTTTCTTTTTTGTTCATTAAATAATTAAACACTGACATCACAGCTTATTGTGGCTGTCTTTTATCTGCTCTATGCTGTTTGAACTAGGTCGTGGGAGTTTAAATCTAACAACTGTGTTTCTCTTCATCTAATACTTTTGCAAAAACTTGTGGAAAAAAATTAACTAAGCAGAATCCAGCACTTCTTCAATAATTCATTTAAAAGAAAAAAAACAAGCAGAACACAAATGAATGAGGTTGTGTTTTGCAGTTCAAGAAGTATACGTCTATAAATAATCTATTATAAGCATCATTGTGTGGATTTCTGCTCATGTAACCTCACCTGTGTCTGGGCGGTGGCTAAGACGTGGATAACGGGTTTGGGGTGGTAGCGGTCGTTGTCCTGCCGTACATTGGTGACAGTGGGGAAGGCTGAAGGGGGAGATGGGGTCAGAATAGGGGGTACGGGGTGAGGTTCTGGGGGCTGCAGGATTTCCTCCTTCACGTCCCCTTCGGCCTGGGAACTACAGAGAGAGAGGAAGAAGAAAAGATCAGTCCTAGAGCAGAAAAGAGCTGAAAGTAGACCAGGCTTTTATCTGTGGTGGATGGATCACACTCTGAGAAACAGACTTTTGATATTCTCTAATAAGACATTTCCATCCCACAGAGCCTGAAATGTAACACTTTAATTAAAACAGCAAGCTCAAAAACCAGAAGTGTGTTTTCACTGAGGCGAGTGCGAGGGAAACTAACACATTATACAAAACACTTCAGTGTTAACGTGAATAAAATGTGACCTATTGGCTTTAGATGAAAGGAAACAGGTTTGAAGGTGCTCTGAAACAGAGGCTGTAAAGATTGGAGGAGTGAAAAATGATAAAAAGGCATGAATTTCATCACATTGCTCTGACTACTGGCAGAAATTTGGACATATAGCTTAAATTATTCTCTGTCTTTAAGAAAATGATGAAACCAAAATGATGAAATGAACAAGTGAAGCTTTGATTTCCACCACTAGGTGGCAGCGTCTAAAAAGCACAACTGCAAATATTTCCATGGCACTTCTGATTTTACTCTACTCAAGACTCTTGTCCTCATTAAGTGGATTTAAAGTTGAGGTGATTGTTTCATCTTGAACTGTAAACAGACTGTTAGTGCCCGTCTGCAGAACTGATGGACCAAAATGCCTCAGAGAGTTTTTATCAGTGCTGTAAGTAATGCAGTGTATAGAAAAAGAGTTTAAATAAGACTTATTATTCTCATTTAAGCTTCCAGAGTGTGCATTAGCTTATCTGCCAGCTATTTCCATACACGTCTATTTTAGTATAGCACTCTGTTTTCAGTGTATTTCACTGATGTGACTTCAAACTACTTCTAAACAAACCTATAGACCAAATGTAGGTGTATGTAAATGTTCAACAGGATGAGGTTTGATGCAAGCTCACCACAACACACCCACCAGGTTTAACATTAAGATGTTGTTTCCACTCCACATGATGGAATTTTACATTCAATGCATGCATATACCGTAGTATTGTATATACACATGGTAAGCTAAAGGCAGTGAAAGGATGTGGTGGTGCGCTAAATGACAAACATGTAACTGCAGGCAGAGTTAACGTAGGACTGCGTGTGAGACTGTGTGTGTGCAACATACAGAAAAAGAGAAGTTGTGAGCCTCAAGAAGAAGAAAAAGAAGGGATTTTCTTATTGTGGTTTTACTTTAGAGTTTCAGTTTAATCGAAAAGGACCACAGTATATCTGCCAAACCCTTGCAGAACAAAAACTTTATCTGTTATGTAGTTGTTTTTGGATTTATAATCATAAATTTTAAATGTGACAAAATCAAGACTTACAGAAACGGAAGTCATAATTGAGGGTTTTCACTGTTATTCCCTTGCTGTTTGATTTAATTGATAAACACAATGAGCAAATCTCCTCGGATAATTTCCCCCTGAGGTGTTTCTTTTCTATATTGACTTCTTTTTCTGAGCAAGCAGGAGATTAATTTCATAATAACACAGATTATTCCCACCAGGGCAGATTGTTTCCATGGGGACATGAATCATTCTGGTGATTAAGGCCCTGTGTCTCTCACTGTGATAAGATAAGATGATGCTGAAAATGATCCCTGAAGGGGAAGCTGAGCCATTACACAAGCAAACACGGAGAATAAGTCACAGCAAAACAAATATTAAAGAGGAAGAAAGAAATTTGTGTTAACAGCATAAAATGAATCAGAGAGCTGCAGCAGCAGGGCGTCCACAATGAAGAGGGGTGCATGAAGTTTGGGGTTCGTAATCCAGCCTGAATCATTACGTGTCAAGGATTACATTAGATCTGTTTATGGTCTTCTCTTAAATGTTGAACATGGGGACTAGGATGTAAATGTTGCTAAATATTTTAGTAGTTTGAGTCAGACTTCCTCTTAAATTTGCTTTCATGAAAGAATCTGAAACTATTTTTAAAATCTCAATCATGCCTCTGCCCGACCATCTCACTAAACTATCCTCCACTTTCGCCCTGAAGGTTACAAAACCCTCCAACAGTCCACGCCATCTTTGATGTGCTGGTGACTTAATAACTTTGCGCCTCCTACACACAAACACACATGTAGGCACAGATCCACGTCCTCACAAGAACTTTTAAATTTATGCATAAGCACCACCCACAACAAGCACAATGTGCCCTCCACACATATGTACTCCAGAGACGAGAAGCTGCATTTTTAATAAGAGTGCAGGTTGGTCTGCAGCGGTGGAATGAAAGAAGCAGATACACTTTAGAGAAACACTTCCAGGGTTCAGACTGTGGAGAGATTAATTTGACACGACTAAGAAATGATCATTAAATATGAAAATCTCTGTCTCTGACTGCTTAAGACTGTAAGTTTGATCAAGGGAGGCTGCAGGTAAAGGTCATCAGTCAAAAATAGGCTGTACAGAGCGGAAGCAGCAACAGGTAATAGTATACTGTGGAAGGACAAGATTATACTGTGGAAATGTTGCTGGCAAACTTGATAATGCTTTCACTACAAAGCCAACTAAAAGGTTGTTAGTAAGTTCTTTATGCTGGCCAGTTGAAATGACAATATGCTATTGATTAAAGCTCCTGGAAGGAACTTTTGGTTTGTGCAGTTCGTTGCCCCCAGTGGACAAAGCAATCTTTGCTAATCTTGTCCTTAACTGGCCTGACTGTCAAAAAAAACTCCTGAAAGGAGCTTTAAGTAAGTTAGTTAGTGAAAAGGTAAACCAGTGGTTAGTTAAGTAGCTACTAAATTTAAGAAAATGAAAGCTTTGGATATTAGCAAGGTTAGCAAGCAAATTGGTCAGTTGATGATTCGTTTTGCTTGCATGTATTAAGTTCACTTGCGTTGAATTATGTTTGCGTGCACATTATTAAAGCTTCAGAGAGGAACTTGGAGCAGCAGTCTTTGCATAATCTTGTCATCTCTGTGCGTTAGAAGTGTCTCACTAAAAGCTCTCATCATTCTGACTTTTAACAGTCATATCAATCACTAACTGTTTCTCCAAGTGCTTAGTTGACACTTAACCTCTTGAGACAGTTTCAGACATTTAAGATAACAGTATAAAAATCTTGTAGCAGTAAGTGAGTCAACAGGTCAGTGATTTTTTAGTTGGTACCTTTGATTGCTCTCGCTTTACTTGCTCAATGGTCAGTAAGTTCACTTGCTTGCTTGTACACCATTAAGTTTGTTATTCATTTGCTTGTCAGTTTGTAAAGATAATTGCTTGAAGTAAGAAGGTAAACTGACTTGCTTTATGTTCAGTAAGTTTGCTTCAGGATGGGAGCACAGGGACTTTTGATTTTGAGTGTGAAAAAAATGACCTTGAGTCTTGTTTTTAGAATAATCTGAGCATATGTGTGGACAAAGACTAAATTTGGTATATTTGATTTGAATCATGAGAGAATCTTAAAAACAATCACTCTCACAAAACATGATAAAAGATGGTTCATTAAATAACACAGGTGTGATATTTTATTTATCTTCTGAGTCTTTCATTTAAAAATATCAAACATTCAAAGACACATCCTACCCATCCAAACACTGCGGAGGATATGACTCCTCAGGGTGTGGCTGTGAAATCATGACTCAGTTTTTGTAACCTTGAAGCCAGCCTTATTGCAGGTCCTGCAGTTTATTTCTCTTTCTGACACACACACACACACACACAGACACACACAGACACACACACACAGACACACACACACACACACACACACACACACACACACAGACACACACAGACACACACACACAGACACAGACACACATACTGCCGAGGTGACCCAGGGGGGAAAGTGGATGGCAGAATGTGGACTTTGGTAAAAAATAGCTCTTCCCATCCCTGGAATACTCTCAGGCTTAAACTAGGCCTTGACATTATTTCTTTGGAAAACAGGAGGATGACAAAGAGAGATGAAGAGGCTGATGCTGAGATTTAAGGCTGAGATAAGAAGAGCGAGACAGACAAATTCTTTCCTGATGGTCGAGCTCTGCCCCACTTCCAGGAAAGATTTCCAATTTGGCAGCAGTTCAAGTTTGTATGTTTTACTTAGAGCAGGACAGAAACTTCCAGTAAACAGATTACTTACAGCTACAACCAAAAATAAGAAGCACTGGTAGATGTTTACTTTCCCATCACACTGGCTTGTTCAGAAGACAGACTGAACACAGAGAAAGTATAATCATTTATATGAGGTGAGATACCACCACAAAGGTCATGCTGGGTCTGAGGATTGAATTTTGCGGCAGTAAGAAAAGTTCAACATTGGACAATAACTTTAAAAAAAAAGGGAGTGGATTTAGTTGTTGGATTCCAATCAGGAAGCCCTAAATGTTTTATTAGTTCAGACAGCCAACAGAGGGTGACTTAGTTTGATCCAAAATGACTCTAAAAGTATAACAGGTTATACAAAATAACCCCCTTTCTGTTGATTTACTGTAGAATTTACATCTAAATTTTGAGTGTCAAATCCTTTTCACCATGGCTATCAAGAAAATAGTGACAATACAACATGATTTATCTCTCAGGTTAAATTCTTGCTGCCTCAGATTGTTGACAGGAAAAGTCAATTATGTGTTCAGCTTTAAAGAAAAGAGTTATTAACCAGCTCCACTCGCCTTACGCAAAAACACAACTTGCGAGCACTCGCTTTTTACAGTAGATGACATCAGACAAAAAACAGAGATTGATTCAGAGTTAAAAGGGAAAAAAAAGGACCTAGAGAATAAAATCAAACTGGATGTTTTCAGACAGGATGTTCAAATAGTGGACTATGACATTAAAGCTCCAGTACTGACGCAGCTCAGCGGAAATCCATCACCAGACTGGTATTGAAAGTTAAGAGTGAACTATAGCTTCATTAAAAGTGGATAAGTCATAAGAGGAGAGAAAGAGGGGATGAAGATGAACTGGCTGAGAGAAAGTAGAGCACAACCCCTGCTGGGCACATACAGTAAAATTAAAAAGGAGAGGAGGGTGAAGAGCGGGAGAACAGGGAGCAAAGACAGTGTCTATGTGTATTTTGATGTATATGACAGATGCATATACTACAGAGGGTGTGTGTGTGTATGTGTGTTTAAACCACATGCCTGCAAGTGTAAAAAAGCACGTGTTTGTTTACAAAGAGTGGAAGATGAAAGATTAACAGCCCCCCCTCAGCTCACCCTTAGGTGGTGGTACATGCAACAGTTCGTGGTGTTACAGAATATCGTTGAGCGTTGCAAAAACATCTATAAATACAGCTCCTCGTCGAGCCACAGCAGTCGTTAACGGTGAAACAGAAGTTAACTTCAGTATAGAGGAGGAAGGGTGAATCTGTGGGCTGACAGGGAGCTAATGTGTCAGAAAAGCCGCGGTGCATTCGAGGTGAAAACGAAACGCCTGCTGCTCCTGTTTGGTCAGTTTAAATACGTTTCCATTGTGAGCTTCACACCGTCCTCCTCCAAAACAACAACCCCCACTGTGCTCAGCGGCGAGCTGCTTCACACCTACAGTTTACTCCTGTGCGAGACCGTTCATTCATGGGTGTGGAGGATGAGCACACACCGTTCTACCGTTTCACTTTATTCACTTCTCCAGTGTTTCATGGACTAAAGAATAAAAAACTTTTACACGTTATGGAAAAACAAACAAACTGATGTCTTACCTGCGGATGCGCGGGGGTTTCGGAGGAGGGGTGTCCCATCTTTCATCATCTGATTGGTGACTTGCTTTATCTGGGCTACTTTCATCCTGGTTGAAGAAGAAAAAAAAGACAATTTCATGTTTAATGTTTTGCTTTGATTAAATAAACAGAGAAATTATGACTAAAATAACCATAACCGCATGATATAGGTGATGTTCTCACTTTAAAATCTCCACAAATTACTTCATTAGATTCAAAGATCTCTGCTAGCTGTTTCATAAGACCTTTCACCAAGAACTGCATAGTCCACATTAGTCGCTCACTCACTGTGCATTGTTGCTTAAGCAAAATTGTTTAAATTTCAGCGTATACTTGTTGTTACCAGCACAAATCATATTTGAAGTTTGCCTTTTATCGAGCTGCAGGAACTTTTCTGCTAGTTTCAGTCTGACAGTGTAAAAAATTTGATTCATCTGCTTTCAGCTTTTACCTGTATTTTTGGGCACAAGAAGGTGAAACATGCAGAAAGATGGATGTCTACAGAGGTGTTTTAAACCCAGATAATTATCCAGCATGAATATTGCAGAGATTTCTTTTTTTGCTTTTAAAACATTCAAATTCTTGTCAGCATGATAAAAAGCCATCTTTACTGCACACTCTTAAAACAAATTCTTCTCTCTCCAACTCTCTTTTCTCTCCACAGTTCTGTGTCTGAGGTGCAAAGCTGCAACTAAATTGCTTCACTGAAGGATCAAAATTGTTCCTGAAAGAAGCTCTACACCCTCTCCCTCTCCTTCCTCTCAGCCCTCATCCTCCTCCTCTCTTTCCCTCTTCCCACGCTACTCATTATTTGACTCCCTCTCAGCTCAGATAATGAGAGGATGACAGGACGACTTCAGCTGTGGAGGGGGTAAATAAGGCCACCTTAACTTTGTATAGGTGTGTATTGTAAGAGTTACTTTGTTGGTAAGGCCTCCTGAAAACAATGGTGCCTGCATGAGAAGAAAAAAAAACGCATGTGGGATGTGTGTATGTGTAGGCTTATTGTTCGTAACGCCATTGAGAGCACCTATGTGGGTGTTTTAGTCACTGACAATGGCTGACTGGACATGAGTCAGTGAGTGTATGGACTGAGTCAGTACAGAAAACCAATAATGCTTCACTGACAGTGTGTGTTTGAATGTGTGCAGACCAGGACTAGGCTATAATCTGAATCAAAAGCTTGTGTTGAAGTAAAAAAAACACTTCTGTTCCTCAGGATTGACTGAAAACACAAAGGTAACAGACAACACTTGAGTGTGTGTCAGTGTTTTCTGATGTAAACACAGTTGCCTGCATCTGTGTGAGTGACGTTTATAAGGGTGTCCCTTTCCCAGCGGATGTGTCTATTCACAGACTCAAAAAGCATGATGGGAAAAAAAGGGTGATTTCATCATAACTTCCTAAGCAGGAAGCGAGCTCCTGGATTGCTGCCAAGCCGGTCTCTTGTCATCTCTCTGAGTCTTTGGGGTTCGTCAGTCGCACAGCATCTCATCTCACTGATCCTTTTCTCCGCTGACTTCTCCAGGAGTAAACTATTGGAACAACCTTTCACTATAACAGCTGTTTGTTTGTTTTCTTTCTCTTTTCGTGCATGTTAACAGATCGAGCCTTTCAGATCGACGGCATGGGGAGCCCATCTAAGTCTGCCTACCACCCAACGCTACTCCCATCAGAAATCTACAGAATAGAAGGCTTGCCTTTTTTTGTAAGAAGCATGCAGATCTTTACTGAAATAGAGAGAAAGGTAATAAACTGAGGCCAGCATTGGCTCTGTATTGTTTGTATTTATGTCACAAGCATGAAAAATATGAGCACTCCCTGAAAGATTTTTAGGGCAAAATCTTGATCCGTTCTCTTCTTTTACTAAGTTGTGTCCTGACCTGGTGTTTGGTGAATGACGGCAGCTTCACTGATCTTCCACCTGATAGAAAAGTTGTCAGAGTTGCACCAACTGCATCCAAAACTCTGTAGATGCATCACCACTTAAGCTAGTCAGCACTAGAGTCACTCAGCAGTGAGTTATTGATTGTTTTGTTAATGTTACTGTTCTATTCAAATTAAGGAGAAACACACTGGATACTGTTTTTGGGAGAAAGAAAACTCTTGCTTCACTTCTCTGATTTCTAAATGTTTCTATCAGTCCTACATAGAGTCATTTTGTTCTGGACTTCTTTTTTTCTCAAGGATCATTTCTGAGTCTAAAGATGTGAGCTGTGAAAACTTTGGGGGCTATAAGGGGAAACCTCACAAACACAAAGAAGAGAACTGCACTTTCCCTTTAAATAAGCCACTAAAAAGATTTGTACGGCTTCTTCTGTGATCTTCATTATATGACTAACTTATTTAGAATTTTGTTGTACTTCTGGGGAAATGTAATAAACAGAGGGAAATGAAAACTTATCTAAAGCAATGCTTTGTTGTTGTGAGCATGTGTATGCGTCTGGGGGCAGTGGAGGACAGTGTAAAGTAGTCTCAAATGAGGGCACTGACAGAAAAAAGCTTTTGATGCTCTTTTAAAACAAGTCTAGCCACACACAGTCCCCTGATACCTCCCTGTAAAGGAGATCACTCTCTTTTTGGCACAAACCCTGTGACTCCGTGTGCAAAGAGCAACATTTTCTGACGGCCCCTCTTCCCTCGCCCTCCCCTGTGACTAATTATCTGTGTTTTTTTCCCCACTCTGAGTGTGTTACTCTGCGACATCCTGTCTTTCTTTAACACCAGACAGCAGGCACAGTGTGTTTGTTTCTGAGCGTGTCATACCATGCCATCGTGAATCTGCGCGTTGGTCGGGCTCTCCAGCAGCAGCAGTTGTTTTTGAAAGAGCTGTGCGATCGCTCGGTGAACTAACTCGTACTGCTCCTGGAAAGAGATGGACAAAGACGTGATGAGTCAAAGTAAAAACAAGAGAAAGTGCAGGAGAGGAGAGGAAAACTGTCATCCTTTTCCAAGTTTGAAGAATTATTGTAAAGTTGATTCAAACCCTTGTTCGCACGTACTAAGGTGATGACTTTAGGCCTCACTCAGTCGTTAGGATAAATGCATAGGAGGAAACAGCCAAAAATATGGTACAAAACATCAGAGCATGCAGGGCTGCTTTATTGAGCAGAGATACTTTCACTTTGCTGAATCATTCTTACATAAAGATGCAAACATAACTTGACAGAAGCACATAGCAAACAAGGCATAACAAAACAAAACAAACTCCACCTGCTACAAATCATGATAAGAATGTAAAGACTTCTGCTGAACAGGCTCAGATCCATTTATTAGCAGGTATGCAGCAAGTTTAACAGGAATGAAGAGGTGTTAAATAGGATATGACACGTGGGGAACAAGGAGAGAAAAACAAGACAATAGAAGACAACACCACTTGAGAGTGTCTGAGTACGTGCGGATTCACACCTCAAAGCTTTGAGTACAATCTGATCCTAAACTTCATCATTTGTTTAACTCTTTCTTTCTCTCTATTTTTTATGAAATGAATCAGATCAATCATTCAATCAAACAGACTCACAGCCTATCGCCTTTGTTGTTTGTATGTGCACATTGTTAAACCTTATTTAACTACAAATCAAGGTTCAGCTATGTCATAATCGTTTTCTCTCAGCTACTCTGGTCAGTCCAGCTCGTTTAGGACTGAGTAAAAACTCTCATTCGAATCCTGGTCTCCACAGCCAGAAACTGAAAACAACAGTCATATTAACATCATCCTAGGTTTTGAATCAGATATTATCACCTTTGCTGGCCAGCACAAGAGTTACATGTAGGTTAAACAAATAATCAAGTTTTATTATAGCACACTAATCATATTGTGCTGTGTCTAAGCTGTAATAACCCATCAATAACCAGGGCTGCAGCTACTTCAGTGGTGCTATAATGCTCTACTACCTGGATGTACACAAGCACAGATGATAGATGGCAGCTTGGTTTGCAAGTTCTGGGCTGTTTGGTTGAAAGCCAGTACAGGCATGTGAATGTTTACCTGCAAGGCCTGATGCCAGATCTGCCAACGTGAGCCACACCAATCTAACACTGTTAATCCACAGATTAGGTTTGAGAAATGATACTCAATTTTTACTGTTTTCTGAAGTGACTAAGCCGGACTTTAAGTTTTTACTTCAGGGTTTAGTTGTTTTGAAACGTCTCTATTCATGAATGTGATTTGTCATTAAACTCAATCTGTGCCCTCCATTTACAGTCTCATCTTAATCTTTGTGGCAACCGAGCTAGCACACATGGCCACTTGGAGGGATTTTATTGGAAGGATCAGTCACCCAAAAGCTGTAAAACTGAGGCTTGATGTGTAAGAGCCTACTTTTTCTTCATTAAAAAGACACAATGATTCCTTTAAAACTCTTTCAGTACCATTACAGTAAAGATGCCTCAGTTTAATCCTGTTAAAAATGCCTTATATTGTCTGGCAAATGTTAAAGGTTGACCCAACTCTCATTTTCAGTATGATTAATCTAAATCTAGCCGCAGCAATACTTATAAGTCACTGAAAATAAGAATGCATTTATTAACCTGAGATATTACAGCTTTCAAATCCTGACAAATGTTGTAATCTCTGCTCTGCTTGGAAACTGAGTAACAGCACAGAGTAAAACCAAAGACAAACCTTAGTCTGAACAGCAGAGTGTCGTTGTGTCCTCATCTCTTGGATTAACCGAAAAACATTAAAATCTTCTGGTATTTTCTGTAAAAGTGCACGAGACAAAACAAAGGACAGATTAACTATCTTAAACTTGGTGAAACTTGAGCACTTTTGTATCTTGACAGAGGTGTTTGAGGCGTGTGTAGGAGCGTTTGTGTTCACATACCCCAGCTTTGAGGAGTTTCCATGTGTAGTCGATAGCGCAGATAGCACCAGTCCTCCCACAGCCTGCACTGTAACGTCAGAGTCACACAGATGAGATTCAACAGAAGCGCATGTAAAAACACAGACATAAACACTTCTTGTGAATTACCTAAAAAAAAAAAAAAAAAAAAAAACACTCTTCAATCTCATGTACTGCATGTGTGTTTGCACTTAAAAACATCCTGCTGCAGACAGGATGGAGACAGGGGCTACACAGACGCTAACATTATGAAGAATCAGCTCTGACACATTCAATCATAAAACTTTGTCTCATGCTGTCAGGGAACTTCTGCTGCTCCAACGAGCACAGCGTCCACGCACACATACAGTACAGCGAGCGCACTTCAACCCACACAAAGCTTCTTTATAGACGCAGAGACACAGCTTTAGGTCCTGCTGTGTAACAGAGGAACTAGGAAGTGTCCTCAGGCTTCTCATTAGAGCTGATTACACACACATGGAGACAGTGTGTGTGTGTGTGTGTCTGTGAGTGTGCTGTAAGCGAACACCCCCGCATGTGCTCAGCAGAGGACCCAGATATATAGCTGAGTGAGTTTGTGTGGTTTGTGTTTACCTCTCTACTATCTAAAGTTTGGAAACAGTTTCTGCAATCATCTTTGCTCGACAATGTTATCTTATCACCGCAGCTGCTAAAGGTTGAGAATATATATGTGCCAATCAGCACATTTTTTTCTTTGAAATCTGCAGGTCTGCAGTTGTTTTTCTAAATATCAGGAGGTATGGTTTTATAATCTGACTGTTTCTCTGTCAGGAGCTCCCTTGTACAGTCTCAAACTCAGTGACAGTGATTCTAAGTTAAAGTTATTACAATGCTCCATGTCTTCTTATGATTATCTAACCATGTTGAAAATGGTTCACTTTCCACTTAGTCACTTCCTGGTGCCTTGTGTTGTGTCTGTTGGTCAGATGCTGTGATCCAGATTTTCCACCAACCTCAGGCGCTGCTCAGAGTGTGAATAAGTGCTGATCTCAGTCTGATAGTGATTCCACCATCTCTAACCAGCTGTTCTATCTCTCATACACACATGTTGCTGCTTCATGTCTGTCATGAAAACCTACCAAAGTCATTAACGTTTAAACATTTCCAGGAGTGTCTATTTTTCATTTCATTTTTTTAGACAAGATTTGTTGTTTGGTTCAGTTTTTAGTTCCTGAAAAGAACGAGATTATTTTTTCATTTCTTTTTGGTACATGGGATACTTGTCTGGGGCAAAACCCTGCAAACATTGAAGACTGTGTAGAAAAGGGGATTTGCTTTGACCAGGTTGAAGAACAGTGCCCTAAAAATGATTTTTTCCTTCACTTCACTTCACTGAAATATGAACAGGATGATATTTGAAGAGGAGCAGGATGCTTTATGCATGTCATTCAGAAAATAAAAAGTTGTTTGATGAACAAAAAGTTGTCTCTGACGTAAATATTTAAGAGGAAAGCCTCAAGTGAGCTCTCTGAAAGTTGGTTATATGATACAGGATACTAAACAGAGCAATAGGACTTATACATAGGACATTCTCATACAGTTTTCTAAACATACGATACAGTTTATTTCCATTTCTGTTAACAAAAACATTGTTGATGTCTGGAATCTTTCGGTTTATTACACTAACCCTGATATTCCTGTATTTTGTGTCTGTGGCTACTAACCCACACGCCACAATATAATCATGTTATATCTAAAAGTAGTTCTTCACAGTGTTTGATTACAAGGTGTTGCTGCGCTCTTCCTTGTTTTATTTTATTTTGTTCCTCTTGGGGGGCGTATTTTAATCTACGGACAGGAAGTAAAGATGAAAACTACCTCTTTTTGACTGTTTTAGCTGTTTGGCTAAATGTTGATTCATATGTATGTAATAATAAATCCAATAAAAATTAATAAACAGCACTCAAAATGGCAGAGGGGACAGTGTAGAGCTAATTAATAACATGTACTTGTCTTCTGCATTTAGGGATCACACTGAAAAAGGCACATACAGTGTGAAACTGGGATTTCGTAACTTGGTTCAGCTCTGGTCTACTGTCCCTTTCTGTTTACATCACCCTTTCCTTGTATTTTCTGCGCTATCCACTGTCCTTGGAGGTTAATAAGGCTAATAATACCTTCATTGAAAATTTAAACTGAACTGAAACAACAAAAGGGTAAATAAAACATTAGGAACAAATTTTCATCCCACTCCTCAGTGAGCTACTTATTAAAAAATGGTCTGGCTTCTGCCAGGAACAGATGTGTACTCTTATGCTGGGTCTGGATACAACCAAAACATTTCTCTGCAGTGTTGAAACTTCATTTCAAAAACACAGAAGCCCTCACTGCCAGCCACCTGTTGCACATTCTTACCGCCTCCTCACAGCAAAACCACTGGCAGTCTTATGAATCATTCAATTCAGAGCCAAGTAAGAGCAGCAATGCCAGCGTGAGGCACAAGATTTTATTTATACTGTTGGAGTTATTTTAATTTCCCATTCAGTACTAATCTCTTCTTTTAAATGTTATTGAGTAGCAGCAGGGTGTTGAGTGTTAGTACCTGCAGTGTACACATATAGGGACTTCATCATTCTCTTGGTATTCTCTCATCAGTCCAATCATGTCCAATATGGAGTCAAATGATGAGGGGACGTCGTGATCCGGCCAGTTCATATAATGGAACTGTGTTATCCTCCGTGTCTCCTGTAAGACAAATGAGGAAAAAAATATTTCCAGAGGTCAAAAGTTTAGAAGAAAGATCTAAATATTTGACCTCAAAACCAGGAGGAGAAAGTGACTGAGTGGGTGAAGATTCACTCGAACTTTGTACAACTTCTCTTGAGTTGTACTAAGGTCTGAGAGATGAGAGTGGGGATTGGCATGCGGCAAAGGGTCACAGACAGGAGTAAGAATGAGTCGTAGAGAAAAATTGCTAAATAGATAAAAATGAAAGAAAAAGTTGTTTGACGATGGAAAGTTTTCAGAGCACAGTGAGCAGCTTACATTGTCATATTCCACCATCAAAGTTCTGATGAAGTAGTCTGTTCTGGCCTGCTCTGACTCCTAGAAAAAAGACACAGAGAGGGAAACATTTTCACAATCCTCACTTAAACCACCATTAGAACAAAATGTGAGAAATGCAGGAGTCCTAAAAACAAAAAACAAGACCCCCCCCCTCCCTCTCCTGTTACACACAGCTGTGATATCACAGATTTGTCCACTTACGCAGGAGATTCTGAAAGGGCCAAAACTCAACGGCTCTTCTCCAAGCAGCGGGAAATAGCGCTCACACTTTTTCTAAGCAGAGAAGAAGAGCAGGAGTTAGCTTTGGCTGAGAAGTAAATACCAGAGCAACACCGCAGCTTCCTGTGCACACATGCACACACACAAACCAACACACACACACACACACACACACACACACACTCTGGCTTATAATAAACATGACATGACGAGGACTTAATATACCTGTTATTCTCAACACAAGTCCACAAGAGCAGTTGTCTAGATTTATCACTTTACATATTGACTTTAAGAACCGGGATTAATAAATTACAGGTTTGGACAAGACTTTATAAATATTCCAAGGAGAAAGAATCTCAAAACTAAAGAAAAAAAAATCACAGATATGTGATGAATACGTTCGCTTCCATTTATGCAGTAACACAAACAAAATATACACAAAGATATTGAAAATGACAGCCTTACCCTCCCCATCTCAAACTCTCGACAGGCCATCACAATAACCTGCAGATACAAAAACAGGACGGGTTACAATCCTTATTGATACTCATGCATCTCAAAACACTTTTCAATTCTGTTTATTCATACGTGTTCTTACAAAAGCTGCAGAAAAAGTTTCAAAAACGGAGGAGTTACCTGCAGGATATGAACATTTAATGATTAGTCAAGGCTTTATCACTTGGTATGGTGACTTTTTATTGAAAAGCCGCTTGAGCTGCCGTGAGATTGGGAGATTGATTATTACTTTTAAGATGACTTTTGGCTTTATTTGATAGAGCAGCTGAAGGGTCAGGAAATGTAGGGAGGGGGAGTCAAACCTGGAACAACAGTGAAGAGGAGTGCACTGTAAAAGGAAATCTGCCCTGATGACTGAGCCAAAAGAGACCCACATCCTTTTACTAATCATCAAATATTTTTTATTTTTGTTGTTTCATTCTTTTTAGGTGAACATTATTATTTTATTATTTTTTAAAATAAATTTTAAATGTGTTTCTCTATCTAGCAGCAGAGTCGAAGGGAGGTGATGAGGTGTTAAACTTGTATCTTTATTAATACAAAATACCTCCCAGTGGTCGATAGATGGATGGATGTTTCTTGGAAATTGCGAAAAAGGAATTTAAAAAGTTGTCTAAAAAGAGTTGCGTCTCGTTAGTTTCCCACATTAGTAGTCCTGACTTTGACTCATTTTTAATCATGCCTTCACTCTTATATCTATATCTCATGTAATTCTCTTTAATCCTACTAGAGTAATTATCACAGCTGCAATCTCATCCCGTCAAAGTGCTACTTAAACCTAATCACAGCTCTGTCTATCCCTCCTCTGCATATATATCCATCTATTTCATGCCTAAACAACTCCTACCTGCCTCTTATTTCCTGGAAAAAAAGGTTGAATCACATATAATTATCTGAAATATCACAAGTTCTGTAAACAAAATCTGCTTTTATTCTCTTCTGCTTTACTTACAGCTACATTGTACTCCCAGTTCATCCTCCAGAAGTCGATGACAGTGTTCGGCAATGGGCCCTGAGTTGCAATATAGGCCTCTGGGCCATCGATACCCTTTTATGGAGACAGTAAATAAAAACACAAACATCACAAATCTGCATTTTTTTCAAACATGTTCTGAAAGGGAAATTTTGGAGGACTCTTGACGCTGATGACACTGTGATTTAAAGCCACATAGTGTAATATTAAAACAATGGAAAAGGTTTTTACAACTTTTTACCTTAATAAAGTTCGCATTGACGTAATCTGTGTCCTGATTGGTCGTTTTTAACGCCAGCTTCACCCTGGTGTGATCAACTAAGAACAACAAAGAGAGCAAAGTTACATGTGATGCATTTAACTTTATAATATTACTATAACTGTACAATCAAAACATGGAAAGGATGATAACAAGTGACATAACAGAAAGGCCAAATAAGGACATGCACGGAGGTCAATGGACACGCTAAAACATCCTCATTCCTAAGCATGTGTGTGTTCACATGTGTGTGTTCACATGTGTGTGCGTGATCACATCTGTTACGGATGAACCAGTTCTCTCTGTGCCTTATCAGCAGCTCATTCCCTAAAAGCCTTAATGAGTGAATGAATGAATGAAAGGATGGACAGAGACGAAAAAGAGGATAAAGGTATAATAAAAAAGTAGGGCAGATGTTGGGTCATGGAAGCTTTGCCTGAGGTCATTAAGTACAGAGAGAGCTTTGTGTGTACGTGAGGCAGAGACCATGACATGACCCATAATAACACACTGTGACGTGTTATTAATGTCTGTTTGTGCATTTTTATGGGAACACAACATGTTTGATAAATGTTAGTAAGTTGTCTCGCTTTTAAATATGTCTTTCTCATCAAAAAGCGATCTACTTTACTCTATTTACCGCTCACATTTTTTCTTTCCAACGGGTGTTTAAAAAATAAGGTCTTCAAATTAAAGATTGACAAAAATAATGATATCAATCTTTTTCTGAATTTTCAGGTAAACTGACACTGGAAATTAGTTTTTTAGTTTTAAATGAACATATTTTATCGTGCACACAACATGCACTATCTGCAAAGTTAAGAGGGGATAAACAAATAGCTTTTTAATGCTTCTGTTATGCAGGGCTCAAGCTTTCACACAGATTAAAGAAACTGCATGTAAAATTGTAAAACTAGGAAACTCAGCTGCAGGACTGAGAGTGATTTTGGAGCTGGCATAGAGGAACTAATGTTAAGTTCTTTCTTTTTAACTTTTAAAGTATTGATAAAGTGTTTTATAATTGGAGGATCATATGGGAAAGCATGTAAACATGATCAAGAAAATCTGGTGACTTCTCTGTGATAGACTGGGGAGAAGAGGAAAACCAGCCTGTGGTCTGACAAATCAAAATTTGATATTCTTCATGAAAATCTTGGACACCATATCATCCCCTATAAACAGGATGACATGTTATCATTCCAGTTTCAAAATCCATCAGCTGTGATGGTTTGTTGACGCATGAGTGTTCACAGAATGGGCGTCTTACAAGTTTTGGAGCAACACATGCTACTGTCCAGATGATAACCTTATCAGGGAAGAACTTAGCATATTTCAGCAAGACAAAGCCAAAACACATTCAGTAGGTGTTACAACAATGTGGCTTCCTGGTGGAGGAGCCCAAGTCAGCACGTTTACATGCTGTTAAAAAAGTACAAAAACAGGACTTTTAACAGAAACATGCTAACACATTTGTCTCACACAAAATCAAACTTCTTATAGTTAGACTAACTAATCGTTAGACTGGATCAACTTTCTCTGTGTATGTGTATGGCCTAATCAAACTGAAACTGGCCTGAGTGTGCTGTTTTCATCGTTTTATGGACATTCTGTTTGTCCCTTGCTCATGTGTTTTGTCAAATAAGACAAAACTGGAAGTCAAGTTGATAGTAACAAACTGAAATAGGGCATGTCATCACCTATTGTAGCAGGGGCAGACAGGCTTCTATCAACAATTGAATTTTTTCCCAGTGCATGTAAACTGGGCCGAAGGCAGTTGTCCAGTTGCATGTGTGCATACCGGCAAAGAAGTATGCACACATGCAACTGTCCAGAAACTGGTCTGTCAACATTCGCAAATGTTGACACAGTGTTGTTAAAGGTGATGCAACACAATTGTAAACATGTCTACAATTACTTCTGCCCATGTTCAAAATATATCACCAGCCTAGGATGTCAGCTTTGTCATGGTTGTATTTTGCTTTCACTTTTTTTTTTTTTTTCTATGGAAGGAGATGGAGGCGTGTTGTCTATATTTATATACAGCTAACTATGTGAATGTGTGTACAGAGGATGCACTATTGTTCTGTGTACTGTGGGACTTACATGGCAGTATATCTTTGTATCTGTTCTTCTTCACATTCTCCTCCCGCTCTCCTACATTGGTGGGGTAGATCTTCTCTGTTCGGTACTTTGTTGACAACCGCCGTAACCGCTGGAATAAAAAACATGAGAGGAGAAAAACATTAGCTGGTAATAATTAAGTCCTTTCGTTCTTTTTTTCTTATACCTGAGGGTGTGTTTTTTCCACAATGAAATACTGGAGGGACACGTCATCAGAACAGAGAAAGCTACTGGCAGCAATTTCAAAGACCAGAGATCACATACAAGCGGGTGTCAAAGCAGATATTTATTAAGTATTTCTAATTAGAAACACTGAGGCAAAAAAGAGGTTCAACTCCTCTGATACATTAACAGCTGGACATTAATGCGGCTGCTGCTGCTGCTGCTGCTAAAACCACATCCCTGTGTTCAAACACAAACTCCTTTTCCACTTAATGAAGCGGCTCATAAAGTGAAGTGTGGCTGAAATTAAATACGAGCTGACACTGATGAAGACTCATTCAGTTAATGGGAAGAGAATAATTACAACATCTTAAGCTGGGACTTGGTTAGCAGTCTGAGACACTTTGGCTCACGTAAGATTAGCAGAGGGGAAACAGCGGTGTCAGGCAAACTTGATTAAACTGAAAATTGAATTATTATGGATGGCTGACAAACTGATGCAGAATGGGATATATGAAAAACAGGTGTCACTCCTTACATTTTCCCATTTTTGCCAGCTAAAACTATTGCAAGATCAACTTAAACACCAGTCAACATGTTTTAGCGTAGCAGAGTTTCGCAAAACATGTTTCACAAGTATGGGTGGGACATACAGGTTAGTGTATTGTGCTTTCATTATGATTGTTCTGTGTCGAGAGAGAACCTGCCGTTCCTACTCATGAGTTAGTTGAACTAAAACAAATGAAAGTAGAATTAACATGTCATAAAAATATACACAGATATTCTGACACAAACTGAAATAATGGTGCAAATAAGTGGGAGCTGCTTTAAGCTGACTTTTGACTCACAGATGAAGCACAGTTATTCTTGGATATAATCTAAGAAAGAAGTTTTCAAGGACATGAAAACAAACCTTTCCTGTTTTTCAAAATACCCCAAATCCCCTCATAACGCAAGACTGTGACATAAAATAACCACTGCAAGCAAAACACTCAAACCCAAAGGTATACAGAGAGATTTGACAGCAAAAATAATCACTGGAAAATACTGAGATAGTTACGATCTCTTAAAATCTTTGGCTTACTGAAGTATTTGCTTTTATCCAAGTTCACTGTGTAAATCATCAGTTTCATGCTAACTTCACAAGCATCCTATTTAAGAAGAGAGACTTTAGCTAGAGCAGCTAATCACCAGAGGAGTGCTGAATGTCCCTCCTTCATTAGGACTTGAGGTTGAAAGACACGGCTTGTCTGAGGGTGTTAACGTCAGAAATTACGTGACTTTCTAAAAGCACAACTCTTTCTCTGCGTACTTTTTTTGCTGTTGCGTTCAGTTTTAGTGGGGTACTTGGAAGAAAAAAAGACTTTTTGTAACTCCTGCTGTTTGCCTCAGACATCACTCACATGACACCACTGTCACAGGCCCTCTCTTCCTCTCAGCCGGTTCAATCACTTCTTTCTCTCTTTCTGAGACGGTGAGGAAATTAGGCATTACTCCACTTCTCTCAGGCATTACTTCACAGCTCCTCCCCCTGTCTCTCTCTGTGACTCTGAGAAAGTCGGCGTAGGCGTTCAAGCTGCTGAAGCCTCATGTGAAAAAAAAACGGTCCCACCTCTCCTCTCTGGCTCTGACTGCAGGCTTTCCTCTTGTTGCTGCGACAGGGACACTGAACATCCTGATTTTCAGGGAATGTCACACCTAAAGGCTTGACTTCCTGTACTCAATTTTCCTCTAACATGATTTCCACTCCTTGGCAGAAACATTATTAGACCATATTACCACATCTGTACTATTATAATAGAGATCTGAGTGTGCTTGATGTTGCTTTCTGCATTATCTGTCATAAAAACTTCAGAAAGGGAGATAAAGACGACTTTTTAAAATCATAACCTTCAATTTTTGTCTATTTTCCTTCATTGGTGATTCTGTTTCTTTTTTTTTTGCTTCATTCGTCCTATAAACTAAACTTTCTGATGACACACACACACACAGGTTTAAACAGTTTAGGCTAGTAGCAGAGCAGCACCGTGAAGACAAAAAGAGTTTTTCTTCACCTTTCATTTTGCATCTCTCAGCTCTGTAAACCACAACGGCAGACGATCAGAGAGCAAAGAAGAGGAAACAAGGGAGGGAAAAGGAGCCTGAGAGGTACACACAAACACACACTGCACACACAGACTGTGGGCGGCTACACAGCTGTGCTTGCGTCTGTGTGTAAGTGTGTGTGTGTGTGGTAATAGTATTAGAGCTCCTCTGGCCTCATGTGAATTACATTTCCAACAGGGGTCTGCTCCTGTGCTGGGCCGGAGCCCGGGAAGAAACACAAACACACACATGTCCGCACTCTGGGAAACACAATGAGCAAAGGAGGCAGGCAATCGTGATTTGAGAAGGTTTGCGATTTCCCCCAAACTACAAAACACATTAAAAGGAGAGAAATGAGAACACCATGCGTCCTCTGACACTGTAATGAAGGGAAGGATTCTCTCTTTGTGGGACATTTCACCTCATTTACACAAAGCTAGAGGAGAAGCCTCATTTTTAAAAGTAAAGCCGATGCACAGGAGATTTAGAGGCACTTTAATGATTACATGTTTGATCCTGAATCACTAGTTTCAGATTTAATGATTTGACAAGTTCACATTTTGTACAATCATGGCTTCAAACTGCGAAAGATAAACCACATAAGACAAACAATCGAGTGCTGTGTTAAAAGAAACAGACTTTCAGTTTAAGTTTGGTTTTGTCAACTTTCGATGATGTTTTTGTCAGCTTGTCACCCACACACTCATTGAAGATTGTCCCACTAATGCAGCTTGAAAGAATCAGATACTTTGACAGTGTTTTCAGCTTGTTTACACATTTAAATTATGAATGAATCTATCAGGAGACAAAGGCTTCTCTTTGGTTTTGACGGTGATTAAAATCACTGCATTTATATAATATGTATAGCAAACAACAGTCTTGTATAAAAGACGTTGAAATAGTCTGAAATAGTTGAATAGTCTAAAATACTCTCTTTTTCCAGGCTTAGTCTGTCACTTAGCTTTTCAGACAACTGCAACTACACACACCTGCCTCCTCCTGCTCCTCTCCCTGCTCTCCTCTCTCCACCTGTGGCTGGCTAACAGTTTGTTCTGCTGATGCACAACCTCTTGAAGATACAGTGTCCACTTTTAAACCTCGTGTGAGCTGCAACTTCCTAGTGTTCCCAATCTTTGTTCTACATTGATCTGGGCTGCTTATGATGAAGTAAAATTGGGAGCTGTTTGCGAGGAGGGGCTGTGCTCATGCTCTGCTCTTAAGGTCGATATATCGGAGGCAGCATAATAATTGTTTAGTCTCCATTATCATCTTTTTTTATCATAATCCAAATCAAAATTCTACTCATCAGCCAGCTCTACATTAAAATGAAATGCATGATTTCAATCTCAGATGGACATTCAGCGACTGTCAATAATGACTCGGCACTTTCAGTCGTACCACAGACAGACCCTGTTTCTAATTACTTCCTCTGTTACATAAAACACACACAGAAATAAAATACAAACAAGCATGTATGTACTCAAATGATGTCTTAAGGCATGAAGGATGCCAAAGAAATTCAGTAGAAGAAGAAGAAGAGTCCTCAGAGGAGGCTGCTGCGCTGTACCTTTACTAAACAAGAGATATGAGTGTTTTAGATAAACAGAGAGAAAAGGAGAAAGATGGAGGTAAAAAAAAATGCAAAGTGGAGGTAAACAAGCAGGAAAGCAGGAGAGCCAAAGCTTTTAAGAGGCTCTTGGTACATAGCTAATGGGTCCTGTTATTCCTCCTTTCTGTCGTTCATTCACGCGCTCTCTTTACACACTCTGTCGTTTCGTACTAGCTTCTGTCCTGAATGGAAAGGGGGGCATGTGGAGGAGTAAATATCCTTATTTTTGTCACTGCTTCAGAGTACTACTCTGTTTGATTCCTGTTTGTTGCACAGCAGTTTAGTGGAGATCAGTGCCAAAAATCCCAGCAAGTGAAAAGACTTACCAGAATATGGAGCTGGAGGTAAAGAAGGCGAGAAATAAGGAGAAAACTACGAAAGCCTCCATCTCATTAAAAGACATTTTGTGCTTCTGTCAGAATGAATCATTAACAGGGAAAGTGGACCAGCATTTTTTTTTACCCTCTTTTTCATAATATAGTAGGACAGAGATGTAAAAAGATCACAGGAAACACTCGTCTTTGCAGGAAAAGAAAGAATTTCAAACACAAGACAGCTCTCATACTCATTTGGTTTTCCTGAGAAATTACTGGGATTTAAAAAAAAAACTGTTGTTGTGTTTACACAATGGTGTGAGCAGATGACCGGAATATAAAAGCTGATGGACACTTGTGAATTATGAGCTGTTTATTCACACGAGCACTTCACAACACTAAAGCCCTCAGCAAAAATCTGATGAGGGAAGGCCTGCTATGCAAGTGGGAGACATAGCATAGCAATGTACATGAGAAGGGGACAAAACCATGAAGTGTAACACTAAACTAATTATACTAATACTATTTTAGGCTTGAAATGTTATTCAAATGTTATGTCTATGCCTGAAGGCAGCCACCTGCGATGCTAAATGCTTCACTACCAGGATGTAAACAAGCACAGAGGACAGACAGTGTCTGTGGTCTGTTCTATAAATGTGTGTCTGGGTATACTGACATGAAACCATGTGACTGGAGCAACGCGCCATTTGTACAGGCATGTGGGAGTTAACGCGCTTGAGGAACTGAAGGTTAGCTCCAGCTCTGCAAACTCGAGCCACACGCTTGGTGAACCTGTGAACACTGGTTGGTTTAGCTGTATTAAAGGTACAGTGAGGAGTTTTTAACTCGTTGAGAAACAGATTGAAACTGATACAAATGCCTCTATATGTCCATCAAAATTAAATGACGCCATCGACATTCATCCTTCCCACTCTGCTCATTTTTTCACACGCTCAAATTTAACTTTGATATGACCTTATGTTTTTAGGACTGTTCCACTTCCTATCAAGTCAGGGGTGTAAAACAGCACGTCTGAGTTGTCCAGTTTCCTGTGAACACTCAACTTCCACCGCTGTGCACGCACACACACACACACACAAATACACACATATTAACACAGGGCGTTGGCCCCAAAAGCCCAGTGCCTCCCTCACAGACCCCTTCAGGGTGTGACCGAGTCATATGTGCTCTCAGACACATTTCTTCACAATGAGTTGACTTGGCCTGAAATGACTCGAGGATGCCAGGGCAGTTACTGGGCAGAGAGAGGGAGGGAGGGATAGAGAGGGAGAGGGGGAATAAATAAATATGACAGAAAAGAGAAATAGCATTTAAAGAGAGCGCAGGAAAGGTAGATGAGAGAGAGAGAGTTGTAGTTGTTAGTGGGTCTAACCTACTTTCTGTCTCCTGGCTGAATAAGTCAGCATCGCTGTACTTCCCTGGCACACTGAATTATTCACACACACAAACACATAGACACGTAGAGAGGAACACACTCTCTCTCTTTCAAGCTCGGCAATGATTGGCAGAAAATATGCTCTTGGTGAAGCGGTGGGAAAAAAGGTTTGTGAGTAACCGGGAAGTAGGAGGTGTCTAGCGCTAGTAGCAGAGAGGCTGTACTGACGGTCACCTTCCATGCACACACACACACACACACACATTAAAATAGGTCACCCCTTACAATGCTCTCAGAAAATCCATCTCCTGCACAGCGAGCATGCAGGGGGAAAGATGCACCGCTACAGCACAGAGGGTAAAAGGGTCTGCTGCTCTGCTGCTCTCACTCTGTCACTTCGGTAAGCTTGATTGGCGTTCTTACAGGCAGTTTTTTCCTCTCAATGTGGCATTGGTGTCCCAGATCAGTAAAGAAAACTGCAAAGTCACATTGGGTTGACAGAAAAATGTGAGTACACCAAATGTTTTGATGGTAAAACATCTTCCGAGGAATGAAAAACGTGTAGTTTCAAAACCAAGCGGATAGAAGGCAGCAGCGCTGAACAAAAACCTCTGAGATTTAAAGACTTGGGAGTGTTTGTTTGCTTGTCAAGAGTTGACAGCCAATCATAACAACACCAAAACCTCATTTAAAAAGTTGATAACTAACCCCTGAGTGACTCGGTACAAAGCACCGGTCCACGTGACTCTCAGCAGAACACTGTCCATAGATTGAGTTTGAGTAAAACAAGGAGCTGAAAAAGGGGGTTTATCTTCAACTGCTCACTGAATACAAAGTAAAATAGAGTACTTTGGTAACCATATTGAGGACCCAGCACACACATTTGACCAAAATGCCACATTTAATGATGGCTCTCCACAAATACTGATTGCCCTGTTAGGACTGAGCTTAATTCTCTCTGTCTGCATTTAACAACTCGAAAATAGATCATTCATGGCCTGCGCTCAACTCTGACAACCTGATCACACATTATGTCACTGTCAGCCAATTCTGGTCACACCTTTGGTCTCTGTCAAGTAATTATGAAAGTTAGCAGGCACAAATGTGAGAGCAGCCTGAGGAGCTACACATAGCTAAGGTAGACCCAGCTGCTTCTCATCAGGGTCCTGCTCACCCTGTCCGGATTCTAATTTGCAGAACCGCCACTACAAACTATCCCACACTTCACTTTAAGACTGAAAACTAGAGAGCTTTAAAATTTTGCAACAAAGGGGCACTTCAAACCTTTCAATGAATCTAACTTTCCTTTTTATGAACTTTGCCCAACCTGCAAGATTTAACACGTTTTTACCAGACAATGTGTCTGCATGTCAGGTGTTTCTGCTGTTAGCATTTGCTTTCCAGAGCGCTCAAATCAAGCTCAATCACAGAGGAAGTATTATGACACCACACCCTGACCATAGCATGACTCAGAAGTTCAGCGTGTGTGTGTGAGGGGACCTCCTCGTAAACTAAAGATCCTGACTTAGATAATGTCCCACGACCACCAAGCTGTATGTACGCATGCACACTCACATACTATGCAGTCATTTGCTCATCATGACCACTGGCTGATATAGGTCAGTGGAGCAGAGATTGCATGAGTGGCATACACGCTCACACATGAAAAAACCCACTCAGATGTAGTGTAGTGGTGAGGCAGTCTGCCATTCACTGGCACAAAGCAGACAGCGTTTCCCTTTAATTAGCCATCAGACTTGTCTTGCCATGTCTCTCATTGTTTCAGTTTCAATTCATAAATCATGAATTTCACACACACATATAGCAATCTCCAAAAATAAGTAACAGGCTGTTTCTACTTGAAATAAAAATGCTGTTGCTAATAAGTTCCTCAGTAAAGACCTAAAAGTGTGTGCAGCGATTTTATGCTTCAGCCCTTTTTGCCAGGATGCACCTGGCCTGAACTAAAAGCACCCGCTTGAACTGGTGATGAAAAGACACCATCATTAGGCTTCTCTCTGCTGTTTTATTTTGCATCAAACCTCAGACCAATACTGTATGCTAATACTGTGGGCAACTTGAGATGAACAAGAATTCTTCCTGCCGGTCCCCATGAGGATTCAGCATATTTGGTTAGTAGTCATTTAACAGTACTGTAGAAAACTGTCCATTATATCTGCATTTTCTGTCATCTACTTCCTGGATAAACTGTTCAAATTTGCACTGAATGTAACTGAGTCCTTCATCCTTGAGAAGGTGGTGGAAAGCAACTTTTAAAAACAGCATTATCAAGCCTGAAGATGGAAGACTATCTACTCCTATATGACAGTGGAACCACTGTATTAGCCCTTTACATAGACTTATGACAGCCGTTTCGTGCAGACACACAGGTATGAGTCCACTAAACAGGAACATACAATCAAACCTATGATTCCCCAGTAAGCTACATAATCAACCCATGAGGGTAGCCAGATCGGTCTGCAAACACCTGCATTATTTACAGGAAGAGATCATGAAAAAGAAGTTGGAATTTTGATCAAGACAGTGAGAAAAGTTGAGCTGGACTTTGAATTAGATTGGGAGACATATCAAACTAACCTACATGATCATAATCATCAACATCATGGATAAAATCATAGCTAAAGCTTTGATGTAGTTTGACTACTTTCACCGTGCTGCTGTAGCCTAGCTTGCAACGTTTCTTATGAGGTAGTTTTAGCAGAGTTCGCTTAGATTTAGTGGCTTAGCTCACTTCATTTTCCTTGAAACCAAAAGAATGACAGTTTAGTGGCAGTATCTAGTCTCTTATACACCTTAACTCTGCGACAGCATTAGGACAGAGCTCAGCCATTACTCAGCCTTTGTACTTACACACTGCGCCTTAAAACAACCTTATGTCCAATAGCATCCAAGTGTGGGGGCACATATTAAACAATGGAGAGACAAACGCCCAGCGAGAAACACAGCTTGTTAAAACAAAACAAAAGTACAACATAGCCTAACAACTGCATGTATACACACTGCTGCTGCTACACCCTTCCAGCGCCGATGCGAACAACTTGGCTAAACCATTACGCCGTCATTCGTCACGCACTTTAGCATGAGTCCATACACATCACTCATCATTGTTTGAGGATATGATCATCTGTGGTTTAGTAGAGCTCTTAAGAAAACTGAGAGTGACTTGTTCTTGTAAGAAAACAGGGTAAATAAAATCCACTCAGGGCTTCTGTTTACAAAGGTACTTTCCAAGAAAAGTCCATGAGTGGTTCACAAGTGTCCTCGAGTGAGACACTGAAGCCCCAGTAGTGTTCTTCTACAGCTGACCACCATGTGACTTCCCCTGTGAACATCAGAATGACATCATTTTCACAGCATGACCTCCCCTCTCACTGTGATTTGTTTCTAAAACAAGCTGGAAACCGTATCCAGCCTTGAAAACTCGCTGTGTAACCTCACACAGAAGTGGGTATACTGATACAGAGTGAGGCTGGAGCTCACAAATGCATCCTGGGAACCTGTTAAAATTGTTGATTTTCACTGCAATGGCGAGCGAGTTTTTGCCCGGTTGGTAATTTCCCGCTCTGGATCTCAGCCTGTAGCAGGAAGCAGATGTGGACAGACCGCATATAATCCCAATCATCTGGGACAGGAACTCATTGTGTGCCTGGTGTTTGTGTGCATGTATTAATCACTACCCTGTCCTGATATTCTCTGTCCTGGTGGGGGGTCAAATTGGATCTGTGTGTTTTCTGGGAATTAATATGAGATTTGTGCGTTTACTTACCCATATTTTAATACCTGGATACATAAATGGTGCCCGGGGGAGATTTTTCTCAGCTGATGACAAATTTTCATTGGCTTGTGTTCACTTGCGTGGGTTGAAATGCCTGAGATGACTCCCCCATTTAAGCAGTTCCTCTCACCTAAGTCACACGTTACACACAAAGGGGTATTAGTGCGTGATTTCCTGCGGGCCTGACTCTGCGGTCTCCTTATCTTGATTGTTAAAGTTATTTGGCCTTGTTGGTGGGTCAGCCCAGCTTTCATCACATCAAGACTCAAACACACGCTGACTGACACACACAGCGGAAATAAAGCGTTGTGACTCTTCTGAGAAACACTCAGCAGAGGGGCAAAATAAAAAAAAAAGCTGGTTTCTGGGTTAAGCCGTGGGAGGGAGGCAGACGAGAAAGAAGGCGGCTTGTTACACCAGAAGAAATTGGGAAGTCTTCTTAAAGTAACATGAGGCAAGCTTACAGTGGTTGCCACACAGACACACACACTCACACCAACACAGACACACACACACAGCAGCGAACCCCTGCAGTGTACCCCCTTCCACCCATGCACACAAACAAGCTAATAAAAGTGCACAGCCGTACCAACACACGCCTGGCTTCTCATCTTTAAGCCAGCTACAGAGGAAGGCAGAAAAGGACTATTAGGTCAGATTTTGTCGGCTATAAACCCGAATGAAAAACAAGTTTCTTTGAAGTCGCTGCACATAAGTCTAAAACCGTATTACCAAAGTCAACCAAGCTGGTTCAAATTCTTTGTGCAGCTTAGAATAAAAACTGGGAAATAAAAAGCCTATAAACATGTAAGCTGTTTTGTCCTTGAATGCTAATATCCAGTTTGTTCCCCAAAACTTTGCCCTCATGTTTTACCTGTAAAATGCAGGTTAATTAGAGGTTTCCAGCATATCCAAACATTTTTAATTAAGTCTATTCTTTGTAACGTAAGTGGAGTCTCTGATGTGCATCTTTAGCCTGGATGAAGGATTTAGTCAGGACTGAGCTGGAGCTGGTGGCAGCTCAGCTTGCAGCCCTCAAAGACTATTAGAGAAATACCCACTTCCACAACATAATCATTTATCCTGTTTTTTTTTTTCATGGTCAAGAAGACTAACATGGAGGATTCAGCTCATGGTAGAAATGAGAGCTGTCAAATGATTAATTTTCTTTCAAATCACTTAATGTCAAAAGAAAATGATGTTTACCACATGCTCAAAACCCCATCACTATTATAGTTCAGGGCTGTTTTTAATTTCATATTAACAATGTTGATGCAATTCTTAAGAGTGTCTTAGTCAAATTAATGCTATTAAATGTACTATATGATCACAACTTTGAAACCTGTTATTCAAATTAATGCTTTAACTGCTACACCAGTGTGATCTGAAGCCGTGACTTTGAGGTCGGAGCAGCTTTTTCATGTTCATCCTGCCGCAAACATAGTTTAAATGTTTTGTTTAAAGGATGACACTAATGCACATTAAGAAAATATGTAGTAATGTATGCATCCGATGTCCAATCAATGTTGATATGGTGTGCTCTTATTGCAAAACCGTTTGGATTGCTCGCTGTTATCCATGGATCCCCAGCATTTGGGACAGCAGAAGTCCTTTCCAGGAGTTCTAGTATGGTCACTTACTCAAGGCACTCACTTACTGCCATTTCAAGGTGAAATATTCATGCCCTGATACACCTCGTCTGCAATGTGCAATGGCAGTCTTTAGAAATGAAGCTGATGGGGAAGTGCTAAAAATTGCAGCTGAATGCCTGCATGACACTAGCTGCTGAAGCACCAAGAACATCAGACACACTGAGCCAAAAAATCTAAATTTTATACCAAAAATAAGCAAATTTAAAGCCTGGTTCCAAAAGTGGATTTGCTTTGAATAGCCCACGGCTTCCATCAATTGTACAGGTTTTAGTTCTTGGTTACGTTTGTTTTGAAAATATTCAGGTTATCTGGGAATCAGGGGCCTGACTGACATGACTGACAGGAAGGCACACTGTAGCTATTGGCTAGGTTAAATCAGCATTACCAATATGTGGAACTCTTTTACAGAATCAAATCATGTCACCAAGTTTACCAGGTCTAGTTATTAAACAGTCTATCATATTCCAAAGTGTCGGCTGGCCTGCGGTCAGTTGCCACACATTCAGCGAGCACTGTTTAATAATAACAAATTTTATCTATAACGCGCTTTTACAGGTGCTCAAAGACGCTTTACAAAAAAAGAATAGAAAAAGTTAAAATGCAGAAAATTTTGAAAAAATAAGACAGACAGTGTAGAAGGTTAAAAAAGACACGATATGAAAAGACAATAAAAGAACAGTTCGCAGGTTAAAAGCCTGTTTAAAAAGGTGTGTTTTTAGGAGTGGTTTGAAAGTACGGGGGTCTGTACAGTCTAGGATCAGTTTGGGGAGTGAATTCCAGAGGGTGGGGGCAGCAGCGGAGAAGGCTCTATCCCCCTATGTTCGGTCCTTGGTCTGAGGGTCTAAGGATTAGGTTTTTTTCTTTCGATTTGGGTTCATTTACAGGTCTGTGGCGATTCACACAGTCTATAATAGTGCTCTGCTGGCCTTTATGATGTGGCTCCCGGCATCAGTCTAATTAGCTGTACCTGCATGTTTAGTCTCTAATTTAAAGTGGTTAAGTTTTAAAGTAAGGGCATACTACTTTTAACTTGTCAGCTGAGTCTCTGGGAATTTTAAAGTGAAATGTGCCCTTTAAAAGCACAGTGGTGGCATAATTTTTTCACCCCAGAAAAAGCAGGAAGACAGCTTTAAGATGTGCTGAAAGGGTATTAAAAAACAGTATGTGATTTGTAAGAAAGAAAAATAGAAGTTATGATTTTGGACCTTAATCACTTCATAATTAAAGTGTTAACACTGACAGTGTGGATGAAACCTTTTCTAAATACTCAAAGAAGAACCAAAATCAAGTTGAGCACCAACAAACAAATGAGCCGCAGCTCAGCTCGCAGCTCCCTTCTCTAAATGTTTTCATCTTTTCAATCATCAGGTCTGCAAGTCTTAAGCTTTATCAGGACCCTCTTCACTAAGAGTTCATACAGGAGTCGAATTTTAGGGGGCAACCCTTGAAAAATACACCCTTTAATGTCTCTTTCTTGGATGAATTTACTAAAATAATAGAGCCTTACACTTCAGAGGGTGCCAAATGAAGTGTCTGAGCTTAGCCGCCCAAAGCCACTCAAGCTCATTTTTTTGACACACAAACACACACACAAGGTCCTTGCCTCAGTGAGGTGTTTGCGTAGGCTTGAGTAATACACAAGCATAAAGGCCTCCACATCATGTGCTGCAGGCTTAGAAATGTGTCTTGGCACTTATCATGCACACATACACGCACACGCACACACACACATACCTCGAAAAAGAGAAAGGGAAGCCCCCTGGTGATCGTGGAAATTGTTACTTCAAACAAACACAAAGCCACAGGACACACACGCACACACACTAGCATCTACGGCATTGTCACATCACATTTTCTTGCCCCCCCCCCCTCGGAGTGTTTTATGTCTACTCGGTGGGACGCGTGCTTACAGAAGAGTGTGTGTTTGCACTTTTGCTGTCTTTGATGTGCTGCTTGGGAGTAATCTGCCTGCAAAGGTGGGGCACGAACACACACACACACTCACAAGCACACAAAAACACAGGCTGAAGTCCCGTGTGTCGACCCCGTCTGGACTACAAACTTCGACCAAGTGTTCAAAATAAAACAGGTACAGAAAGCGCTTTAAAGTTGAAGTGATCCCCTCACGATTTCTTTCTTGTCTCTACATCAAGCTCCTCATTTCCAACTTCTACAAATTAGTAACATCCTCTGAACCTGTGAAATGGTTTCTACACCTTCACACGAACACTAAAAGTATCCTGTCCTCTTGCACACTCAGCCCGCAGGATTGAGGCATCTGTTCAAATGCAGACGTCTGTTTGTGTGCCACAGGGAGGCACTTTGCATAAGAGCAGACACCAAATAGAGATATATTTAACAGAATCGTCCCCGGCTCCATGTTTGACAGGATGTAATCTTTTGGTCAACAGAGACAGCCTCGCATATTTCCCTGTGAACAACGACGTGATGCATTTTGAATCAAAGTTTCCTGTCATGGCTGTGTTTCTTTCAGGCTTAGTGTTGGCCTACTAACACGGAGGTCACAGGCTCAATCCCTGAAGCTTGTACGCCTATTAACAGCTATGAGTTCAATCAAGTTGGCCTTGAGCTAAACCCATGCTGCCTCACATACTAGCACCTGGAACTCTAAAAGCTTTTAAAAAATCAAATCATTAAGCACAGAAACATGCACTCTAAATCTCTTTTTTTTTTCTACTTCTCACATGAGAGTGTGCGCCATATTTATCAGCACACTGCTAACAGGCTGGGCTCTACTCAGACCAGTGAAGCACTATTCACAAATTCAGACTCATGACTCTGCAGGATAACTTTGGAAATGTGTGATCACAGCTTAGAACAACAACATTTTGGACTTCTTATAATTCATATAAATTAGGGCCCGATCGATTTATCGGTGAGCTGATTAAATCGGCCCATTTTAGCCCTTTTGAGACTAATCTGTAATCGGCCAAAACTCACCTATATTTTCAGAAACAAAACGCGGAAAATAAGATTCGGTTTCACTTCGAAAATTGTTCCGCCATTTGAAAAAAGTTCCCCGACTTATCCTGTAGATGGCGCAGCGACCTCATGACAATGTTCATCCACTAACTACCTCACAGCACAGCAGAGTGACGGATCTGAAGCAGGCAGCTCGGGGAAGCACGGTGGAGAGTGGTCCGCCTCAACGGTAAATAAACCAGTTTGTGAAATACACAATAAGTCAACAAGTTTCAGTTAAACCGACCTCACGATGTTCCCTGCTGTGCTGGTCTTGGTCACGTGAAGTTAACAGTGAAGCGCCATGTAATATGCAAGCTAAAGTTAGAGTTAGCCACCTGCTATTAGCCTTGCTACACTGTTAGCCGTGCCAGTAAAGGTAGAATAGACAACAGCACACGTTACGTGATCGAGCTACTTCTCTTACTGAGGCAGCTGCATGTCTCCAGATGAGACTGGACTGGAAATGAGTAACATGAGTTAAGACGTTAAGTGTTTGTGTGTGTGTGTGTGTGTGTGTGTGTGTGTGTGTGTGTGTGTGTGTGTGTGTGTGTGTGTATGACGCTTTTCTGGTCCGAGTTTGATTCATGGTAAATATGTGGAATATTACTGAGATAAATATTTCTGAGAAGTGTTTGAAAGGCTCAAAAGCAGCCATTTGTTAAAAAAATAAGTAAATATGTAGATATTTTACTTAAATTAACTAAATTTAACCCACCCTCAATAATCGGTATCAGCATCGGCCCCAAAAAATCCATATCGGTCGGGTCCTAATATAAATACATGTCAACATAAGATGATTTTTGCTTTCTCGGTGTGTTTATTCATCCTATGAATCTGCTAGTTCAGTCTGTTTCTTTTCCGATGACTCCTCTCTCCTGATCTAAAAATTTTAATGCCATATCTTTGAAAGATCACTTATTGTCAGCACTTTGTAAAAGTCACTGCCTGCTCTTAAATGTGCTTTTAGTTGGAAAGATGAGGAGCTATTAATGTAGCACAGGTAATCTGCTGTTAAAGGTCGTATTACGTGGCCGACGTCTGCTGCCTTTAGAGAAATGACCTCTGTGTGCAGCGAGGAAGGTATTTTATATGTATTTTAAGAGGTACTTTTAGGTAGATTTAATCAAGCTGTTCCCTTTTTACTGCTTTTTCTGATAAAAAACACCAGAAATCACCGCAGTACCTTCCCTGATATAGTCTGCTGCTGTTCTCTCTCACCCCTGAATCATTTTATATTTGGCACTTAAATGAGAAAATGTTCCTGAATTTTTCCTCTCATCTTCTCTTAATGTGTCCGTGATGATGCCTCTGTAACTGCTTGTTACAAACTCTCTTACATAAGCACTCTAATAGCTGGTTTACAGAGTCGTGGGTTGACAGAGCAAGTTGATAACTACTCTTGTAAAACAGGCGAGATTGCCATTGTTTGGTTTTGTGGAACTGGGACTGCATCATGACTCCAGATCTGTCAGATGGATCACACACAGCGTGGCTCTTCCTGACGACATGATGCATGACGTCACTTCTGACAGGCACATATAGGCTGTCTGTTTGTAAGGGTGGGACAAAATAACAATATGGCAATAAACTGTTCGCTTGACTCTTCAAGAAAATTATTGTTTCACCAACATCTAAATGTAATCAGTGTTTACCTGGACAGGCTGCTCAAGTTTATTTTTGGCCACCCAAGAACACTTTCAACAACTTTGCATTATTGCCCCCTGTATAAGATCACCATCTGCCATCAGTGATTAAAGACATCTCCCACCCCATCTCATGTGAACCTTCTTAAAACGCTGTTTCAGAGCTGTGTGCAGCTGGACACTGTCATGTCATTTTGCACTCTATGAGTTTTTCATCCGCATGAGCCGCGTCATTATCGAGTATCATCCACACGCAGATGACTTGTTGTGATGACGAAATAGAGGAGAGGAGAGGACAGGAACAGAAGGAGGTGAGGGGGGCACGTCATTGTGTGCATACAGAGAGGAGATAAAGAGCTGAAAGAAAGTGAGTGTGTAAACTAAAGGGGTTGTAAACAAACATTAGAATGAGATGTAAAACAAAGAAAGATTTATTTAAAAATATCAATAAATACAGAATCAATAGATGGTATACAATTCAATTGACACCCCCACCATACACACATAGTAAGTAAAGTTTAATTCAATGGAAGACACTGATGTTTCATTATATGACTTTTGTCTAATAGTGCAGAATGACTGTGTTGTGATATTGTGGTTATTATTATAGCAGTGTATTTTTACGAGTTTATTTATGTTTTACACTTGCGCTTTCACTTGTGTTTGCTCTGCTGCATTTCCGTACAAAATCACTCACTCTGATTTTTCAAGGCTGATACATTTTTATTAATAATAGTGGTCAACCGATAGCCGTTTTAAAGGCTGAGGCCAATCAACAGATTTTGAGAGGGAGGGTTAGCTGATGCCAATATATAATGCCAATATCACTTTATTATTTGTTTGTGTTTAACAAAAACACATCTATTCAGTAAAACTGACAGATGGAAAACAGTTGCTAAACTTGAGTAAACATTTATGCAATAAATGTGGAGGGAGAAGCGGCATGTTCAGTAAAATATTGCCACAAAGAAATGTTAGATGTCTGTCTGATCATTTAAAAAAGACTAAAAAGAAACATATATGTGGTAAATGCTGGAAAGTCAAGTGTAAAATTGTGTTTTCATTTAGAAAAGATAAACGATTTCGGCCTTATGAGGGCAGATGCCAATATGATGCAGATTTTTATCAAAATGCCGTCAGCATTAATCAGCCAGCTCATTAATCGGTCTGTTATCATTGCCATCCCTGTGTTTTTCATTTCAGTATTCTCCTTTTGCATCCTAATCGTGTGGGTTTAATTTTCATCACTATGACAGCACTCTATTCTTCTTCTAAAGTTTCTAACTCTTCATCATATTTTGCCATTTCCTGTTTCTTCATCAAGCAGCTGAAAAAGAGGGCTGAACAAAGCGTACAATCCCAGACTCGTTGCCCTACAAGATCACTGTAATTAGGCCGATAAAACACATTCTATATATAAACAACAATGGGCAGTTAAAGTGAGTGTTATGTCAGTGTTTTGGTGACTCAGTGAGCAAAGAAGCACACCCCGAGCTCTTGTGGTATTGTGAGGTCGACTACAGCAATTGCAAGGTTGATGAAAGCCTCGAAAATGGTACACCAGAGCGGCAGCAAGCAGTTAAAGCACTTACTCACACAATGTCTGAACTTGTGCTTGGTACACTCGCTTTGTTTGTGTGCAGTCAGAACAAGACTTTTGGTGTGTGAGTGTGCTGAATTATTTAGGTGAATCTCTTAATTCACTGAGAGGAAACTTAGCATGGAGTCCCATTCAATTAAATACCATAAAGCTGACATTAGGTGACTTGTCATCAAAGCAGACCATAATGGCTGAAATTTAGGAACTTGGGGATGCTGTTTATATGAGCGTTTGATAGTGGAGCAACTGTCTGGTCACTGTGCAATAGCTAAAAGGCCAACAAGAAATGTATCAAACTTCAGAAACGAGTAAAATGTCTTTCATGCCAATAAAGCTTCCTTAAAACCAGATGAAGCGAAATCACGGCACAGAAAGCGTCTGTTTCCATAAAATCTTAAAGTGTGCCCTCTGTTTGTCACGAAGGTCAAAACAGCGCTCTTTCTTACACTTCAGAACAATATTTAGGATGACCCCGCCTTTAAACCCTTCAGCAGCAGAGGACTGTGGTCGTTGTACACACTGTGACAAGGCGTGGATGTGTGTAAAGTTATGAATGAGAAGTGTGGTGGTGCTAAAAGAAGAACCCTAATTTGCTCTGTCAGTGCTACTCTTGGAATTAAGGTTACGATGAACCAGCATCCAATAAAAAGAATGAATTACAAATTCGGAAAAGGGGCAGATCACACTGCGCAATTATTCCGATTTAGCAAGGAGGTTTTATCTGAATGTGGTGTGTGTTTTAAAATAAACTGAAGACATCATAAGTTTGTTTTTGTTCTCAATATCCTCTTCAAAGTGACCCTTAAATGTCTTTAACTCTACCCAACACCCCTTGTGGTCTAGTTTTTGCGCAACATCTTCTACCTCCCTGTTTTCTGAAACACACGTCGAAGGACAGGACAGTCTTAAACATCAGCAAACCAGTGGACACACACAGGATTGTCCTTATTTCTGAATTTACTACCCACCTATTCAGCAAAAAAGAGGCCTGTCAAACTGTGCCACATTTATTTAGAGTGCACCGTTGGGTTGAAAGAGCCCGGTTGTAAAGCCAGGGCAAAATGTTATGAAATAGGCCAAGAAAGAATGTTGCAAGCTCCAGCAAGCAGCTTGCATGAAGTAGGGAAGTAAGGAGAATGTGTGTAAATGTGTATGAGTGCATGTGAGTTCTTGCATCAAGAGGAGAAAAAACTTCTTACTCTTATTAGCTTCTTCAAAAACAAACAGCAGAGGAATAAAAAAATACTCAAAACAAAAGTATGACTGAGGCAAATTTCATGTCTTTGTGTATTCACTAATAGATTAGTCAAAACGTGCGCAGATCCCCTAGTTGGCATTCCCTCCCTGGTATATCCTGAATCAAATCCATTAAGCTCAAAAGACCACATAGTAATACAAGTGGTATTATAGAAGTGACATTCCAGTCATGGCTATTTCAGCTATTTCACAAGCCCGGGACAAGTCCTATTTCGAGTCCTGAGTTGCAACACAATAACATCAAGTGATACAGTCAGTGTGGGTTAACTTGCGACTATGATGGGTCAGGAGTCATCAGACGGCAAGAGGACTCCCACAGACTTCAACCAAGAACCACAGAGACATAGTTTTGAAATAGTACGACCAGCCTTCAACTAAAATTTGCTTTAATCTGACATTAAAGCTCCAGTGAGGAACCTTCAGTTTGTGTCAACACTAGCACCTCCTAAGACAAATATATAATATATCATTTATTATAGTATATCATATATTATTTATTGTAAAGACAATGATGCACAACAGATACCTAACCCCTCATTCAAGTTTCAGGCATTAGAAATAAGGATATACACATGACCAAACTTGTCCCTGATGGTCTTGTTTGTAGATATCTCATGTTCAGATATTTAAAAAAGGCCATAATAGGGAGCTCAGTGTTTTTATTACATTGAAAAACTCCTAATAGAAGCTTTAAATAAGGTTGTCTGTACAGATTGTGATTGCAACACAAAGCTGTGTCCAGCCATAAAAACTTTAACTTATTTAATGTAGTTTTTGCTTTCTAAATAATGAAGTCACCTTAATAAAAGTATGTTTTCTCACATAAAAAAGCAGACTCTTTCCACACGTTAAAAAGTTAACAAATTAATACTCTTATCCTAACTCTGACTAATATTCAGCAATGAGATTTCTCCAACTGAACTGAAATATGTATTCTTTTGTGTAAGGTTATACTGCGCGCATAGCCAAATGAAAGCTGATTCAATGCTTCTGAATCTGATACAACTATTGTGAACTCATATTGTTAATGTGTGGTTTCAAATGTGGAAGTAGTAAGGCGGTCCACTCTTTTATGTTACACACATCCCATTTCGATGACTAGAAATTGAGTGAGCTGTATGATAGAGAAGGTACTGGTTATCTATGAAGAGATATCTGCCAACAATGCAGACAAAAAAAATACACATTGACCCTGATTCTTCTAAAATATACTAAAGAAGACAATAATACAACTGTAAATGAACTACAAGTAACCTCAGGAGGATAAAACGTGAAATTAGCTCTGTGTGGTTAGTGGCTATCCACTGATTGTTAAATATCCTGTAGGACAATGAATCATTGCACTGTATCCTAACAAGCATGCATGATTAACAGGCAGGAAATCACTGCACTTTGGCCCAGCCTTTACCTACAAGCTAAAGCTAAGCTATCCCAACAATGCCATGTAGAAATGAGCCCTGGGCTGGAGAGGGACGTGAATGTGTCTTGTTGATTTAGTTGTTGTCCCCTTGTTCTATAAAAACAGGAGCACTTGTGGTATGGGAGACAATGCTAGGCCGCCATGAAAAGCCTGGAAATGGGAGGAAGAGGAAGAGGGCAGTGTGGCCGCCCCTGCCTCACCTCCTGGGGGATACAGGGAACCAGGAGATGGGGAGGGGGGCGGGGAGGAGGGGTTTGGAGGGTCAGCGAGGAGGAAAAGGTGGAAATTGTGAAGATAAGGAGGAATACACACATGGTTAAAGGGGCTAAGCTTTACATTTGGACTCACCATAAAGTCGCTGCCGAAGTTGTCCTCTCCCCTCTCCTCGTCCCCCTCGCTCATGGCCTTCACCCCCTGGATAAACTTTCTAAGGATGCCGGCTTGGTCCATCCTTCAGTCCTCTTGTAACGTATCCTTTTCCTTGAAGAAAAAAAAACCTCCCAAAGTAACGAGGGAGGAGGGAATATAAAAATAAAACAAAAAAGGACAGGGAAAAGGGGGAATAAATAAAAATAAATAAGCTTCACGGATCCTCCCAGAGAGTCATCGTCGGTTCACAGCACCTTCTTTTTTATCATCGCCCCATGTTGTTTCTCCCTCTCCGTCTTTCTTCTGGGCTGTTTTCACCACGGTAACGGTTAGTCCCAAAGAAAAGCAGCGGCCGCCGGGGTTTCTGCTCCACACACAAGTTTATAACCGAGGCGAAACATAGGCTACACAAACTTGCTCGGTCAGAAAAGAGAAATAAAGACAAAAGACAAAAAAAGCCCTTGGTCTGGTCAGTCTATCCACCCCTCCCTGTCTACCTCGGTTGCCACATTCACACACTGCTGCTCGTTATTCGCTACTGGGGAACATCCGGACTGGGCAAAGCTGAGAGAGAACAGGACCCGCCCCTTCCATAATACGCTGCATGTGATTGGACATTCAACAGCAGAGCTCGGAATTTGACTGGCTATCAGGAATGTAACTCTACCGAGGCGCCTGAAGTGATTGGACAGACTGTGTGTCTGTCGCTTTGTCACGAAGAGTTGTCGTCAGTCTTATCATGACTGACCAGATTACTGCAAAAGGACTCAATATGGCTCATTCAAAACCTACATTTATAAAATAGGTTGAATAAAAATGTTTTAATATAAACTTTCTCATTCTTATAATTACAGCTTTACTCGAAGAATAATGTGCTTATTTATATTTTAGAAAATATAAATCATGTTGAAGTGTAAATGACAATACAAAAAGTGGGGAAAGTTTCAGATTGAGGTCAATATGCTCTGCAGTGTTAAGGCTGAACAAAGCAAGATCCACTTTAGAGTTGCCCTAATCGTGACAACACTAATTGGTGGATCTAAAAAGGGGTCAAAATAAGGGTTTTCACCTCTCTGTCTAGGGTGGGTAAAGAATTTATTTTAGCTCTAAATCATGTAAAGTTACTAACAAATTGATTAAAGGGACAATATAGAGCCTTAAAGTAATACTGCCTTTTCAATGAATATTCATACTGACACCTTTGCTGTGTTTTCTGTTAAAGTGTGAACATGTTTCATGCTTTACGTATTGAACTCCCAGATAGACAAAAACCACCTTGTGATTAATAAAGTTTTACTATGTCCCACATATTCAGTGACTTTTTAAATATTATGGAGTAACACGCACGATTATGTTAGTCCTGATATTGCTATACTGTACTTTACTGTATTCATTAGTATGTCATGAAGGAGAGGAACTTATTTTAACAAATTGTGAGCCAAAATAATTTCTAACTCCCTTTTTTTGCTCTAGAGTCTCCCTGCATGTATGTAGGCAAATCTATTTTACATTTATATTTTTTTAAAAATTGGTGTTTCATCAAGCAGTTGGCATTGGGAATTATTTTGATAGTTACTTATGTAAGACCAGGGATGAAACATTCAAAATGTTTACTGGTGTCCGCCTCGACTTAAACCACTAATGCTTTAATGTGACAGTATTTCAGTTATGTAAGAGGTCCAGGTGGTGCTCAGTTTAATTCCTCTTACAGTGATAGTAGTAGGCCCATGTGTACAATCCCACATGGCAGATATTGACCTGCTCCACATATCCACCGTCATACATGTGCCTCCAACTGCCAACCATACGCAAGCTGTATGCAGGTACAGAAGAGACGAGATTACAGCAGGCTAATCTTCTGTAAGTGAATGGCTCTAATAATCCTGTCATGCAGTTTTACTGTCATTGCTGTACAAACAGATTAACAACACACAGGAGAAACATGGATGGACGGATGGATGATTATATGAAGCTCAGATTTAAGAAGCAGCCCACAGCCAAACGATTATGGATCAAAAATATGTTATGGAACATTTCTACTCACTTATGTAAGTCTCCTGTGTGTGCAGGAGCAGACATTAGATATATAAGGGCCAGGGGAAATGAAAATTAAGAGGGGAATGTATACAGGTGGCACCAGCATAAAAAAATCTGTTATGCAGTTGGTAAAACTGTTCCAGTCCAGTTTGTGGCAATTAGTTTCAGTCTAATGGCAATGCATGATATTTATAAACACCATATGGCCACCCCAAGGCCCCAGAAGTCATAAAGTCACAGAATTACAGTAATCAAACTCATCAAAATACTATGAAATAGCAACATGCTGTTGCAGGATGATAGAATAAACCACAAAAGTTATGTAAGTGAAAGAGTAGCAATTCACACTGAATTATGTTTTACATTATAAAATTATCCCTCATTGTTTCATCCTTCATATAAACTCTACCCTCAGTTCTGTACTCTGAATAAAAGCAGGAAAAGCCCAAACAAAATCCGAAAAATATTCAAACCGTAAAACTTCTCTGAGTTTCCCAGGCTTCTATTTGCTTCAATTCACAAAGTCACCCTGCCTTTATTTGAGATAGGCCTCTATTAGGAGTTTTACAGTAAATATGATTCAGGCAGTCATACTTTTATCATATGTTTTAGCTGTTAGCTATCCAGAAACCTATTGACAGAAAGATTTTAATTACGCTAAATGATAATGTTTTTCCATAATGTGGTACACTTTAGGACTTTGAGTACTTTCTTTATGTGAACTTTTTAACTTCTACTGAAAATATTGCTCTTGAGACAAGATACTATTGTGTCAAGTGAGATTAAACCGACCAATAAAGAGTGAGAAATTCTCTGCTGTAATGAGCAAAGGCCTTCATAAATACAAAGCAAAGTGTGATAAACATACACACTGCAGCACTGTGCATCCAAAACAATAATACATTAGTAAAAAAGTGTTAGGACAAAATTTCTGCACACCACTCAGCGACCCAGTACTTCCAACAAGAGAGCAAATACTAGCAGTAATTGGATTATATGAGTGTTATGTAAGATTATTAACGTATGCAAATTTTGAGCAGGCAGCTCATTGAAATTTAAAGTAAGATTAAGTGCAGAGAAATGGAGGGACACTGGGATGAAGACAAGAACAAAGGAAAAAAATGCTAAATTTCCAGGAGTTGTCAGGGACTCAATGGATACTTCTGCATGATTAACTGTCTTCACAGAAACACACACACACGGAGAAGGGGAATCAAGTGACTTTGTTTTCATTTCGTTCTACCAGTGACAACAAACAAACCCGTCCATTCAGTGTGAGCGAAGAGAGAGAATGGAGGGGAACGCGAGGCTGAGCCAACAAGCTTTCACACACAAACTGCTTTTTGTTGCTCCAGTCTTGAAACTTATTTGTTTGTTATCCACAGTAAATATTTGATTTTTTCTTTGCTTTCTTTTCTGTGTTTCTGTCTTCTTCTTCATCCTCCAGATATGAGGGATAGCATTGAGTTTTATGTCAGATAAAAGAGCTCTGGGTTTGTGGTTGGTTCTCTGTCCTTGTTTTGCATATTTTCACTTCTCCTTTTCTTTAAAAATAAAGTGCTGCATGCAATTGGTGTTATGTGTTTGCTTGCTCTCTATAGGAGATGCAACAAACAACTGAATTGACTGTCACTCTCTTTTTATTCAGCTCACTAAATAACTATTTGGCTGATGTGTTCTTGATTTACTCTTTTTAAGAGAATTCAAAGATTTACACTTCCCATATCTGACCATGAGCACCTGAAATTCAATTATTTTGAGCACTGTGAAGTTTAATCCTGAAAGAAAAGTACTTCTTTGTTATAAAAGCTACTTCATTGAAGATATTTCCTTATCAACTTTGACTACAAAATTCCCATTGCTTAAGCAGTCAGCCAAGGTTAAGCTCTTGAATAAAAACCTTTCTTCAAAATGATGAAAGGTCTAATCTGAGATACTCTAATCTCCTGTATAAGGATGTTTTCAGCTGCTTCATACTGTGCTACAAAGAAAAAAAAAGACTGACATTTAAATTTTTTTTAGTTCTTTTTAATGTCTTTTACCACTCTAAGGAGGTAGGTGTCAGACAATTTACACCAGACTACCAACAAACACCTTTCAATTCATAATGAGTGACACATTTGTTACTGTTTTGCAGGTTTTCGAACATCATTTACACATGCAAAGACAAAGATCAAAAAGGGGTAATAGGTATCACTTTGTCCACAGGGGGTGCCAAAATCAACACAGACAGAAACTTTTCCACAGTAGCTCTAAAGAGCCAGGTTTTGCCTGTGTTCTAGGTCTGATCAAGCAGCAACTTCCAGTATTAAATATTATATGAGGCCAATACAGAGGTGCAAAAAAATATTTTCTTTGAGTCCACTCCAGACAGGCTAAAATAAATCTAAAATCCTGCTTAGATCTGCTGCGAGGAACGTTTGATTTGTGTTAAAATCTTAATGGCACTCTGCTGATTTTTTTGATTATCCAATCAATAGTTTACGGTGAATATTCAGAGTGAAAAATATAAAAACAGAGGTGTTTCTTTAGGTGCTCAACTGACACTTACCCCTAGCGCTACTTTGAGGTGCTGAAAATTTCAATATAAAAACTGTCAGTTTTCTAACTAATGGTCTTGTTTGGGTTTGCATGTCATAAAAAGACATCAGTATGAATTTCAGTCCATTTTAAAAACATAAAAAACCCTCACATAAGCTTTTACATCAAAACTAAAATGACATTTTTTTCACTAAGTCGGGGGCATGGCTGAGTTGACAAACAGGTGGGGTTGGGTTAATATTTCCAACAGCATATCAATATTTCATGCACATTAAAATCCAATATAGCTACTGGGTTATTTTAGCCTGTAACATTTTTTGGAGGGATTTTCAATGAATCAATGGAAAGACAAATAAACTGTGTTTTACTATAGATCTCAGATTATGGCTGATATTTATGTCAATATTTAACTTAATTACTCAATACATAATAGGATTTAAATCAAAACACTTGCCAGTGACATTTTCACTTTGATATGCTGTCATTGGGGATGGGCGAAATAT